GGGCGTCCTACACTACGTTTTCCGAGACGCGGTCTCCACTCAAGAACTCGTTTACCCCAACGATTGTCGGTTCTGCGGCTAATATGGCCAGCCCACTGCCACTTCAGCTTGCTAATCAGATATATTAAACTCTTAAATCTTAAGCAATTTTTTAATAGATTTTCATAGAACGTTTAATATTATTTAGAAACATTTGTTTATAGTAAAACGTTAATAAAATAGATATACCAGACTACATGTTACAAACGGACAACACATTTCTCTTGTTTATGAGCTAAAGGCAATCAAACTTCGATTATTGCCGTTAAATCTTGCCACAGTCAAGTATGTATATTCAACATGTTTGATGTACCTCGTATAATACTAAAAAAAACGACTCAATTAATTTCTTCGCAGAGAATGAAACTAACAGTCGTAATATATAGAATGGAATAGAAGCAAAATTTTGTGACATTTGAACTAAACATTGGACAAAATACACCTTCCTAACTAAAACTATAATTTATTTTAACCAACGAAAACCATTCTATTGGTCTAATATTGGCACCAATAGTACGTACCTACTCTACAAGCATGCATTTCATTAGTCGTTCTTATAATAAACCAGACCATGCAATGAATGTTATTGTCATATGTACCTAATAGTTCCATACAAATACTTCAACGCAAAGAGTCTGTATTTATTCTCATTTCTCATATAACAACTTTGCGATATATAGGTAGAAAAGAAATTACACGCCAAATTTAAATAGTTAAATAGACATATTAGAAAATATATAATACTGCCAATTTAACAACAGTAAAAATATATTGTTAAAAGACGGCGTCATGAAGAATACGAAGTGCCTGACTCCTGGAATATTACAATGAAACCGGTAGGTAGATAAATGAATACAAAAAGTTGTTTCAGAAATAGTCAAGCCCCTTATAGAGTTGCAGCTGCCCTCGTACCGGCTCAAGGCAAACCGCCCGCTTCTTTTAGGCCCCGTTTTGCAAAGTAAATTATGTTTTTTTTGCTTTTATTACACTAGCGCTTACAATGGCTCGCGTAAGTTTCTAACTTCTTAGTTTATGATGCGTAATACAAGACGCTTCGCCTTGAAATATATATAACTAATTTGTAAAGGCATACCGACGAGCAAAAGTGATTTTATTGTGTTATTATTTATATAAAAGAATACAGTTTGGAAAGAGTTTAATTTTTTTAAATCTTGTAACTAAGAGATGTTCAGATGTTGCACTATAAACTCATAAGATTCTTGTTAATAAGTTCAGTAAATGTTTAGTGCAAGATGCAGAAACATATTGTGCATTAAAAGTAATATTGAAAGTATACTTAACCAAAGATTTCATTTAGTTTTCTATGTGCACTATTTGTATAAGATGGCAAATAATGTAAATGATTGTTGTGTTCTTTTCTACCTAATCTGGTTAACAAGTTTTTGATATCAAAAACGTTTATCAAAAACTTGACACAGATTATTATATAATGCACAACAATGTAAGATGTAGACAGACAGAGATGTAGACATGAGTTCGCAGGAATACAGTTATACATTCATATAGTGTATGCCTATGCCTTACACAACCATGTCTACACATTTAGGGGACCATTTTGACATTTCAAAGCAGAAGGTTCTCTAGAAATCAAATCTAGTTCAACCGAATATGAAAACACCAATAGAACGGGTCTAACAATTCGATACATTAACTAATCAACATCAACAGTTACTGAGCTTGGCTAGTCGGTTCGAAGTCAAAATACTAGTTTAATTACCTTGTTATCTAATTGAACCTACATATTTCATGGATAAGTATTAGTTTCATTAGTTTCTCTTTTATTTATAATATATTAAAGTATTTAGAATTTCACTTTACATGCATATGATGCTACATGATTGCTATAAAAAAGTTATACTGTTTAACATGGGATACTTTGCCGTCTTTGTCGAAAAAAAAAATAGTCCTGATATGTCAACTCTTTGAAGTCTTTGAAGAAGAAAAATGAATGTTATTAATATTTTTTTATTTATTTTAGCCATTTTTAATTAAAATTAGTTTTTTACCTAAATGAGTAATGCATTTTATCTGATTTCCTTTTATATTTGTTAGTGTATCTGTTTTATTATACTATTTAAATGCACTTTTTGTCCATATATCAAGACGTGAATGATACGAATATCAAAGACGTTTTTATTTAGATTTAAATGTGAATTACAAGACAATTAAATGTAAAACTGTATTTGATAAGACAGCTGATGACTTAAAAATGAATAATTTGAGAGTTTAAAGGAAGGCCTTTTATCGCGTTTTCGTATTTCGATGTTGTTTTATTCAATTAGGTTCACCTGCTCGCGGAGGTTATTATTTCGATCCTTGTCTGGCCCCTCTACATTAACGTATTTCTTTTTTCTTCATACAGGCCTCGTAAATGAATAAATACAATAATTTCTAATATGACTGTGTATAAAAACACAGTCATATTTGTTGATAAAATATCAACAAATATCAAAGAGACACATTGCAAACTTATTCAAACTTGCTAAAATATTAGATTTTCCGACAAATCAGTATATATATATTCTAATAGTTTTTTTTTATGTGAGTATGTGATAAGTAATTAAATAAGCTACCGTCTTGTGATGCTTTTTTTGCCAGAAAGCTTATTCTGACATAATCCCGCACTCGGGGACTTTTAGTTAAAACTAAATATTTTGTTAAAGCTTTATAGCACCCTATAGACACATTCATGCTGGTAAGTGGTCATTTAGAGCGTTTAATGTGCAAATATGACATTTTAAATCGCGAATTAGCATACCACTTTTGACTCTGAAAATGCTTTAGTCGAAGGGTTAGTGTTGCTGAAAAAAAAGTTCCAATATCGTTGTAATATCACATTACTGACGTATTTTTCCTTATATTATTCTATACTTCTATGACTCGAACGTGCCGGATACAGTAAGTGAGTAAGCAAGATTGTGTGCTATGGAGTTGACAAACGCTATCTATCTTGCTTGCAATCTAAGATTCATAAAATTTAGAAAAATAGAATACTATCCGGTGTCCCCTGTGTCATACTTGAAATATGTATATCCCAACTGCCTTATTTATGACTTGACAATCTCAATAAGAACGGACCCTCAAAACTTAACGTGGTTTTCAGTCGGAGAGCCACTTGTGCACAGTTATACATATGATTCAATTGCTGACCATATGTAATCGCTTTGTAATACAAAATTTAATGGGCTTCACACATTCATGTCATAGTAATTTTTAACTAGTTACAAGTTATGTAAAAGGCGCGTGCAAGGTGCCCAAATTTAGCTTCAACTTCCGAATAGCTCCATCTCACTTGCAAAGTACGAGAAAGGGCTTTAAAGCTATGAGGCTCTGTAAACACAGGCATTTGGACAGAGTGGCTAGGCCGAGCCATAAGCCAAGGTGGTAATCTGCTTTGAGGTTGCGGCGACGGAAACCTGTGTAAATCTTCACGATAAGCTGATTTTGTGGTCACGACCAACCACTTGATCCACCGTTCTCTTTAAAAAACATCTAATGGGTTTAAAGTGAAACCCCTCTGTGCCTTAGTTCCAAGAATCCAATCCAATGTACCTAAGAGTGAAGTGTTTCTTTAATTTAAATGTTTTAAATTATTACATGTGCACATAAGTGTATAGGTATAAGTTGTAACTCATTAATTAAATGTTAGAATTTATTTAATTCGGACTGGACCACTTTAATTTGACTAACTACGTATTTATTATATTTCACAGCAGGATCTTTGTAAGATTATTAAGAGTAGACAGACGTACAACACTTAATTAACTGTTGCTTCTAAATCTGTATGTAATGACTGTATGCAAATAGCTCGTTAAAAATAAATTCTAAAGAAAGAAGCAGCTATCGCGGTAGCAATTAATTCACACACACTAAAGTCAAATAGTAAGTGAAATATGTAATTCTTACACATGAGTTCGCAGGATTGTACGTTCTATTTCCATCTGTTAATTTGTACATACTAAATGTTTACATGAATAAGTTTCGAAATAAAATTGTAATTATTGTAAAGAAAAGGAAAACAAAATGTAATAAAAGTTTGAATTGAACGTTAATAAAGATAGTATTATCTTTATCCTTCTATAAAGAACAATTCCGAATTCGTAGTTGAGTATAATTTGAGCGTCTTAAAATTTCATTCATAGGAAACTAATTCTAGTAAATATCTACGTTTTTTGAAATTATCATCTAAGTCAAGAAAACCCCAGAAAAAGAAAGAAAAATATTATAAGCTTATTTGATTATTTTAATTTCCTTTATGAGTTTAGCGTTACCATTTTACAGCAATGTTTTTCAAGTAGTGGAAATACTGTCCAATAAAGTATATTAATATGGTAATCACTTAATAGTATTATGGTAATCAGAAAATAGTTTTATAATTCTAAGTACTGAATCAATAAATAATAAAGTTTGTGGTGCATTATTCAACTTGTAGTTTAGAATTTACAATTCATTACATGTTGAAATAGGTAATAAATCTATCTGTGGACTCTTTTAAAGAGAGTCCACTAATAAAAACTGCAGTACGTAACGGAAAACAAATTCCAATATCTTTTTGCCTACCCTTTTGCAAACAAAAATTGTGTTACACAGAGATTCCAAAAAATCTTTTTATATTTTTACACTACATAACTACTACTACAAATATTTTTTTGTATGGAGACATACTAATTTTGAGTGTCGTGAGCCTGACTAGTGCCCTCGCGTCAGCGAACCACGAAGTTCGTACTAATAACGGTACTAGTGTACACTAGAGCTGCGCGGATAATGTGTGAACTAAACGTCGGCAACTGATGTAACGTTTTATTATTACTGTTAATATCAAGAAATGATTTGAATGTGTCACTATTTTCATGTCATTATTCAGACGGTTGTCTATTGAGTAGATTTCAAAGTTTTACGGGCGGAACAATGTAATCGAATTTTTCGTTTCTTCTAAATGCATGCTTTTACGACACCTAAAGACATTTAGGTCATTAAGGCTAAAAACTAATAGGTACCATAACAACAGTGTTCCGATTTTTACAGTCCAGCAACTAACAAAATTAAAACGATACGTGAAAAATAAAAGTAAGTTGTCAGCTTTAAGAATTACTGTGGCATTTCTTCGGTCACTAGTCGCTGTCCCATAAAACTTACACGTTTACGACAAAATGGACTAGAGGGACTTCCAAACCGTTATAAAATCTTGTCGCCAACTAAATTATTATTGTTTTTGCACAGAAATATTGTTATGTATTCTGCAGTAATAATGACATTTCTTTAAAAGATATAGCAAACTTTTGTAGGTACATGTAAATACAAACATTTAATTTTATGTTTAAATACTTTGTTTGAATAAAAGTTTTTACTACACTCGGAAACATATTTTTTAGCGTACCAAAATGTATGCAAACATTTTATGATGATCGATTGAACCCAAATAACCCATACATTATTATACGCTTAAAAATCAAAACAAATAAATAAAGATTTTTATTTATTTTTGTATATGGAAGAAAGGAGGTAGGCCCCGACTAAATTCTCACATAAACCACATTCTCTACCATCAGCACCATCTATTAGTAAATCTTTGCAACTATGAAACAATACGTACCAATTTATTATTTCTTCAGTTTAAAAAAAAATCACAATGAACTGACGCTATTTTTCCTAAATTAGGACCTGATTCATAAAGTCGTACCTTTACGTATTTAGTTTAGTATCTTATCTATGATGATTAAAAATATTCAGGTCGATCGTCGGTGAACAACTGACTAACTTTAAATCAGAAAACAACGCTGGCTATAGCTTAAAATGTGCATCATCATGAAGTCAATCCCTTAGAATACCATTTATGTATCTTCTAATTTCGCAAAAAATATTATAGTAAAAAATTAGTAAAAGTAAAAATATTGTAATAAATTATTTAATTAAGAGTTTTAAATTATGGCTTTTTCTTTTTCACCACAGTTAACCGAGAAGCCTCGAGATTTGATTTATAAAACTATTTCGTCCAAACCTAATACCTAATAAACTTTTATAAACATTTTTTTTAGGAATAAGAATAGATTCACACAGTTCTCTGATTTCAGCAAACACAACCACACTCAAACTACATCATATTAGAATACCTTGTCGGTTTTATTATGTGAGTCGTTACATTGTTTTTATAGAGCCGAAACAATAATAACGAGTTTGATTCGATTTTTGATTATGAATTGCGTGTGCAAGTGAAGTGAAAGTGAATGAAAATACTAAATAAATTATTTATTGTTACAGGTTATTTTCAGCCGGCAGGGCCGCTGATCAACAAGGAAGCCAACGCAGACGCAGAGCGAGCCTTGGCGAGGTACCACCCACAGCCCCACTACCATGCGCCACATCCACCCGTAAGTACCACTTTTTTCTTTAAGCATATTTCTCCACCACCTTGACCTTTTTATCACGAGCTTAAACTTGTCTTAACCTCGTTACTATGGGTTATATCTTGCCACTTAATTATAAACTCCTTTCTCCAACTGATTGAGTTTTTGAGAAATGAATTATGTGACTACGGTAACAATTCAATAACATGGAAGTGTTTTACCTTTTAATTTTGTTTCAATGTATATTAATTCCTTCATTCAAAACCACAATGAATTTGAAATTCGAACAGTAAACATTACGTGACAATTTTGAAAACTGGACTTTAGGGTAATTAATTAATAATAAATAAAAGAACGAAGAACGAAACACGATTTTTTTTCATAAACTACCCTCACCGATAAAAACTGGCTGCTAAACATACATTAGTAAATATCTATTGCATTCATTTAATTCGTCATCATCATCAACAGACCTTAAAAGTCCACTGCTTGACATAGGCCTCCCCTTAGAAAGAAGGGTTTACCACGCTGGCCAGGCGGGTTGGTACAGGGTTTGTTTCAAGTTTTCCTTCTCTTTGCAGTTGTTGTTTTCACGACACTCACGGGATGAATAGGGGTGACTCTGTATTCTTGAGTTACGTACTCAAGAATACAGAGTACTCACGAGTACGAGAACGTAGTAGAGACAATTTATGTAAATATTATGAATTCTGTTTTTCTTTCATCAGGTATTGCCACAATACGGGCCCGCATATTACCCGGACCTCTGCTATGGTCGTTACTACAGCAGACCACCGGGAACTTATCACATGCCACCACCACAACCAGATGGACAGGTACCTTTTTTATTTTGTTCGAAGTTAAGATCTAATCTTACAAAAGTCTCAGATACATTGTTGTTAGTGTGTAATTGTTTTACAAATAATATGTATAATCGCTGATCCGTATAATAGTAATCCGTATAATAGCTGAACGACGTTCAATCGGCCGAACGAGAGTTAATGTGAATAACTTAAAATGAAATACCAGGGCCTCAATTCTGTTAATTTAATATTGTATCAAAAGACTGTCGTCGAAATAGTTTTGCACTTTTGGTATTCTACTAACCATGTGAAACCAATGGCCTCCCAATGACTTGTCACTGAACTGCCACTGATCCAAATGTCGTCGATGTCTTTGTAATAGTTTGGTAAACTTTACATTTTAAATTTGTAATGAAATGAGATATTTAATTTACCAGATATGGCAATGTTGTTAATATCACCATTGATGAGCCATTGCCACTACATCGACAGTCTATTGGACACTGTGAATGTATGTTAGTAGAATACCGATATTTTGACCGATATCAATGGCATGACAGTGGCTCGTTACATAAAATAGCAGAATTGAGGCCCAGATTGTATATTACACATTGCATATTTTAGTTCTTAATTATGTTTCTTCTGTCTCTGTGTATGAAAAGGAAAGTCGTTAGCTTAGCTTAGGGCAGGTTAACTTTATGATATTTGTACGAGTATATGAAATGATGACTACCCTACTAGCTACCTACTTTTATTAAGAGTACAATATAATGAGTACAATATGTAGTATTAATTATTTATATTTTATTTTATTAACTATAGTACACTGCAGAAATTCTGCATTATGTCTGAACTTGGTTATGAAAAGTAGCGCAAATGCAATCCATGTAACTAGATCACACATTGGTATTTTAAAAATAATTTGGTATTAATTGACATTCACTACAAACTATAAAACTGTATTACTGCTAAACAAAAGGCAGACTTACCTATCTAAATGCAATCCACGCGCACGTCGGTCGTTCCCTTGTTTTACAAAACTGATCTTATTTCTCAATAAGTAACAGTTTGTTTTCAAAAAATGACTAGCAGTTTTGAAAATCAGAGGTTTGTACGACCTATCAGCGATATATACCTACCTTAAAAATACATATTTCAATTTTGCTATTTTAGCAGCTGTTAGTAAGGATATAGAAAATTGAAGCGAAACCATCCTTTGAACAAGCGAGGCGAGGCACCCGAAAACAGTTGGTTAGACATCACCACAACTCTGGCCCCTCTTTCCCAAAGAGCACTCTGGGCACGTGCCCAGGACGACTCGGTCGATAGGATACCCCTAATTACTGTCAGATAATCGAAATTTTACTACTGTCAGAGGACCAAGATAATCGAAATTTTACTACCGACAAACATTTTAATTTCGAAATATCCAGCGATAATGGTTGTATATTCTAACCAATACCCCAATATTCCCATGACCTCCAATAGGTCAGAGACGGGCCTGAGTCATTTGTCTGTCATGTCATCATAAGTATATTAGAAAGTGCAAAACAACTTATAGGGCGTACAAGACTCTTCGAGTTTCATATGCTGTACCTACGAGTACATACTCATTTCAGACTACCTAGTCTGTTTCTAGTTCAGCCTTCGCACGCGACTATCATTTGCGATGTAAGGGATGAGGACAGTACCTATATACAAAATGGATGGTATTTTTTAATAGAATCACCTGGTACCAGTATATTCTTGCATAAACTACCAAATTTACTAAATAAACACGATGTAGGTCGTGTTTCAATCAACACGCAAGTGACCGCTATAAAACTTATATGTTACACATAAATACTTATCCATGCCTAGTCTTTTATAACTCCACTATATGCTCATCTTTTATCTGACGGATCCATGGCGTCGCGCCAAGGCCATTACTATTCATAAAAGTCGCAAAGTTTATTATAATTATAGTAAAAGTTTATTAAATATTTATAATAAACATCTATCTAAATGTTTTCTAGTTTGAACCGACTTTAAAACTGTTTGACAGTCTGTCATTTATGAACCGACTTGTAAAATTATTTATTATTTGGGAGGATATATAAATGTAGCTTGGTCCAACCCATATTTGAAGAAAAACACCATCCTTAAGAGAGGAAAATGAAAGGAATGAGTCTTTAGTAAATCTGAATAGTAATAGTTGTTGTACTCCAATCAAATGTGATTTTTGTGCAGCCTTGTCTTACGGTACATGGCATCTGACATATTTCAGGTAATTCTTTCATTCGAAATTATTGTTACAGATGGTGAGTGTCGGTAGCGAGCCGTATCCACCACAATACTATGGTTCACCACCTTGCTATCAACATCCTCCACAGAGGATACCATATGTTGGTAAGTACAATTTTTTTGTATTTTTTAGTACAATTTGTTAAATATTATGATAATCATCATATCACTTATTGTAAATATTTATCTGTCAACAACATTTCTAAAGATTATTTTATGATACGACTATGAGGGTAAACGAGCAGAAATGGTTGTTTTAATCCTCAATCCAAAACTTAAGTAGATTTTTTCATAAAGCAATTTTCTAGTCGATGATCAAAAAATTACTAACTAGAAGGCCAGCATATCTTAGATTTGATCTAGTTCTTCATTTCGGTATATATATTCAATCAACTATAAAATGTACATGTGATTATTATTTGTCGCCCTCTCATTATTTCAGAATACCGAGGATGCCCATGCCCTTTAAACACGTGTCCAAAAAACGTCCTTATTGGGCCCGCTACTGGTAAAGCCCCAACCGGTAGCGGCCCCGCAGACGTACCCATGGCCATTGCACCGCCCGGGGGCGCCTTCAGAACGAAGGTGCGGGCGTGTGCACTTGACGCTGTCGCCGACACTCATGGCAGCGGCAAGGTATGTTACATTTTAATTAAATTCTGCAGCTGGAAGCTTTTAAAATATATAAAAAATAGAAGCACGCTTCTTATCACAGAAATTGCATTATTAGAGGACTTGCCTCCTATTACGTAAGTGAGACTAAAGTTATAGTCGTTAAAATGTGTGCGTTTAATAGGCTATGTAGCATTAATTAGAGTTCGTGAAAACACACTGATTAATAAAAAGTAAGTTGCTGAACATATGAAAATTCTATAATGTTTCGCAGGATCCACCGTTAGAGTCAGAGCCGCCAGCAGCGGCAGACGCTCCACATCCTTGTGCTATGCCAGCCATCGGTGGTGTTTCACCGAAACGAGAGCTTTATGACGTCAGAGATAAAATCCTCATTGCTAACGATATTCCTGGACCAGCGGAAGCTTTAGGCCCACCATCGCCAGCTCGTGGCTCTGCTGGAGCCTGTGCACCACAACCTCCACCCATAGCACCACGTCGAGCCCGCCTCGGCAAAGCAATGGCCAGGCGATCCCTAGCAGGCGATGATACAGGATTACTTCTATCTGTGCCTCAACCTTCATTAGCACATCATAGCGATGCTGATGATGATGTTCTCGCCGTATCTCCACCTACCTCCGCGCCTATAGATTTATCGTCATCAGATGAGCGATCGACACCACTAGTGGATGTGAAAAAGGAAAACGAAGGTCCAACGTATGCTGCGGCAAGAAAACCAGACGCACAAGCACTCCGAGAACATAATAGTAGCACAGTACTGGATGGAAATATAGTGACAGATACAAATAAAGCTGTTAAACGGAGATATTCACGACCAAAGCTAGAGATAGATATGAAAGACACTCAACTTGAAGACGGCTGCAAAACAAATGGAATCGGAGAGCACGTTAAACTTCAAAAGCGTAGAAAAGTATCGAGTGACCAGACGGATATTGCAAAGGCTGAAACTGTCACGAAAGAACCCAAAAAGAAACAATTACAAACTAAAAGAGCACCAAAAACACCCCAATCGGAAAAGAAATCCACGAAAAGAAAGTCAGAGAGTAGTGTTTCAAATACTAAGCCAAAGAAGATACTACTTGACAATCCTATTGACGGGGATGTTCGGCTGAAGAACATTGTAGCCGTAACTGAAGAACCCTTAACAACCAAACCTAAGAATAAAAGTGCATTACTCCTCGATAATCTAATAAGGAAAAATAGTATTGATCGGCCAGACGCAAAGGCTTTCTCCGATGCCGAACTGAATCCTGCTGAATTATTCCTTTCTCCTAATGAAAATATCGCGCAGAATTGTGCCAAGAAAACCAATATAAATAATAATATCGTAGAAAGTACGACTAGTGTTAATGGTGTTCATGCCAATACAATAGCAGCCGTGAGTCAACTGATAGGAAAAAAATTGGCGTACAAAAACGCTTGCAAATTAGAAAAAGTCGATTCAAAAGTAACTCACGGAATAAAATCCGTATTAAAAACACCCATCGCTAAACACTCTAGTTCAAAAGAGGACCGAAAAACATTAACCAAGGCAGAACCTATAGGTGACAACGCTAGGACAGCTGGTCTCACGACAGGAGAAAAGGAACTTGGTGACAAAATAGAAATTTCAAAAGACAAAGAAAACTCGCTCTCTCTAGACGCAAACCCTACAGAGAATATTGAGACAACAGTACAGGCCGAAGAAAAATCTGGAGTCGTCGATGTAGTAGAAAATCCTGGGGACGAAAAGGTAAAAACAACGCGCGAACCGGAGATAATTGAAGTTCCAAAGGCAGAAAGGACGACAGTGAAGAGGTGCAAGTTGTCAAACGGAGATTTGAAGGCGAAGAACGTGGAGAAGGTCGTGAAGTTGCTCGTGTCAAAGAGGCCGCCGATCAAGACTGACGAGGCTACGCTGGTCGTGGAGGAGGCGTGCGCGCCGGCGCCGGCGGGCGGCGTCATGAGGCGAGCGCGGCGCCGCGGGGCGCACGCGGCGCGGCGCGGCCGTCGCCTGCTCGCGCCGCCCGCGCCCCCCGCGCTCGAGCCGCACGCGCCCCCGCGCTGGAGCAACGGCTGGAACTGGGACGGCGAGCATTACTTGTCCAAAGTCTACCTCAATGTGAGTGTGATCTTCCCTATAATTATAGTTCAACACTACATATAACATTCACATGTAACTTTGCTTTCGATTCTTATTAATAGTTGTGAAATATATTTAGTTAACCGACTTCAAAAAGGAGGAGGTTCTCAATTCGATTGGTATGTTTTTTTTTTATGTATGTACACCGATTACTCTGAGATTTATGATCCGATTTACGTGATTCTTCTAAAGTTTGATGCGGAATAGTTGCCATTTGGTCACATAAAAATTTAACATAGTTAGGCCCAGTAGTTTTCATTTTATGAACATTTTTAATGAATATTATAGTTTACTTTGATGATATAATTTTAGTTTGTGTACGGCCTTTTTAGGAGTTTACATTTAAGTTGATTATATAATATTTTATGAACATTTTTTTAGGAGTTTTCATTTAAGTTGATTATATATTATATTATGAACATTTTTTATGAATAATATTGTTTACTTGGATGATATAATTTTAGTTTGTGTACGGCCTTTTTAGGAGTTTTCATTTAAGTTGATTATATATTACTATTAACCCGTGTCCCGATAAGTGGGTCTTAGGCTACCTGTCATTGAAGCGGAGCGAGCTTGCGGAGTAGAGAAATTGAGAAATATTATAACCAATACGATTGCATATAAAATCTCGGAACGAAGAAATAAATTAGGGGGAAATTTTAAAAATAAGTAAAAAAATTCATCTAGATTTAACGGTCTTAATCGTTGCATTTCCTGTAGTGCTTTGTGTAATAATTTAGATGGTTCCAAATCACTTAATGCCACGCCATCTAAATTCTTTACTCGACTTAAAGCCACATATATCTGACCTTTTGCAAATTTTTTTTCCGAGATTTATCATCGCCCTCTCCATTGTCGTACCTTGGAGCTTGTGAACGGTGACACCCCACTTAAAATTAGTGGCAGCATTAATCTCTCGACATCACCGTAACCTTTATTGGCCTGAAAAGTTGCAGATGTTGATGCGATTGAAACAAGGCCCTCCGCATCTTTTACCCTAGTGCCTACCGTCTCGTCATCAAATTTAATCAATACTGCTTCGGGCAGTTCTCCTGCTTCTAGTTGGTCGCGGCGAAGGGCTGGCCACTTGATTTTTTTTATTGCTCCGTTGACTAATCCATCAAAGACCGCCATATTTCTTCTCAGCATCACCCTAGAGCCTATCCCTATTTTAATTCTGTGTAACAATCCACCACAGTTGTTAACATCTACACGAATGACACTATGCGGAGGCCGTTTACCATTTCAGACGTCTCTTTGGCAAGACGTTCTTGAATCTTAGCGAGTCTAGACATACTGTTCAAGAGTTTCTTGACGTGAACGTAATTTTATATAATTTTTCATAGCTAACAAACGTTCTTCACGATCTATCTCTTTCTCACAAGAACGTGAAATAGAGTTTTAAACAGCATTTTTTCGGAGTCGATTTCTTTTTTCCGTTCCCGTTTCTTGGGATCTATATTGTTTAAGGCGCGCTGCACCTTTCGTAGGCGTACCCATAGCTACTTACTATTTGAAAACTAAAAAAAATACTATTAGATATATGACAATAAAAAGCAACGAAATGTTATAGTTTACCTGATGTAATCTAGAAAAATCCTACTGTAGTTAACAGAACAACCTATTTCAGACACTAAAAAGTAAAAAATAAAAAAAACTACGTTTAAAAAAACCGACTTCAAAAACTAAAAAGTATAAAATAACTTAATAAAGATTAAATTTAATACACCTCTTATGCAAACCTTTAATATTAATAAAATACTATTGTTTGTATGTGCTACCTATTGATAGGTTTGAAGTCGGTGCCAAGCCCTAAACAAAATTAAACTTAATATTATAAACAACTTACTTACTATTATGAAATTTCCACACTAAAGATTAACCTACGTAAATAAACCTAAAAACAATGTGAATTAATGTGAAACAGATGAAAACTTTATTATAAAAATATATATAATATTAATACCTGGATGAGTAACTATAGCTATATTAACCCTATATTATTCGTATATATGTGGCCCTGAAAAGGACCTTTTGGTTTGCGTATTGTGTGACGAGCACACAACACGTTAAGTAATAATCCATACCTACAATTATGAAAACAACTTGTATAGAGCTTCGTGCAAGAGGTAAATTAATAGGTAATAACGCATCAAAATTTTACTTTATTTCGAGACGACCGTCAACGACGTCTGCCCGCGTGAGTTGTTTTGTTCTAGACGAAGCTATCCTGCTCAAAGTCACGCGCGGCGAGTGTAGGCACCTATTACATTTCGCTTGGCACCGAATTGAAACTAGTGATGCGCAAAATGTATCACTGAGCTGAAAAGATTGATATATATCATTTCGCTCAAAAGATATATATCACTCATCTAGCTCACTAGCTCATTTAGCTCACTAACTCGTTTAGCTCACTAGCTCATTTAGCTCACTAACTCGTTTAGCTCACTAGCTCATTTAGCTCACTAACTCGTTTAGCTCACTAGCTCATTGATCCGATTCTATTGATTGGTCTCACAATTAATTCATTTCTTCATCTAGATCGTTTAGCTCAGTATACTCGTATATCACTCACTTTAAGCCTCTCTCGCCATACAAACCTTTCTTTATTTTCATATTAACCTAAATTCAGTTTTTGAAACTACATTTTTAACCAAATTTTTATAAATACAATTTTATTCATTTTGATAAGATTACATAATTATTAACATCCTTTTACATAATAATTAAAAATAAGAATTTTTTTAGGTTGTATAATAGAAATCATACATAATTTGATTTTCCTTGTACTTGGCTTAATTCTTAAGTAATATTAAACTTAGATCCTATAGAAATAATGTACATTTTGCATAAAGAAACCTGCGTGAACTCAACCATCATCTATCTCACTCATTTATCTTTAGTCTCACTCGCTCATGAAACAAAGATCGGCGTCGTTGAGCTAGTGATCTAGTGAGTTAGTAGTGAGTTACTGATATATTCAGAGCTAGTGTGAGTGAGTGATACATTTTATCGTCGTGAATGATATATATCTTTTATATCACTCACTCAGGAGCTACACAACTCTAATTGAAACCTATCAATAGGTAGCACATACAAACTATAGTATTTTATTAATATTAAAGGTTTGCATAAGAGGTGTATTAAATTTAATCTTTATTAAGTTATTTTATACTTTTTAGTTTTGAAGTCGGTTTTTTAAACGTAGTTTTTTTTATTTTTTATTTAGTTAATGAAATATTTAAAAAAAACATAATTCTGTGAAATTTTTAAAACCTTTTACTTTTTTAAATAGAAATGACATAGAAGGATTTCAAAATTAATTTGAATTAATTTTCGCAAGTAAATGTGCCACTTGCACCACCGATGTAATGTAGGTACATTTTATTTTGTACATACATATACAAACATACAGGTCGAACAGAAGTGTGCCTTCTATTCGACCTTCGAAATACCTGAACCTAAAGGGAAAGATAGTTGAGTAAAAATAAAATACGTGGTTTGTGCACAGAACGACACGCGGCAGGACCGCGCGGCGCGGTGCTGGTCGCGCATGACGCACGCCAGCGGCGACAGCGTGGCGCGCGGCGACTGCGTGCTGCTGCGCGCCTCGCTCGCGCGCGCACAGCCCTACGTCGCCAGGGTGGCCAGCCTCTGGGAGAACCCGGATGATGGTTAGTACACATACTTAATTATACATCTATATCTGATCCCGGTTCTTAAAGTATAGACTGAGTGATTGAGAGCATTAAGTTCGTCTCGTAGACGAAAAACAGTGAATGCAAAAGTGAGTGAAAATAAATGAATTGTTGCACGCATAGCTACTCCACCGATTACGATCATCGTAAATATGACGAGGATTATGATATCTCTTTTACGGATTGAAAGTCTATTTTTTAAACAAAATTCTTATCGTTCTACAGGAGAAATGATGGTATCCTTAGTGTGGTACTACCGACCGGAGCACACGGAGCGGGGCCGTCAGCCGACCGACGCGCCCGACGAGGTGTTCGCGTCACGGCACAGGGACGCCAACTCCGTCGCGTGTATCGAAGACAAATGTTATGTGCTCACCTTCAACGAGTATTGTAGGTAAGTAAAATTAAGAAACGGGATGCTACAATAACCGTTTTTGCAACATTAACATCCTCAGAATCATGCAACTAAAACGTCCTCGTAATTATTCTCTAAAGTCCTGGGATACTTTTTTTTTTTAAACTTTAGTATTGTGACTGGTGATCGACATACAGTTTGTACTATTGCAGGTACCGCAAGCGGCTAAAAGCGCTAGAGGAAGGCGTGGCCATAACACCGTCGATCGTGCCGCCGATGCCAGCCAGCGAGGTGAGCCCGGCTGTGGCGCCCAACGACTCCAAGTTACCGCCCTCGGTCTCCCCGGAGCTCGTCCTCTTCTGCCGCAAGATCTACGACTTTAGATCCAAGAAGATTCATGTCCCGAACAAATGAACTCTGTGAACGAACTGTTTGGATATCTTTCGAAAGGTCGATCTGTGCCGTGTGAGCTGACGAGACGTCACAATTTTTATAATGTATTTTATTAAAAGGAAGTGAACACCAAAGTTACGTTACGAGTTTATCTGTTTTTTGTCAGCGGTAATACAGTCGGTTCGTTGGGCCTCCGGGTGACGAGGACCCGAGGCAGAGGCTCGATCGTTTCTTATATTGTAGTGTCTCATTGCAAACCCTTAAATTAGTACAAAAATAACGCGTTCCCGGGTGCAAATCGTAGAATGTGTAACCTGTGTCCATTTTATGTGAAAAATAAACTACGTAATCGTTGTGTTTAGTAATCGCCGAACGGTCATATTTTGCTTGTATTGTGATGTCGTAGATGACTTTGTTTTTTAATTAGAAATTAAAGTGATTTGCGGTATTGATTTGATTTAAATAAATAATAATTTTTATCAAGTGATGCCTTTTATAATATGTAAGTAGTTTTAAGGAAATCATGTTGAAAGAGGATGCATAATTATGTATAGCGATATATTTTTCTTTCTCATTCGAAGTAAGAAGCGAGAATGTCCTATTTATTCTCACTCCTACAAAAGCGATGGGAAATACTAGGGAACTGATTTGAATAGCTATTCTTAATAGCTGATACGATTTTGTATGACAGTTATGTTCTTATTTGGCTACGTGAAAAATGAAAAGGCATTTATAATGATTACAATTATGTTTAATTACCTATTTGTTATATTGTTGTCAAGGTAGAGTCTATATTAAATTATTCTTTTAATATTTAAATGCACACTGTTGCACGTGAGCATGTCAGGATGGTAGCGAGTGGGTCTTCTGTGTGTTGCGCAAGCCGTCACATCACAACAGTCACAGTGCGATAACTATGTGGTAGGTAATCGTATTGTTTCCAACCATACTTTAAGTTTCTAAAATACAAGTGATTCTTTTAAAAGTTCTTAATATTTAAAAACGAAACATCACAAATTTTGCAACTTTTATGATTTTAATACATAGGAACATACGGGCTGAAGGTTGCTTCGGCAAAGTTCCGTAAAGTGTAACTCAGGTCTTAAAGCTCTTTTAACATTATATTTGCAGTCGAATTTTAAACCTATTTTATATCGAACTGGTTTAGAATAAAAGTACTAAACTATTACCCTGCCTTTGAAGGAATTGATTTAAAAATTGCAATTCGGCCTTATAATATCCAAACAGGCAGTGATTTTTACTAGTGCCAGTCAAGAATAGTTGCAGGAAGACTGATTTTGCAAAACCAAGAATTATCTACTTGTTTCTTTAGTATCTAAATTTCTTACATACACGAGAACATTCAATGTTATTTAATTTACATTATATTCAAAATAACAATGGGGAACAGATATACATATTTAAACTAGTATAGGTCTAAACAAAACGAAACACTTGTGTGTAAAAGAGATATATTGTAAGACTAAAATAGTGAAATCTCTTTATCATTAGATACCTAATTGTAAGTAGTGCGGAAATGAAGAATATATATATTTAACGTTATATTTCCCATGGGGGAAATGATATAAAGGCATTTAATACATTTCACTTTGTGGACCTGTCCCTGTTATCTGCCTTCACTATTTCCTACAATGTATCTCTGGATTGTGTTAACTATCGTTGTATATAATTTAATTTCCTTTATTTAGAACTTGCTACTTTATTTGTTATATTTCCAGTGAGATGTGTAATCGTTTTTGGTATGTATCGAACATTCGGAATCTGTGAGGGCAGTTCTATACGTTATGAAGAAATATGTGCATTCCGTATAACGATAGATTCTAATTAAATGCGATGTAATCCTGTACATAACAAATGGACTTCGCCTTAATTACAGTATTCTTCCTTTTTTGAATCATTTACTATTATAATACATCTTTATATTATCTACCGATAATGTTAAGTCATATGTCTCAGTTGCTTTGTATATCTGTCCGTGTTCTTGCCTCACGAGTTTCAGGCCACAAAAAACTCTTTTTCAACTGTCCCCGAATCATACTTTATGGTCACATACAAAATATATACATGTTATGTAAAACTTGATATTAAATTGAAATACATACAATTGTATGATTTTATTTTAGTCAAACGTTTTAGGCGACTATAGTAATGGTGATCAAATAAATGTGTTTTCTTTTGATTCATATACAGCACAATCTCACTGGTTGTCTTATCCAAAGTTTTTTTATTCTTTTTCATTGCTTGATGCCAAAAATTGCTGCAAAGTCTATAATTCAGTAATGATGTCATACCAATCTCCTTTCTATTTAGGTTTAAATAGATAACGGGGGAGTCGGCGCATGAATGTCTAGTATCACAAACAGTCCATGTCCAGTATCTAGGTCCTAACCTAACCTCTATTATTTCAATACAATTTTTGAAATCACTTTAGTGCGCTTATACCATAGATTTTATAGATTGATGGAGCACAAACTGCCTCAAATAAGAGACGAATATTTCACTTCTCAGATGCTGATTTTCCCGACATCAATATAAGTACTCATTATTCATTAATCATAGTTACTGAGTAAATTCCATAATAATAAATAAATCTACGAGTAAGAAACCTTGCTTGTAGCAGCATTGTTTTAAAGAATGTTACCTGGATATTTCGCGTTGCAACCTTCTATAGTCAATGATTTTAGTGTTAGATTTACTAATAAGGAAATACCTTGTTTTTATTATTTATTTTGTTTCAATGAAAATTATATAGGTATATTTTATTATTGTAACCTACATAGTTATGTTGGCTGTAATTTAATATTGATGTAATTAATATATGTATTTTTATTTCATTATCGTGTTTTATTTTCTGGCTAGATTTAAAATAAAAAATCCTATTTGATTGAAACCCAATACGGTATGAACATTAAACAGTTACAATAGGTCTCATTTCTACGCTTAACATCTGTATCGTTGATATCCAATTGCAAGTTTAAGCGCAAACCACAAGAATTAACTACAACGATACGTTATGACGTTACACAACGTATCGACAAGGGCTTCGGCCACATTTACAATTTCTAAAAAGAGATAACTGAGAATAGTGGAAGTGTGTAGTATGAAGAAAATCCTCTTGTTACTTAAATCTCAAAAGTATTCAACCATAAACAGACCAAGATGTTTAACTAACCTTTAATAAAAGAAATAATAAACAATAAAGAAACAACAAGTGTACAATTGAACGGCCATATATTCTAAGGTGATTATTTCGTAAAATATTGATCTACAGCTTATAATTATTTTTTTGCAAATTCAGTCTTCAATTGTCACAAGTTTCTAACTAAAGTAGTTGCTGAGATCTCCATAGCCGCGCAATCCTCCGCGTTACGTTCACGCGGCTAACTTAAAACCCTTATAACTTCTTTATTTCTACTTTGACAAATTTTGAGTTCCCTTCGATTATAAAAAAATATTGGCCAGGTTTTTTTCTGTTTGGATAACGTGGCGGAGCAATTGTAATGCATAACATAACATACCGGCCTCAACCGGGATCTAAGGAAATAAATAACTGGAATCATCAATCATCATCATCAACAGCCGACATTTAATAGTCGACTGCTGGACATAGGCCTCTCCTTAGATTCCTCCTCCTCCTTCCTCTCCGTATTCTTAATCCGTCACCACACAGACGGGACACAAAAACGGGAATAAAGGACTGTATTTGTAACTCCATTTCTTGGCAATCAGAAATACTTTCTCCCATTAACCCGATTTAAGTAACTAATCAAATCTGTAAATATAGTTTTATTTATCATGAAGCAGTACACAATAAATAACACAAAATTTCAAATAACATTTCAGTATATAGATATTACATATACACATTTATATAATTTCAAATCACGTGAACTTTCACAAGGACAACATTTACTAGTTTTTACACGCTTTATGTTAGCTTCACTTGTATGTTTGTTTGTATGTTTGTAACCAGTCGGTTTGGTTTGTAACCAACCTTTGGGCGTGATTTTGACTGACTTTAAACGGTCAGAATTCGTTCAAACTTTGTAGATATATCGAGGACCGATGACAATACACTAAGAAAATAAATTTGAAAAAAAGCGTGGGGTTACGGCGGTAAGCTTTTTACTATTGACAACAGGCACTCAACGCTTATTTTCAAATTTATTTTCTATTTTTTAGTTCGGTTTTCTATAGAAAGCGTGTTTTTTAGTTTTTTAAAAGTACATTTTTTTTAATAATCACATTATCGTCTTTCTATAATATAATTGCATTTTTATTTTTTATTTGAGAGGGGGCAGACGAGCAGACGGGTCACCTGATGGAAAGTGACCATCGCCGCCCATGAACGTCTGCAACTCAGGAGTCACAAACGCGTCATAAACGAACAAATACTTTTTCTCCTTAATTTGTAAATGAATAGTATACGTAAAACACCATAAGTATTCTAAAAGTGTGCGCTGCTATTAGAAGTTAATACCAGCCAGTACGTAGATACACAAGAGTTTACGCAGTCATTATTGTTATAACGGTATGAATGTGATTTTAAATAAAAAAATATGCTCCCAGTCCGAAATGCATATTATACTTACTGACAATTATACTGTCTATTCATAAAAATTTTAATTATAAAAAAAGCAAGATATGTTTATGTATAACAATGTTGTGGTATATTTAATGATGACATTGTATCTATCTGTTAATTTAAAAAGAGTGGCCGTGAGTTTGTTTGCCCGTTCTTCTCATAAGGCCCCTTGGAAACGGGCGGTTGTAGATGGCACAGGTATTTAATGGATTTTCGATAGGTATCATTTTATTATATTATATTTATTTTGCTAAATTTTTGACAAAACAGATATTGTAGCTATTATGTGTGTTGATCAATGACTTTAGAGTTTACATAAAATACGATTTCAAACAATAAAAAATAAAAAGAGAAAATGAAAAAAGATATTTGGATTTTGAGTTTATGCTTAACTTGTAAGAGGACCGATGTCGTTAAATACATTTGTTAATGAAAATAAAAATTTGGTACTAGTTGCGAGTTGCGACTGCACACCCATAGAGCAAGACAGGCCTCCGGCGCGTGCACACCATACAAGAGATATCGGCGATCGCTTCGAAAGCTTTCCCTTGTTTTTATTTTTCCATGTGTACATTAATTAATTTACATTGCGAAAAATACTTTATACTTGCATAGACAAACTTAGACATGTTAAAAAAATACCTACATAACACAATTCTAAATAAACATAATCACGCCTGTGGCTTATAGGTATCTATGGCAAATCCTTAATCGCTAATTTACAAATCAATCCCAATCAAAGCTCTTGCAAAAACCTAGTAATAAAAGTTCGGTCAATTCGTGTCTACTCTAGTTAACTCGTAGTAAATTATGAAACCGATATGCTGGTTTTAGTAATATTTTACTATGAAAATACCCTTTATGACAATTGCGAGATCTAGTTAATCGGAACTGAATTTTGACCGAACTTTTAGTACGAGAATTGGCCTTCGGATATCAGAATATGTTTACAGTAAACGGAACATGAACGTTTGAGTTTCTATACAAGAAAACCTGGTTTACGTTATTACGCTCACTAGTCTTATCTTTTTATTACTCTAATAAATATCCTACACACATTCAATTAATTCTAATGTAATGAGTGTAATGTGTAATGACATTATATTTATGTATATTATTTTCTCTCAGTATATTGCTCACTTAAGATACAGTCAAGAAGATTAGATTTTTTATTTAATCCCATCCAACATTATAGGTACAGGCCAAAGTGAGTTCGTATGTTTGGTAAGCTTTTATCATCACGACGACGACGATGTTCATAAAAACACAGAAAACTTTAATCAGATTATAATACGGGACCAAGGCTTATACCTATGACGTGCGTTACACAATACTATTCTTCATCATGTTTGTTAACCACTGTTAGAAGCGGGTTATTGCCGATAGTCTACATGTTTTTGATCTCAAATAGGACAGCTTAGCAGAGGCTAGTAAGCATCTTAAGCTATAATTCTATAATTAACGATAGTCTATAATTGTAATGAGAATCGGTGCTTATTTTTCATACAAGTACACTCATCCAAATTCATAATCTACTAACCTACTAGGGAATGTATATATTGAATCAGATCACTTTGTTTAAATAAACACAAGCTGTAGCATATCATCAGAATCTTGTTTAATTCCCTAACAACTTTTCTGTCCTAAAGATTTTGGCACCTTAAGTACCTATTCCCTGATATCAAATAGAATTCTTTAATTACTGATAGCAAAGCAATAATCAGCATAGTAAAGTTTCACATTATTTCACTTCATTATCATATAAAATTCTCAAGTAATAGTTGTAGTATATTTCATAAATGTGTATGCAAATAATCTCTCAATTCTAGTTTTGGAACTGAGTTTACTGATTGGCACTGCATCATAGTTTCAGACAGTTACAGAAAGTTAATCAGTTTCACTGATTCACTTTGTTTCATTCATTTCAGTTTGGCGAATTTACTTGCTACATTGAGTAGATATCTTTATTACCCTGTCCTTATCTGCATGATAAATGCTCATTTTGGATACAAAGAAGAACACACTATTAAAAATTGTGGTAAGTCTTGAGCATTAATCATTCCAATACTATATTTACACATCACATCAACAGTTTCTGATAGTCCACTGCTGGACACATACCTCTCCTTAGAAAGGAGGTTTACACAAACCATTTTAACCCACTTTCTATCGCCCAATCTTAGGAACAAGGATGACGATTTTTAAGCTTTAGCACTTTACGAGAGTTTAATGTGTGAAAATTACATGTTATTTTATAAAGACAACTAGACATTTTGATACAGGACCAGAATTTGTACTTAATATCTGGGAATAGGTTGAATCTATGCAGCAAAAAACTTGGCAAGTTCATATTGGTTGTATATACTCTACTTCTCAAGATATTCATTGTGGCTGAACTTAATAAAATCCCACACATGAGTAGTTTGGCAAAGGACAGAAGAACTTCAGTTTTTCTGCCTATCTGAAAGTTCTTTGTAATGTTCTCAAGGACCATAAAGGAAGACATGTTTATGTTGGACTAATGCACTTCTTTTATTACATATTAATTAAAATACAAATGCTTAAACTGTATTTTAGCATATAAATATTTCTTGATACAATATAAAATAAAATTTAATACTCATCTGCTTTACACATTAATCTCATAACACTAAAGAAACTATTCTAGCCTTGTAACAGGTACTACTAAGAATATGCATACATGAATCAAGCTGACACACACCCATATGCCTTAAGACTTACATAGTTTTATTATTGCCCATTTTTTTACCATCATTACATGTAAAATATCAACATCAACAATATATTCCTAACTTCTAATAGATTTGACTTTTTGTTCAATGTGACAAGGATGTGAGATTGATATAATTATATCATTATTAGATTCATTACATTTCTTTAAAATTTCCCCCAGTTTTGAATTAAGAATTGTCCAACAGACAATTTTACTCTATATTAAACATCAGTCAAAGATTACTAGCTTTCTTGGTAGAAGCCTCTTACTCTTTGTCACTTCTAGATTACAATTTTAATGCAGGTCCATATTGATTTTTACTTTTACTGGCATTTGCTAAATTGATCACATATTTTAAGACTTCAGTCCATTATTTAACACTTATATAAGTAGTTTGGTGTTCTTTTAGTTGCAACAATTAAGACAGTAACTGATAAAGATTTAATAATACCAGTGACACTTCTTATTACCTACCACTTGTAAACAACTCTGTGTTATAATAGATCCATCTAAACACAGCATGCTATCAAGTTCCACTTTAGGCCATTGTATAAGAAACAACATCTTGTCCATATATTTGTGATGATAGTATTAGATTTGTATCTTCTTATATGTTTTCTCTACTTCTTCATATACAAGAAAACCCAAAAAGCAATAACTGTATATGTTTTTTCACACTACCATTAACTTAGTTCCATAAAAAAATAAAATTTTAATTTAACCTAATCTTTACACAGTGGTTATAATAATGGCTACTATAGTATTTCCAAAGCTTCACATTACACATTGAAAACATGAAATACATTTATTTGAACTATGGCCATATAGTAGAACATCAGAGTACCTCAGAAATTACAGCAACTGTTGGTCTTTCGAGCTGTCTTATAAAATAATTTACTCTGTGCAGATAGACTCTCCGTTTTAGCAACAACATCATCTAATTTTTCACCTCTTTCTAAAACTGCCTTTATAGTATCATGAAGAATTATTTTTGTTTCATCCAAGTCATTTTGTATTTTTGTCAATGCATCAGCTTCCTTAGGATTCTGGTATTTAACCAAATACTGAGGCAAAACATTGAAATCTACTGTGTTCTCATTAGCAGTTGCCCATGAAGTAGGAGGTACCGTTGCGGAAAACTCGTCCAATATTTTGGTAATAAGTGTGTGTGCAACTCTGTTTGGATACTCATGATCAGATATCAGCACTCCTGCTAAGTTATCATGTCTAACATACACTTGAAGCATGTATTCACCTTCCTTGACAGACTGCCTTGATGAAGGTTGGGTTCTTTCTACGATTGTTTTGCTAACAAACCCCATGAATTCCTGGACAGAACTACGTTGGAAAATGCTAAAACTTTGCAAGCTGTATGCAGCTTTAAGAAGTGACGCACTAGTGACTCCTTTGTACAATACAGCCAGGGCATAAACCTTCACCATGTTGATAGCTATCTTCAATTTATTTTTGAGTATTGTACTTTAACTGAAATCAAGAAATAACGAAAAACATTAATCTACTACTAACATATTCGGAACAGCCATATTATTCACCACATAAAACATTTATTACTATTATCGTTATTAAAAACCAGCTGTATATTTATTTCTATGAAAGCATTTAGCAACGTAGTACATACTTGAATCGAACGCAACATTATATTATGTGACTTGGAAAGACTCACCTACTTTAGTGCATCTATTAGCGGATGACATATAAGTCAAATAAGTATAAAAAGTTAAAAAAAGGCTCTAATTTTTGTCTATGTACAAGGAAAGTCCATGTTATAAAGAGAGTTAACAAAAGGAATCAAGGGATATTAAATCTTGGTGTTGAAATCGATGACCACTGCTTACATACGTCAAAAATATACTTTTAATGTGTCATCAAGTCCAACTAGTGATGGCCAATCACTTACTAATTTTTATTTTAAGATGGTTTCCCCTAAACTGAGGTATGGGTAAGAAATACACAAATAAGCTTCTAACTATATACCGTTGTCCCCCCTATAACACGGTAGATATGTTCCGAGTTAAAGGAAAACAAATGATTTACGTTGTACTTAAGTTGGTTAAGGGGGTTAAAATCGAATTATGAACTAATGAACTAATTATGAACTCTACAAATCATTTTATATTTCACAGTACAGAAATATAACGTGGGAAATCCCCGCGGGAATACCCGTGCCATACGAGGGATTGAAATCGCGTAATATGAAAATGCGTTATAAGAGTACCGTGATATACGGGGGATTACTGTAATATTTAATGTTTTCAGTGTAATTTTATATTATTTTTACTTTAAACAAGGAAGTTTTAATTCGACTGATTTTTGGAACGAAGTTCTTTATGGGACGATGTGGATTTCACGAGAAAAGACTACGTTATGAAAAGCGTTAGTCGCTATCATAGACGTCGCTATCTCGCATCGAGAGAAAGTAATCCGTCTACTTGAATTGCGCACTTTTATTAAATTTGATTTTTAGAGAATTTGATAAGGAATACCAGTTTTGTTTTTCTACAGTTAATAGTATCAGAATTAATACACACATTTTAATTTAAAAAAATATGCTCTTTATTTAACTACTAGCTGCAGTTCATTAGCAAATCAACTTTTTTTGTTTATACCTAAATATATTTTTTTTAGGTAGAAACCTGACCAAAATTCATACATCAAAATTTGTCAAATACCATGAGGAACTTAGTTATTTTTGGGTGCATAGAGTTAATATATGACTAGAGTAGGAAAGCTGGCTGTAGGCGCGTAATAGCGTTAGAGAGAGAAGAAAGATTGTGCGGGTCTCTAACGCTGTCACGGTTCCCCTTACAGATTACGGTTCTCTATGTTCGGGTTCCCACGACTCCACACGACACAACGATTATCATTATCAGCCTATCGCTGTCCAGTGCTGGATGGACATAGGCCTCTCCCATTGCACAATTTTTCCTAGCTAAAACAACATGTAGATATAGCACGTATTTTAGAATACAATATGTAGTTGAGCCACTTTGTATAGCCACAATAATTAACTCATCAACTACTATCAGAAGTTCCGTAAACTCAATGCAAGTTACACGAATTTCAACTCGTGGTAACTAGAGTCGTGTTTTGCTCAATTGTGCACATCTACGAAACGTCAAAGATGCATCCATACTTCTCACACAATCTCCACAATAATCTGTGATTCTGGTTCAAACTTGTCATGTAATTGTTATTGTTATTACCTTAAATTTCTTAGATTTCAAATCTAAGGTAATAACAATTTCAAGTTACCTCAACTTTTATAAAGTTAAACTTTATTTTTTGACTGTTACGGCTTAATCATTACTGTCGATAACATACGAATGAACCTTAAGTTGACGTTGACAGTTGAATGAATTTTTAATTGACGAAATGATGGATGTAGACAATTTAAACGAAAATAAAACAAATATACATAAATGGCTTTATGGCTTATAGAAGGCCGCTTCAGTCTTCTTTTTTGCCGCTCGTTTCTTTTAACACGAATTTAAGATTTTTTTGGAATAATATACATAATATAAGTGATGGCTGAAAGTACAGAAAAGGTGGAGTGTGGCGTTGATGCTCGCAGACGTGTACTCAACATAGCTGTTTCTACGGTTCTTCTCGAAACAGGTTTCGATGCTGCTGATAAAATGTCTTTAGAAACACTGACTGAAATGCTTCAAAGCTGTAAGTAGGAATGCTCTTATTTTCCACGTCTTAGTGACTAAGTTTTTTCCATGTTTTTGGAGGGAAATACAGAACAACTTAGGAGGAGAACAATACAGAGCTACTGAGAGGTTGTTAATTCTATAGTAGGTTCAGTTCCAGACTAAATTTATCTGTGCCAAATTTCATTCAGCCGCTCTGGTGTGTGAGTGACAAACAATTATACTAAATGTGTCTTCACAAACTTTTACATTTATTATATAAATGGGATTCTATCAATTCACTTAAACAAATAATAACAATAAATCAATTCGAAAATAACTTACTCTTTGACTGCACCGAGTGGTGTAAGTGGTCTCTGGGTTTAATTCCTACATGGGACATCACTTTCTAAATCTGGGTGTTCTTTGTGTCCATTACATATATTGTGTATACACACAGAATATATTCATATATGAATCAAAAAACAAGCTTTGTGTGAAGTTGATCTCATCATCAAACCTAGCTTTCTAACTTTATTTACTAACTTAACTAAGCAGGTTACAATTTTCCAGTTTTCACAGAAGTTGGCAATTCAGCTAAGGGTTACTGTGAATTATCAGGAAGAGTAGAACCAGTTCTTGGAGATGTAGTGATGGCTCTTATTAACATGGGTAAGTTCTTAATGTAACTTACTTTAAACCAGATAATCTTAGAGCATATCTGAAATTTTAAAAAGAAGTTTTGATGTAGTGCTGTAGTGCTTTTCAAGGTAGAAGGTAAATCAGCTACCTACATGCAAATTAGTGGCAAATTATGTATTATATAAATTGGTTGGCCAATTGGTCTAGTGATTAATGTTGCTGACTGTTAAACCTCAAGTTGTGGGTTCAATAACTAACTACAAGAAATAATTGTGTGATGTCGTCATAATTATTACTACAATCAAGAAAAAAAAAAATTAGATTTTAAATTATTTAGTAGGTAAACTGAGGGATTTGTTAGGTGAAGCATGTGGTTTTTATAGAAAATTATGTAATTATTAGTTGTTATTTTTATTGCATTTTAAAACAAACCCTATTTTTCACTTGTATGCCAATTTTCATATTTACAGATTTAGAATTAAATAAGTTATCTCAAAAAAGTAACAGAATTTAGAAATTATTTGAAATCTACATCTAAGATAATGTGATGAGCTTAAGCAGTGAATCTGTTTACACATACACATACAAATTATATTTTTATTACACATTATATGTGTATGTGTATGTACTTAGAATTATAAAATATGTTAATCAGCAGTCTGGTAACCATAGCACAGGGTCTCTCTAGTTTAATATTAGAATACTGTGTGTGAGATGTACCAAGTTAATATCATGCTTGTCTTACAGGCATAAGCCTTCAAGGATTAGAACAGTATGCAGCAAGACCAAACCGACATGTCATTCAACCTTTGCAGCAAGCGCCAGCTCCTAGGACTCCAGCAATGCTATCAGCAGGATCAAAGGCCAAACCTGCTCCTCACATACCCTTCCACCTACCACCTCTGCCAGATCCTCATGCATATATTCGGACACCAGTAGGTACACTATTAATACCTAAATCATTAGTAATCAATAGGTTAGAAGCCTGTAAACTCCAAGAAGCAAGAAGCTTAGCAAAGAATAACAAGGCTGGCTTAACTAGCTAGCATTATTTCCATGCTTAATTCAGAAATAGAGCACTCTACCAATACCAAATACCTATCTTGACACACAATAAAGTATGTAATACTTAAGTGTAATGTACTAGGGCAATGTAATGAAAATGTACTCACAATTAAGCTGAGCATATGCTGAAATGCAGAAAATGTTTTGTCAGTATAGAACTATGTAATATTTCTTTGTATAAATATACAAAGAAATATCGCACTGGCTATGTACTTCACTATACTCAATTATTTTATTTACTACATTAATTTTTCTGGTAGTGTCTGACTATTTTGTCTTCTAGACTAATTAGGATTTAAAAAATACTAAATTTATTCTAACGCCATGATTTGCACATAAATATTACAGACTCACAAGCAGCCAGTAACTGAATATGAAGCTATAAGAGAAAAAGCAGCCTCACAGAAGCGAGATATTGAAAGAGCATTGACTAAATTCCTTGCCAAAACTAGTGAAACACACAACCTCTTCAATACAGAAGATAACCAGGTCTTTCCTTGTGGGTATCACAACTTAATGTTATATAAATATACCATAAATAGTCAGAAAGGGCAAAATTACTAAATAAGGCAGATCAATATGATATTCATAGTAATAAGATTTTAGTCTTAACAAAGTATAATCATTGCATTTATTAAAAATACTTGTGTATCGGTTAGCTGCAAACGGAATGTTGCGCAGATACAAACAGAGCCTAAACACATTTTATATATTGTTTGCATGTCATAATTGGCTAATTGGCGAACAAGTAGTAAAAAACTTCAATTTATTTAATTCAGAATTATAACTAATTATAAAATGTACATGTATATATATTTCCAAACGATTACGTTTACATTTAAAATACTAAAGTGGTGGTAAAATACAAAAAAGTAAAATACATATAACACTTTTGGCAACAACTCGGAACTACCTGTTTCCGATACGCGAAATTACCCCTCTGATACCGTAAATATCATTTTGCTGCGCTGCTCGCGCGAACTTTGTTGACGCAGAATTATTTGGCGCGTACTATATTTGTCTGCCTCGATGGTGCAGTGGCAGCATATGCGACTTCTGTGCTGAGGTCTCGGGTTCGAATCCTGGGTCAGACCCAATATATGTATGATCTGTATTCTATGTATAATATGTATGGTATACACAAAAAAGTATAAAAGTATTCTATTATTCAATCAAGCTTTCATAGTACAAGCTCTTGACAGGTTTAAACTAGATGGCGTTGTGTGTTATTAAATATTATTTATATACCTGTCCAATTTAAGCAAAAATTCTGCACATAGTTTAAGATAAATTTTTAGCATAATTTCTAAATCCCTCCTCTGCCTCTTGCTCTACTGGAGAGATACCACAGGCTCACAGAGAACCAGTGTTATATCATTTTTTCATAGCTTTTCACCTGGTGACTATGTCAATCAGAGGTGTCAATCCTCATCTTACCCTAATTCTGGGGTATACAAAGGGGTTACTCGAAAAGTAGCAACTCACGTCTCTTGAGCCACAGTTGACCATTTGTCCCTATTCAATAAAAGTATTTAAACCAATTTCCTAATTTTCCATATTCCTGTTCATCAAGTAAAGAGTATTATTCCTATTATAGAAAATACAACTGAGTCAGAAAAAAATCATGTAATAGGGTGTTTCGAATGCATTGAGCCTTCGACATTAATATATTCAAAATACCTAACTAAACGATCTTATAAAAGTTCTCTGATTAGAACACATGGAAATTGTTTCAATGTAATATAGTAAATGATAAATATTAGATTATACTATTTGATACAATGTTGACAGTGGCATAATTAATCAACAATTTAGACAATGATGTAATTTGTGTACATTACACAAACTACATCATTGTCTGCAAGTATATTTTTCTTTAATCAATATTTTCAGTGATTGCCTGCAAGCCTACCTTTCCGGCATATTTACCATGTCTGTTACCAACAGATCAAGTCTTTGACTTTGATGAGTTGGAATATCACTTTCAAGTTGCCAACAGAACAGAAGATATGCCACCCGATAAAAAAGGTATATTATTTACTTGGGTATTGGTTGGTTTGGTATTATATAAAGGTACATAATATCTATTTATAAAAAAAATGTGTTAAAAATAAACTTATTTGATGCTAAAACATAGACCTTTTTCTCATGCTAATAGAAACAAGTTTTCCTATAAAATAAAGCATTGCAGCAAGCATCAAGCAGCCTAAGAGACTGCTTTATAATTATTTGTGTTTTTTTATTTCATTGGAATGTCAGAATAAATGTTTATATTTCTTTCTTTTATTCAATATTGTAATGCTAAAACACATGTCTCGAGTCTATCTTAGTGTTCCGCAATATATTGTACTAGCTGACCCGCGCAACTTCGTCTGCGTCTCTCAATAGTAATAAATTTTCTCCGTTTTTGAAACATTCTTCATTGGTGCTCCGCTCCTATTAGTCTTAGCGTGATGATATATAGCCTATAGCCTTCCTCGATTAATGGGCTATCTTACACTGAAAGAATTTTTCAAATCGGACCAGTAGTTCCTGAGATTAGCGCGTTCAAACAAACAAACAAACAAACTCTTCAGCTTTATAATATTAGTATAGATTAAGGCTTTTATGTATATTTTAAAGTGTAGTGCTAGTAATCTGATAGTAAAAGAAGTAATAATATAAAAATCCCATCTACTTTCAGGAGATCAATCAGATAATGAAGGAGAAAACATGGGTGATAATGACAACCCTAATAACTCCCAACTAGATGGTCCAGAGACTACAATGACTTCAAGCCCAGAACGGAGTAAGGCTGGTAATTAAGTAAACTAAGAGATATTCTAGTTTAATGTACAATAATTTAGTCTTTAATAAACTTTCTAATAATATTTATGGTTTTTCTTTTGCTAGCCATAGAAAAGTTGTCGTCAGAAAAAAAATAAGCTGTGAAACTTCATTGTGCAAATGCAAAAACCAGGATCCATTGTTCCTACTACTTATAAAAGACCTGGCCACTAGTGAAGCATTTGGGTAGTCGATAATAAATAAGCTTTACCTTTCGAAATCAGAATAGCGCCCGGCCGATCCGATCTCGTATTTTAGACACCCTAGCAGATTTATTACATTATAATTATCTTTTTGAAACAACAAAAAAACTCATTTTCTAGTGTACCTACTCAGACATTTCCTCACCACCCTAGTAGACTGGGAAAAAATGCCTGTGACATTAAGTCCGCCATTGTACAATTAATATTATACTATTCTAAATTATTACTTCAGCTAGCTTTAACTGACTGCCTATTGAAAAAACAAAACTACGAGTTTGGCAAACAATAATATTCATAATTATGCAGGACTGTAAACCTAAGTATGTACTCACACATTTAATGTGTGAGTTAGTAATAATAACTACCCAAATTGATAACAGTCTCAGAATAATGAAAGCAAGTGAAAATAACTAAATGATGTGATATAAACTAACCCACACGTTAAATGTGTGAGTAAATACTGTATTACATTCCTGGACACATGCGGCAGTAACAGGAGGGGATTGCTTGAGGATTTAACTGTGTTTGGAACATAAAAATAGGAATGAGGATGTCAGATAGGAAGAGGAAATAGTTGAGTTGAGAATAGAATAGAGGGTGGTAAGGGCACGCAGCTGACGGTGCTGACGTAACGTGAGCCAGTTCGATTCGCGACGAAAAGAGGAAACATGGTCGTGTTTGCGAAGGTTAAAGACAAATCGAATGCAGTTAGAAGATGGTCATAGTTATTGAGGAGATCTGCATTCAGGTCATAATAGCATACAAACTCAAACTTAAAATATCTTATTTCAATAAAAAAGTTTGAAATCTCCTTTTATTTAGACTAAAGTTGTAGCCTGCGCTTAATTAATCCCAAGCATTTTTGTTTTCTATGTAATCCACAATAGAGTAATAGGCTTTCTGACATAAATTACGTTTCATTGCGGAATTAAATTTGATAATACTTAAGTCTTGAATATTATTTGGGATTTTATTATAAAATCGGACACATTGACCTCGAAACGACTTGTTTATCTTTTGGAGGCAGGTTACTACAAGTTTATTTCTATTTCTGGTATTGATAGAATGTACATCACTTTTTTCAATAAGCTATCCTTGTTTTTATGAACATATATTACATATTGATTTATATATTTACATGCCACCACATGAGGAGATAACGGAACAGAGACAAAGCTTATTAAGAACGTGTAAAATTGTTACCTATTTTGGTAGAGTTATCTTTTGTTGTTTTTTAATCATTTATTGTTTCTTTTAATGGTGCGGTAAATTCTGAATCTAACATGAAGTTACAATCTTTAATACGTTTGTTTACCGTGGGAGAGCCATGCTTCGGCACGAATGGTACTATGCGGATCAACCGGAGTGATGCCACGGCTCCACAGAAAACCGGTGTTAAGCAATTCTTTCGTTGCCTTTCACTGAGTGCCCTTGGAGTCCCTCCCACTGAATTGAGCGGGAGGGACTCCAAGGGTAGCAACGCACTTTTGACTTGCAGGTGTCCGTGGGCGGCGGTTGTTGCTTACCATTAGGTGACCCGTCTGCTCATTTGCCCCCTTACACCATAAAAAAAAATCTTTGCTAACATTGACAATATTTATTTAAGATCGAAATATTCGCGAAACTTTTGTGTTTGTGTCTTTACTCTTATTTCTAGGGAGTAGTCAGTAGTTTAAGTGTACAAATCATGTACACTTAGTGCAGATTTTGCATTGCAAAGCTGAGCTCTACGAAAACGTTTTTCGACGACTTTCTATTAAGCGTTTCAAGACTTTACAAAGTAAACTTCCAAGCCAAGAGGAAGCAGCTAACTATTTCAATAGTATAGGTGTTATTGACTAGTCACGGAATCATGGAGATTTCATCTTTCTGCTGATTTGCTCCAAAATTATATAGTACGTGTTGATTGGGCCTGTTTAAGCATACATACATTTAAAAAAAAAGAGAGAAATGTAAATATTTATTAATAAAATAGCTATGTTTTTTGGTTTATTTATTTGTTTCAATTCTTGAAAATTTTAATTATAAATTTACACACATCAAACTACCAAAGGCACATAATAATGAATCCAATAGTACTGAAAAACTTCCCGAAACAGCAATATTATAACTTTTAAAGTCCTTCCGTGCGTGTAGCATCAGCTGATCTGCAGTTGATGATGTGAGTATCACCACACATTATTCTGTCGCGCATGCGCAATGCGCAAATAATTGGCTTGGAAATGCCACGACGGTTTTTTATTGCTTACAATAATAATTATTAAATATTTTTAAGAATTAGCACGCGGGCAAATTAAATTAGCGCAAGGGCAATTTTTTCACGCTTGGTAGAGTAAAAAATAATCATTTTTCAAAGAGATATGGCTATTTTAAGTAGAGGAAAATTGAAAATTATATTTCTATTTTTCCTGGGAAAACGAAAAACGGGCTTATAAATTAATTAACGTAGGTCGAAAGGGCTAATTGAGATCTATAAAATGAGATTTTTTTTATTTTGAAATTTTAATATTTGCAGGCCCGGAACGTGCCCGGTGTACGCGACACACGGCCAGTGGTCACGCGCACATGCCCCGCATGCTTGTAGTAGTGCAACCGATTCTCGCGGTTGTATGAAGCTTTATCTCTGTTCCATTTATCTACTCATGTGATGCCACAGTTATTATGTTTATTTCTTTAAATTTCTGCCTCAATGAAAACCAATTGCCTAAATTATTAAGTGCTCGAATTACTCTCCTTTGCAGTAAAAAAATAGTTTGAAACATCACTATTATTCAAGACAGGACAATAAGGCTCTAAGCTAGAATCACCTTTGCATCGGAACGAAGGAAGTTTTTAAGCCGATAGAAGGCCCATAGCGTACCTGTAACTTTTTGGCTGACGTTGATGTCCTGGATTATAGCGTTTTTTTGAAATATCTACTTAAAATATATAACTTAGATTTTTTATAGCTGGTATGACTTATCACTTTGAACATTTATGTCATTCATTATTATAAATGAAACTAACAATAACATAAGTTGTATCTTGTGGCATTTATAGTATTTGACATGTAGAACTATAACATAGAAACAGCACTGAAAAATAATCACATTTTTTGACCAAACTAAAAAATTCATAACCTATAGGAGGACTAAATAATGGGGACCTACAGAATGATTTAAACCATCACCAACTTTTACTTATTTCTTGGTCAATAAAACAAAGTAAAATTGAAAATATTACATATTTTATTAAGAAAAATTAGTTCAGTGATGAAGAGTTAATGACAGGCAATACTTTGATGCCATCTCTGTTAACCACAGTTACTTGGAAGTTTGGTAAACTCACAAACAACCTCTTGTGAACTTCTCTAACACAGTGCTTCAGGATCTCATATGCTTCTTCCTCAGTTGCATCTATAAATAAACAAAGTAAAGAAATTATAGATAACTAGCTGTACCCTGTCACAATTCACTGTGTTAAATTGTTTGCATTGAAAAAAAATTAAGAACAAAACTTACGCAAAAAATAGATAAGAATTACCTTTAAAGCGGATTGCATATTATGTCAAAATTGGAGCTCAATTGGTGCAGTTTTTTTTTTGAATTTTCGAAGCGGTCATTTTTAACATAGTAACATTTGATCGATTTCTATAAACAAGTCTTTACCTTTCTTATGATAGCGATCCATGATACTCAAGCTGAGATATCCACCAAAACCATGTGCTGCAAAAGGCACCTTCACACTAGATGCTAGGTAGTCCATGAAGTACAGCTCAGGCCCATTCTCTTTATCATAACCACCCATTAGAAGATTTACAAAGTAAGGAAGTCTGTAAATTTAAATCTAATTAATTGAAAACTGATTTTTACACTATTTTTTTTTCAAATTTGAATTCAAGTTCTAAGGGCAACATATAAAGCTATTATGTTCCTCCTTCCTTTGAGACTTTTTTCCCAAACTATGTTGGGGTCGGCTTTAAGTCTGCTAGGACTAGGCTAGGCTGAACTTCGATTTTTTAGGAAGATCGACTTCAATGAGACCTCCATAACCCAATTACTTTTCGATATCGAAATTCTGTAGGGAGACTGTCGTTGAACTATTTAGGGCTCCAACTACCCGTAACGATTGCCACAGATGTTCGTATGGCCATCGGGACAAACAGCTTAACGTGCTCACTGAGGCACGGAGGTCCCAATATTTTAAGAAACGGTCACCCATTCACCAACCTCGCTGGGATTGCTTAACTTTGCTATGTGTTAATATACTCAGTTACCACTTAGCCACGAGCCCTATTATGTAATAAATGTAAATATACATATATAAATATATTGTTCACCACTTACACCAAATCACTGGCGATATTGAATTGTTTACCAGAAATGGGGTTATGAGAAGATGCAGCAGACCATAACATTGAATGAGTTTGACAAGACAGAGTTTGTAGCTATTGTGTGTGTTGAACTATGAGTCTACATAAAAAACGATTTCAATCAATTTTTTTTTTTTTTTTTATGAAATAGAGAGTTTGAATGTAAGGTGACTTTATTTATTTATTTATAAATTTTTGCACAAGTACATGCATCGGCGGACTTAATGCCTAAGGCATTCTCTGCCAGTTGACCGATTGGGCGGTGCTGACAAAGGATGAGGTAGGTGCATTTATGGTTACCGGTCCGGGCCCAGATGAGGTACCTGGGTCTGGTCCTAGACGGTAGGTGGCTCTTCGACGAGCACTTCCGACAGCTTGGTCCGAAGCTGGTGGACACTGCCTCCGCCCTAGGGCGACTTTTGCCCAATTTGGGCGGGGCCAGTGTTCCCACGAGGCGGCTGTACGCGGGGGTTGTCCGGTCCATGGCGCTTTTGGTCAGAGCCATACGCGGATACCGCACGGTGTCCACCGAGGCGGCCTTTCGCCTTGGCCGGAACACCCCCGTGGGATTTGGAGGCGGAAGTGCTCGCCGAAGTTTATCGGCGAGTGGCTGACTTCCGGGCGGAGAGCGGATTTCGCCCTCCGCCCGAAGACGTGCGCGAGTGGCGCGAAGCCGCTCGCCGAGCCACTATGGTGAGATGGTCGTTCCGGCTGGAGAGCCTCCACGGCGGCGAAGCCAGCGCGTGGAGTACGCGCTGGCTTCGCCGCCGTGGAGGCTCTCCAGCCGGTCATCGCCGAGTGGGCAGGGCGGCAGCACGGGACCCTTTCCTTCCGGCTGACGCAGGTGCTTTCCGGGCACGGTTGCTTCGGAAAGTACCTGTACTCGGTCGCTAGGAGGGAATCGAGTCCCGCCTGCCACCACTGCGACTGCGGTGAGGATTCGGCCCAGCACACGCTGGCGGTTTGCCCCGCATGGGCGACGCAGCGCCGGGCCCTCACTGCAGTCATCGGAGCAGATCTCTCGCTACCGGCCGTAATTCGCTCCATGGCCGGTAGCGACAGTTGTTTTACCGTGTAAGGCGAGGCCTATGTCCAGCAGTGGACTATTAAAGGCTGTTGATGTGTCATGATGTGATGTGCCTGTCGTATTTCGTCAATGGAATTTTTTGTTGCCTATCCTGGGCCTCTTAGAATCCTGTTTAATTATAGAACAAACATTCCATAATGATTGCGTTCCAGACAATATTGCCAACACTATAAAGTATCTTCAAAATTTATCTAAATAACAAAACACAATCCTAAATAAAAAGGTAAAGACAGTAAGCTTTTATGCAGATTTTATCAGTACTTATTATGGATTTATTATCAAATGTAAAAATTGTAGATGCCACTTTTATTAGTTATAACCTATGAAAATGTTATTATGAAAAGAAAAAATATATTTATGGCGTATTTTTTAGCAGTAATTATTCGGCTTTGGATAAAACTTTAATGTCTACATAGAGATCATAACTATATGATAAAATTAACAAAAAGTATATTTAATACAAAAAAGTAAGTAATTCAGTAAACAGCAGCTCGGTGACACTCCATTTTTAACCTCCTACACTGGCCAAATGAATGAAAAACTCTTTCCTGATTTGGTAATTCAATGGTAAATACAATAGACAATGAATTAAAAAAACAAAAAAAATCAAATACAAAAAACTAATTTGTGTGTTAAAAAGGATGTTCGGTCATAATAAGGAAACCATTACCTGCTCAGGCTATTGCTTGCATTCCACAATCCACAAATACAAGCAATATCACTTTACTAACATTGCTTTTACTTTTCATTACCGTTACTTTCAATATCCTTCAAATTTACCCATCTAAGAATAAAAGTGCCCAGTTAAATTTAATGGCTAGCAAAGCGTTTAATACACCTCTGTCCTCCTTTCTGGGATATAGGCGTGAATATATAAGGTAAGGTTTCTGTACTGATAGTTAACAAATGTCTGACAGACTAATTGGACTTACACTGCTTCTCAAGTACTCAGCAAGGTTTCGGCGCGTGAAATTAGCAGCAGCAGTAGGCCCCAGTTCGTATCCATTACGCATTTTGTATAACTGGATGTTCTTAGCTATGTATTCAGCAAACTGAGTAGTGTCTCCTAAGTCACCAATGATACCCATTATCAATTTATCAGATATTTTGTAGATCTTCTGCTCATCTATAAACAGAAAGAAACATCAACAAAAATTGATATTAAGAATAAGCTTGTTCTTAAAAAACCGCTAACTCACCGTCTTTCATGACCATAATACTGTGGCTAGTGCTCTGATCGGCTGCTATCATAACAAAATCATTACACTGTATTCCTAACAAACATTGCAAGTTAATATTCGACATTCTAATTAAGTTAAATATCAATAAAGTCTCAAAGTAGCTTCAACCGCAATATTAACCTATGAAGGCTATAATACAAAACTGCAAGCAAACGTCAATTCAACAAACAATATTGTCAAATCACTGAGTGTCGCAGACTATAAAAATAGGAAAACTATATACCTAGTTACGAAATAGTAATTTTAAGTTCGTCTGATTATTAAGGAAGTGTTTAGATTTTATCAGTATGTTGTATACAGTTGTTATAATATATAGTTATGCAATTAATATAAATAATATTTTTTATAAATCTCAATATAGTAGAGGGTTTTTTTAAAGTTTAATGATCCTCCTCACTCTATATAATTGTGTGCTAGTTTCTTTACATTTGAGAACACTTTCTCAACACCCGTGCATGACAAAATTTATTTCGTTAAATTATTTGATACTTTCACAACGTTGCAATTTAAATTCTATACATTTTTATTTTGATTTAGGTACACTATTATGTAGAAAAAAATTACACCAATTAGCATTTAACATCATCATCATCTTGCCCTTTCCAAAGGGTTAAGCTACATAGTTTCTTTGTGTCTCACCACTAACATTTCTTAAACCGTAAATATTTTTAGTAAGTGGATGAGGCGAGGAAGTATCACCAGTCTTGGATTGGAAACAGCAGAAGTATACATACTGAAAACGCCAGAGTCGGGGTTGGGTTGAATAAAAAGAACATATATATATCACTCACTCCAACCACGGTACTATTATAATACAGTACTGCAACTTCATACAAACGGACGAAACGGGAGCTATACCTACGCGCCTCGATCTCGGGGTGCGCTCGGGGCGCAGACAGTCACGGCTGTACCGCAGTGTCGAACGGACTGCGTGTTGTTTTTTTAACAATAACCGCGCGATTTTTTCTTTAAAAATCAGTTAATATGACGAGTAGGAAATATTGTGCTGTTTTTGGTTGTATGAATTCGTCAATAACGCATCCAGACATACGTTTTTTTAAATTACCTGGAAACTCTGAAAAGTAAGACTATAAAATAATTTTACTTACTAGTACGTAGGTACATAATGTGTGTCTTTTTAATGGATAAGTATTTCCTTTTATCTCACGAAAAAAAAAGTGTTTGGATGAATAAATAAAGCAAATAGAGTAACGGAAAGTTATTGAGACGAGTGAAATAGGGAGTTACATGCGGTTCTGAATGAATCATGATACGGTAGGTACCTACCTACTTACGCTTGTGTTAAAACTTCGGTGCATGTTTGTTTTGTTACTTTGCATAATAAAAAAAAAAGAAAATTCTACTTAAAGACGTGGTATTTTATTATTAATAATATATCTTTATTATCTGTGTGTATGAATAATACTAAAAAAAATTTGTTACCGTCTGTGTGTCATTAGACAGTTTTTCGAAATTTTCACAAAGTGTTTCTGCTGCTACTATAACAACATATACCACTAAAAACTGGTTTTATTTTCTCGGTATTAACAACAACAGTAGACTCATATATAATATTTAGATGTTTGAGGGTTGTGATTTTAAAACATTCGTAGTCAGCTGTTCAGCTTTTTAATAATTAATTAATTGGTGACCAAAGAATTTTTGTTTTGATTTGTTGCGAGTTGTAGGTTATAGGTTAGGTAATTTATAGAGACGTTAATTAGCTGAGATAAAAAGTTACTTACTCGTCAGCTGTTTCTTGCATTCTAGTTGAGTAGGTAGGTGTTGGAGTTTCTAAGGATTGGAGTTTTGTAACGCGTATGGAGAAAGCACATTTATTTTATTTTATAGAAGGATTTTTTTCGGTCGCTAATTTATAAGCCCGATTGGTTTTTCAAACAAAAAAATGTTTTTTAATTAAATCTACCAATCAAAAAACAACACGCATTTTTATTGAACAATTCCTATTCAATATACAAAGTATTTCATTTATTTATATAAAAAGGATATTTACAATCACAAATCTAAATAGAAACAGAAAGTAGGCAAATATAATTAAAATGCTGGAGACGGGCAGCCCTAACGCATGTTTAAGTACCGCGCGGCTGTAGGCATTTATTTCTATCATGCGGCCGAGTTACAATACTGTATTATAAATTGTACCGTGCTCCAACTGTCGAAGTACCTATTTAAAAAAAAACATTTCTCAATGCGATCTTAGTGTCTTTGAGATATATGTTAAGATAACAATTTTAGTTTATTTTTTGCTTTCCTTTAAATCTCACCTCAATTATGTAAATTTCATTACACTGAATTATTTCATTTTTTCAAATAATTAAACGTCAGTTACGGCACCTAGACTGCCAGCTGTCATTCATTGTAGGTTAATATATATGAAATAATTTTGGCTCTGGGTTATCCTAAATGAGATAGAAACTGTATTAAAATGTTTAGAAAAGTCGCTGTTGGAATATCAGGTGGTGTAGACAGTGCTGTAGCGGCTCTTCTACTTAAACGAACTGGTGAATTAATTATGCAAACATACATATTATGTCTTCCATTCCTGTGCGTATTTTAAGATTAAAAATAACTGAAAGCTAATTTTCCTAGGATTCCAAGTGGAAGGTGTTTTTATGAGAAATTGGGATAACAATTATGAAGCTGGATTTTGTTCAGATCAGCGAGATTTTGAAGATGCAACATATGTATGCCATAAGCTCAAAATTCCCTTGCATAGAGTTTACTTCATCAAAGAGTATTGGAACGAAGTATTCACTGTGTTACTTAAAGAATATGAGACGGGCCTCACACCTAACCCGGACATACTGTGCAATAGATACATTAAATTTGATAGCTTTTTCCAACATTGCAGGAACAATTTAGGAATTGATGCTATTGCTACTGGTCACTATGCAAATACATCTTTTGGGTCGTTTTTAGAGAGATATAACGAAAATGAAGGTATGATTATGGAATATGTTATCTAACCTAACCCAAATATACTTCCTCAACTAAACCCTTGAGATTCCAGAAACAAATACTATTTGAAATTAAATATGTGTTTGGAATAATATGTTGCTTTTAGCAGTACTGTTTAGTTTTATGAAATTGTTAAGAGTAATGGTCACATAATTTCAGGAGTCAAATTACTTCAACCCAAAGATACCTTTAAAGACCAAACATTTTTCTTGTCACAAGTGAAGCAATTTTCTTTAAGGAAATGCATGTTTCCTGTTGCAAATTTACTGAAGAGTGAAGTGAGATCATTGGCTAAATCTGAAGGGCTTATAAATGTAGCAAGTAAAAGAGATAGTACTGGCATATGTTTTATTGGAAAAAATAAGTTTCAGCAGTTTATTGAAGAGGTATGGTTATTATTATTTTCTTTACAAACTTTCTAAATAGCATATAATACAATATAATACAACATTTAGTATGCTTAAATACTCATAGATCTAGAAGACCACTATCTGTAATAATTTTTGCTTAACTTCAAAGAGTTATAGTACTGTAGATTTTCAGTAGTTTTAAAACATATGCAATTGTTTATTTGAGAATTATGGTTATCAATAGGTACCTACACACCTGTACACTGTTTACATTCCCTTCCGCCAGCCTGTAACCACTCCAGTGCAACCGTGTTGAAATTTCAGGCAAAACAAATTATGAATATGTATTATTAATTCCATTATACATAGAAAACTAAGGTTTAAAATTTAATGATAAAATACATAGTTACTATAAATCTGCACATTTCGGATATCACCATGTGTATAAGTTGTAAAATATATCTGATGTGACATTTGCAACATTGTATTTGATAAAATTAGATTTATGTGCAAAATGTTTAATGTAAAAACTGAAGATGCATAATACTTTTTTATTGTTTATTGATAAAGCGTCTATAATTTTAGTTTAAATTATGTAAAAAAATAAAGGATCTGTATTATACTTCCTTTGAAAAATAATTGTATGTCTCTTCTGAAAAGCTCAGTCTGCTCATATCCTCTGCTTGAAATTTATCCTAGTCTATAAGTTATTAGATACTAAATCAGTTACGGGAATTTTCCTGTGTACATATTGTTTTCAGTATATTGAAACTAAAAAAGGACTTTTTATGGACATAGATACGGGACAAGTAGTTGGAGAACATGATGGATTACACAAATGGACTGTAGGACAAAGGACACATATTCCTGGATACAAAGATGCTTTATTTGTCTTCAAGAAAGATTTAGAGACTAACAACATTTATGTGGTAATAATACTTATTATTAAACTAACTTATTACAGAGTAGATATACAATGATACATTCTGAACACATGTATTAGTTCTTAGAAAGTCTGTCCAAAAATGTATTGTTTATTGCTACTGGAACTTTTAAACAATTTCTGGGCAACTCCTTTTTGCTTGTTGTGAAACTGATTACAAACTTGAATGTTTATTTTTATCAGACTAGCAGTAATTTGAGACAATAATCGAATGTAATTACTTTTTATTCAATATCTTTATTTATTAACAATTCTGGCAACTTTTTTTTTAAATAAATTTAATTTAAAATAACATTTTAACAAAATAAAAGCTAAAATAATAAAAGTTGATTATTTAAAAGATAAATACAAAAATAGAAAAGTAAATATTACTTTTTATTATTGTATTTATCTTATTATAGTAATATATAGCATGTAAGTGTTTTATGCCCTAATAAAGAAAAATGCTTGATAGCTAAGTACCTGCATTAAACTAGGTTTTGTAGACGAAGTAGACACCAAAGCACATAACCAGTTATTTTCTATCTTTCTAAACTATTATTCTATACTTCTCCGTCCTTTTGTTTCAGGTATCTGGTACAAAACATCCTGCGTTATGGAACAATATATGTTTTACGGCACCCCCACATTGGATTGACAAGGAACCTTTAGAACTAACATTAAATCACGTATTTGCTTGTTACTTTAGGTTTCAACATACAAAACCGTTAACTCGTTGTAAAGTTGCTAAAAATCATGATGGTCTTACAATCATATTAGAAAATAAATTAAGAGCTTTGACAGAAGGACAATTTGGAGTGTTATATAAAGATGGAGAATGTCTTGGAAGCGCAAAAATGCGACATATCTGTCATAATTTAGTGTACTAAGTCAAACTTAGTCATTACGGCGATTAGTGTTATAAATATATTTTTTCCAAGTATGGTTTATTTCTTTATCATGATCAGCCCTATTGTACACTATTTTCTTTCAATTTTATTGTAAAAAATGAAGAAACAATTCAAAGTTACAATATTTTATGCTCAATAGATCTATCATCGATCATCGATGGGTTACAGATAGTATGGCGGACCGGGACCGGGAAAGGTTTAGAACTCTCCAGGCCCGCCAGGCTCGAGAATGGGCTAGATATCGCAGACGACTCAGGCGCCGAAGGTCGCAGAACGACCTCCTTTATCCATAAGCGCAGGCGCTGGTGAGCCCATCTGTCACCCTAGCAAAAGCAGGACGGGGCGCGCCAGGACGGGGCGCGCGCGCCCTTTCGGGAGAACAGAAGGAACATGGAGGCTCCCATACAGGAGGGAGTCATCTGATAGATATATATAGATAGCCCGAGGTACGTCACGGTACCAGGGATTTCTTTTACAGGGTACAGTCTTGGTTCCCAGGCTACTGGCACCATAGACGGCGTTCGGTTTTTGGTCGGTTTGAGTCTGTGGGTGATGTGGCGCCTCCCACATACAAAGAAACAGGAACGTACTACAGCGCCATCTGACGAAGACACCGTAACTAATGAATAGAAATTGCTAATCCTGTATCGCGATATGAAGAATTCTCTCGCCGATTAGCATACACACAACTTCCCAACATCAACCGTGGGGCCGCGGCCCGTCAGGCATGATCACCTCGCTTGTCGAAGAATCCTCCCTTTGTGTTGGAGGAACATGACACCCGTTCTTCCACAACTATTTCAAATAACCTAAACCGCTGTTTACTTGTCTCCTAAATTAATCATTTCAAAGGTGAAAATGATTTTCACCGTTTATTTTGACCTACGACTCATCTCATTAACACTAGTGGTCTAGATTTTCAGTATATTACAATGTACTCTGTGGTCTAGACGTATGTGTATACATCTATATAAATAAAAGAAAGTCGTGTTAGTTACACTATTTATAACTCAAGAACCGCTTTACTGATATGGCTGAAAATTGGTGAGGAGGTAGCTTAGAGCCAGGAGACGGACATAGGATACTATTTATTCCGTTTTTTTTTTGTATCGGCGTCGATCACCAGATGACAACGGTGGAACTGTCACAACAAAAGTGAAAAGAATGGATTTCGTTGTCGACAACAGTTGGATTGTTCCATATTCGCCACTTATTTCTAAAACGTTAAAGACATATTGCAACGTTGAGTATTGGTCGGAAGATCATCTGCGTTGTTTGTTTTTGCGCCTGATAAGAAAACCAAAAATGTCGACTATCACAAGGTACTTAAGTGAAGAGCAACCTATGTACTGAAATGCAGAAACAATAATAAATGATTAATGTACTTCATTTTTTTTCTAAGAAATAAATTTATTATTTATTTAATTATTTATTGCATTTAAGGCGGAACAGAGTTCGCCGGGTCAGCTAGTTTTTAATAAATTGAAAAAAATATTTAAAACAATGCACATCATTCATTTTTTTAAGCTGATAACTGTTTTTATTTTATAATATTTTAACTGCTTGATGAATGTGTGTGAAATGCACAAGGTTTGCAAACTAAAATATGAGATTTAAAATTGTTTATAAACGAGAAAAATGTGCTAGGCTGGCAACTCTGGCCATAAACTAGGGATGCAACATTGCTAAAAAAAACATCGATATAGGTACATCAATAATTTTCTCTAAAACATCGAACGTTAGGGATTTAGCAATTTTTTCATCACTTTTAAAATATATAAGAAATGAAATGAAACAAATCAGTATTAAAATATAATATTATATTTAAATTATTTTAGGAACCTTTACATTATTTATTTTTTAACAAAAAACAAGTATTAATGAATCACATTTTAATGTTTATATCTTTAAAATAGAATTATAAAATAATACTTTTGGCAACCTGGTTCCCAATGCATGTCCTTTTATAGGTGTTGTCACTCTTAACTTAGACACAACAACAACAACTAACTGAGAAATAAAACCTATAAGTGAATGTTCACCTTTTTAAGCTTACTTTTAAACTAAAACAATGAAACAGAGTGTAACCATATAATTGAAATAAGAGACAGGTTACATTTGCAATACACTGTTGAATTTTGAGTTAACAGTGCTCTGACTAGCTATAACTTTGATTCCCTTCTTCAGTAGATAAAATAAAATAATAACCCTAGATACAGCCTATGTAAGCAATTATTTTGTTTCGTTTATCGCACGTTCGTTAAATAGAAAAGTCTATGCTTGTGACAGTTGTGACTGAGAGAGGTATCGTTTATAAAACATCGCTCATGAATTTTGTGTATATATGTATCATCGATATTTTGGGTTTCAACATCGAAAATAAAACAATGATGTTTTTGAACGATAAATAGATGTTTGAAGAAAATCGATGTATAGCTTGCATCCGTACCATAAACTAAATGTAAAAAACAAGAAGTTGTTTTAAATTGTTTATAGTGCTGACAAGTGTTTTGACGTTTGGGAATTTAATTATCTTTTTTTTTCGTAATACATGAATTAAAAGAAGAAGTACATTTATGAATAAACTACGTAATTATATGTCTGTGGTGCACGCAAGAAACTTAGTTAATCAACATGTCGGTTCCACCCATGGATTACACTTACAGTGTTCCTCCGCCCAGGTTGGACATGCCGCCGCCGCTTTCAGTGTCAACCTCGATCCCACCACCACAGATGTTTAATGTTCCACCGCCGTATAGTCTCTCGGCGCTGCCATCGACCGATCTGCCGCCGCCTTATATCCCCATGGCAACCTTACCTCCATTGAATGTGCCCCCACCTGCTATCTTTCCCGTCGACTTTCATGCACTTCCACCGCCACCACCAGCTTATCCTCCATCTACAGACGTAGGAAACTATTCCGGGATGAATTATAGTCCTAATCTATTACAAAATGATGAAAATTATACAAGAGCTTTTACTGTTCCACCACCAAAACCTCAAAAAGAGGACAGGCCTTATCAATCTGGGTCTCTAAAATCATCAAGGTCAGTGTATTCTCCTAACAGAGCTAGGAGCTATGATAGAGAAAGGTCTCGTAGAAGTAATAGTTCCTGTGACAGAGAACGGTCACATAGGAGAGACAGATCCCGTGATAGAGACAGGTCACATAGAAGAGAAAGGTCTTATGAACGAGAAAGGTCCCGTAAAAGAGACAGGTCCTATGATAGAGAACAATCTCATGAAAGCAGACATATTTATAGCCCAAATCGTTACTCAAGAAGTCCATCACGCATAAGTCACAAGGATATGGATAGATATTACAGAGATAAATATGATGATAGAAGAGAATATGATCGAAAGAAAAATGAATCTGAAAGACAGCGTAGTCCTTCAAGATACAGAAAATATAGAGATTGCAAGAGCCAGTCCAGGAGTCATGATTCTCGAGATGACAGACGGTCCCTTAGGTCTCCAAGTAGAAGTAGCCAGAGTTCTTCACGTCGAAGCTGTAGCAGAACACGAGAAATGTCACATCATTCACGCCGTGAATCTAGCAAGCCAATGACAGACCGTGAGAAGATACTTGAAGAATACAGGTAAGAATTGTATACAATTATTTACTTCAATACCTGGTAAGCTAAAAGCAGGTCAACTTGCTTCCATAAATACAGTACACACATTACATACTAACTGTGTCATGCATTTAAAGAGCCGACAGAAAGCATTGGTTACATTGTTTTTTATAACTGTTTGTTTGTATATAAATCACAAAATCAACTGAGTGGTATAAAAGTATTTTAATATGAAATCAGAGGATTTTAAATAAAAGATAGGCTCAGTGACATTATTTTGACAGTAACCAAGGAATGAAACAAATAGTACTAATGTGTGTGTACAACTAGTATACTGTACACACACATTACTTTCATCATCAGCCTTTGCCATCCAATACTGAACGAATATATCCCCTAAGGAGTGCCTACTATCCTGGGCTAGGGCAGTCTGCATCCATTCGCTACACATTACACTTTATCGTTATGGTTTGAAAATATATATTGACTTTCTCAAATATTTATGACAACTTAACAAATACCAAAAAATGGGCAACTGTTAAATTACCGGTACAGATGGATGTATAAGTATAACCTGCATAGTGGATAGTGAGTACCTTGATTAAAACATAAATGGTTAAAAATTTATATTTAAAATTATAAATACCAAGCACATGCTTTATTTAACTTAAAGCTGCAATGGAACTTTAAAAATATTAATGTCCCACCTACCCATGCTAAAGTCAAAATGATAATCATTAGAATGATTGTCGGTCACTTTACAAATAATAGTCTTCTAACAATATATTTACATTCTTATTTATTATGTAACAGGAAGAATTATTGCCGAACTTCAGAAGACTTTATTGAGAAAATACAGAAATGGTCAAGAGAACATAACTCTGATGAAGATGAGGTATATTTATTTTCATTTATAATTAATTAGATGCTCTGCACTACCCATATATAATACCCTAATATAAGGTACAAAATACCTATAAGGTAAGGTCCCTAAAGGAACAAATGAACCTGTTGTCAATTCGGTATGGTTGTCATCTCACCACATTTGGTTTGTAAGATTTTGAGAATTTTGAGTTCCACAACTCAATTTTGCCTTCTCCTTTAAAGCAATTTATGTTTTTTACTCAATGTAAATTATTTATTTTTTTGCACCTAATTAATGTAAGTAAATAAAATGATAGCTATTATAATACCTATTCATCTCTCACCAGGGTTCGAAACTGTGGTATAGGTGTTCTCCTGCTGACTTATATTATAAACCAGTAGAAAATGGAAATGGTCTAAAACAAACAAGTAAATTGGCTTTAGTGTGTGAAACATTTATGGAGAAGTTGATTGAACGAGGTCGTAAGGCGAGACCAGAAGTGGACGAGTTGCCACCATTGAAAGCCCCTAAAGGAAAAAGGTGCAAACACAAATGTAAGTAGCCTTTTCTTAACATACAAGAATAACGTTATTCATCTATTGTTAAGTTAGTAACCTTGTTGTATTATTTGCTACTATTCTAATGTATAACGACAACTAACATATAAGATGTTTGGTGTCTACTGTTAGCTTATATTGTGGTTTTGCAATAAATAAATAAAAAAACTTTGAGTACTATAAGCTGTTGTAAACCGGTTACTTAAAACTTACAGTATTTAGGTTTTTTCTATTTTGTTCACCACCTTTTTGTTTTATAACTAAATAAATAGAAAATTAAGTTTACATCATACATTTTAGTACATTTAGTCAAAGATGTCGAAACACAGAATGTGCTAAAATCTAAAATGCGACAAAGCCTAACTCAATACGAGATGCTACTTCAAAGAAACGACTGCCTTAAGGTGCCTTTTAACCAGTGATGCAGCTATGTTGCCAGGATGTGAAAGCTAATCTACAAAATCATGTGGCTGTTTCCACTGTGGCAAAGCACGTAACGGGGGGAGTAACACGTGGTATGAAAATGCGCCACCGCGAGGTAGCCGTGCGAGGAATTATTCCTTAAGAAATTATGTTTAAGAATCTGACACTTCTTAGGTATTTTTTTATGGTATAAAAAATATGTCTAATATTAAATCAATGTTTTGTGAAGCAAACGATTCAAGTTCGTCATCAGAAAGTGAAGAAGAATGTTTCGACGAGGAAGGTCTTCAAGGTTACAGTGATAGAATTATGTTGGAACTACAAAGGAAACAAAGTCATCCGAGGAGGCTTCATCCTGAGATGTGGTTAGTTTAAAACTCCCCTTTTTTTTTTCATTCAACTAGATTGTGTAAGATCAATATGTAGAAACATACCCCATAGGAACTTTGATAGTATACTATATGTATAGTAAACACATGTGTGTTAGTAAGAAATTGCGGTTTTTATTTGGAGCAGCTTAAACAATTGATTGCTAAAAGTGTTCATTTCACAATATAAATTTCGCAATATAAATGTTATTTTTAACGTTATGTATTTTTTTTTTTACTTTTCCACATTATCCAAGTCTATGTAATCGTCTCTAAGATGGCAATATGAACCCTCGACAAAAACTGTGCCTATCTTAATTAGATAGATAGTGCACTTATGTTCGTTAACTAAATCTGTTTTAGGTTCAATAACACAGGTGAAATGAACGGCGGGCCGCTATGTCGCTGCAGCGCTCGAGCCCGCCGTCAGGGCATGAGACACGGAGTTTATGCGGGAGAGGGATTATATCCGAAGTGTATACCTACACAGAATAATATTGATAAATTATATCATTACCGGTAAGTTTGTTTTTAACTATACAAGCACTATTTTATTAGTTTATGTCATCATTCGTTAATATTCATAACAAAATAATAATTGAATACTCTTTACTTAAAATATATCTTAGTTTCATAGTTCCATCTGCCTTCAGTTTGTATTTGTAATTCATACAAATACAAACTTAAGGCAAATTACTCGAGTACTAGGTAGGCCCACGTCCAGAGAACCCACTCGCATGCGGCCCGACGTCGGGGGTTCCACAGGTCGTCGGTCGTGTGCGACGGTTTAGAGAACCCTGCGTTCTACTCACATTTCACAACATCAGCATTTTACAACAGCCTTTATTATGACAATGTAAAATAAGTGTGTTAAATTTTACAGGATAACTGTATCCCCACCAACTAACTTCCTGATAAAAGCGCCGACGAGTATAGCCTACGACGAGCACGAATTCCTCTTTTCGGGTTTCTCTATGTTTTCACACTATAAATTGGCTAAACTGCCTACTTGTAAAGTGATAAGATTCAATATAGAATACACAATTCTATATGTAGAAGAGCCAGCTCCTCATAACTTTACCATACAAGAGTTGGACTTATTTGGTAAGATGTATTGAATATTTATTAGTTAAGAAAACCATTAGTGAAGAAAGTTGCACCACTTCAATAATTCCAAGTAATACATATACAAAGCAAGGGTCATTATGTAATGAACAAATTAGTAGAGGACAATGGCCAACACATGTTTCAAACAAATTGTAAACATGTCATCCGCAATGTTTTCATTGTGTAACATTGTGTATTTATTCTATCTGATCTGTTTTGAGTCGATCTTTAGATAGTCGTAGATACTGAAAAGTTTGAGCTGATTTTCTGATTTGAAATATCCCACAAATAGATTAAACACCTACTGTTTCTTATTATATTACTTATATATTATTTACAACTACAGCGTTCGTCATTTAGTTGGCTCCTAATCTTGTTTAGACGTACTTATTTTATAATAACTATGCTAATATATCCATGTCAAAACCATATATGAGCTAGTTTTACCTCAAATCATATTGACGTACTCACGGTTACATCTAATATATAAAATTCTCGTGTTTCACGGTGTTAGAAGTCGAACTCCTCCGAAACGGCTCCACCGATTTTCGTGAAATTTTGTGTGCATATCGGGTAGGTCTGAGAATCGGCCAACATCTATTTTTCATACACAATTTTTTTTTGTCATTTTTTTTTGAAATAATGTATATGGCAAAACAACGTTTGCCGGGTCAGCTAGTACTATACATACATTTTGTGTGAGTCATTGGTATAAAACAATATGAATTACGAAGAAATAGACATACTACACTTAGCGTTGGCTTACTGGCAGAACACATAGACTGCACTATTGTTAACTGTTTTGTTAAAAAAAAAAATGCTTTACTGTTACCCGGGTTTACGATTTTGTTAAGGTCTCCCCTATTAGGTGTTTGTAGAATCGACTTGTTCTTTTCTACCTTGACGGAAGATAATAATATTCGTCTTTTTTGGTACTACAAGCTCCATTAAAATCTCAAATTGTAAATTATGAACTGAACTAATAAGATTAAGAAGAATTTCGACAATATCATAGGAATAACAAATTCCTAACGAAATTGTTAAGTGTCATTGTGACTGCACGGATGGTGTAGTTGTTCAAGCGGTCGCACGTAGCTTATTACTACGCTGAGTGTTGTGGGTCCGATCTCCACATATGACAACACTTTGTGTTATCCACAAATTGTTGTTCTGAGTCCAGGTGTACTTTGTGTCCGTTTCATGTATGTTTGTAAAGTCCTCCGAGACAAAGGATATTCCTAATGCGGGAGTTTTTATTTCTTTTTTCAGAGGAGTTTCTTTTCTATGAGCTATTGGAGTTAATAGACCTAGATCTTGGTAAGGCGACAGAAACCTCCTGCTCACAGTTTCACTTCATGCCTCGATTTGTTCGATATCTACCTGAGGGTGGATGTGAGGTAAGAATCATGTATACTGTAATGGTAAATAAATTGTAACGATAGAAATATAAATTTCTAAAGTTATAGACACACTTACACATTATCACTCTTGGATTAGCGATGTAAAGGAAACGAATATACAGGATTAACTGAGATTTATGGGACAACGTGTTCACACAGCCAGACAGTAACGAACAAAAGAGCGTAGAGAAAAAAAAATAACGTCATAGAGACAGCCGACGTTAAACAAGTATTGTTTTTTTATTAGTAGAGGATGTTAACGTCGCAACTACATATTAACGTCATTTAATCAAGCTTTATTTTATTTTAGGTTTTATCAATGTGTGAAGTTCTAAAGTATTTAATTAAAGAAAGTGAATTGCTTATATCTCCAGAGAATCTAGAAACGGTTCATAATATGGACCACTACACATGGCAGAAATTTGTGGATAGAATTAAAGGTAAAATTATTTATAAGGTTTATGCTGATGCTATTTTATGCGACACCTACACAGTAATAACTAGAAATAAAGTAGTCACTGATAAGTTTTAGAAGTAGAAGGAAATTCTAAGTGGAATGGAGCATCAAAGTTAGTTATTTGACGGATTAAGAATATGGAGTGTCACAACCCTTATTCACCCCCTGGGTGTCGAGAGCCGACTCAGGGAGCAAATTACGCAGGACAACAGCACTGCAAAGAAGGAAAAATAAAACTTGAAACAACCAACCCGTCTGGCCAGCGTGGCATAACAGGCCAAAACCTCTTTTCTAATTAGAGAAATATGTTGAGCAGTCGACTCAACATATTTTTGGATATCATCATCAGACAGTAGTCTGATGATGATATCCTATTTTTTTTTATATATTTACAGAAAGGAAGTAAAAGACAACGAATGCAAAATTTAAAAAATGATAGTCCAGCTAATCTGAGAAGTTCTGTTTGACAGTTCTGACAGATTGAAGAATAGGGAGAGGGTTAAAGAAATCGATTGCCAAAATATACGATTCTTAAGAGATATCGATGTCATGTCTTTGTATTGACTAATCAATTACATTTTTACACATTTACATGTTACTGTAAAGCCCGTATATTGATATATCTTAGCCTTTAATAGTAAATCTTAGTATTTACCAATGTGTGTAGGTAAATGTCAGAGAGAGATAATTTTTCGGGCTTTTTATTTCCATCCTTTTTTTTTACGTGTGGAAACCTCATCGGGCCGTCACCCCACCGGAGTTTGTGGCGGGTTGGTGTATCGAAACCGGACCGAATAAAATCACACGGTGTGCCATTCTTCGCCTGAAATAGGAGGGATCCGGGAACTGCTATTATTAAGACATCCGAACCCCTCCTAGCGCCTGCCAGCCCTCCTCCTCGAGAAATTTCCTTCGATGACTGTAATGAGGACCCGACGCGGCGACGCCCAAGCCTGGCAAATTGCCAGTGTGTGCTGAGCCGAGTCCCCACTGCATTCCCAGTGGTGACAGGCGGGACTCAATTCCCTCCTGCCGACCGAGTGCAGGTACCTCTCCAGGCACTCGGTCGTGAAGCAGCCGTGCCCGGAATGTAACTGCGTTAGTCGGAAGGAAACGGCGTTTTGCTGCCGCCCTACCCACTCGACTATAACTCGACTATACTCGTTGGAGTTTCAGTGCCATCCTAACCTAACCTAAGTATTGTACATCTTCTGATAAAATAAAAATAGTTTTATACTTCCATGGTTTACAGGAAAAAGTTATGATAATTGTGTGAGTTATGCCAATACAGAGTTATTTCGACTTGAAATGTATGAAACGGCAAATCCTAGATTAGACGAAGTGTATAAGTGTATATACATAACTTTACTTGTAGTGTGTTGTAGTTACAGTTTTTCTTATAATTCGACGGTGAGCCAACCAGGCTTCCTTATGCTAGGCGCTTTGTGCAGCAAGATTTTTATTTTTAATCATACTATATTATGATTTTGGCGCCCCGCCTGCTGCCCGAGGCGGGTGCCCCGGTTTGCCCCCCCCCCCCCCTCCCCCTAGATCCAGGTCTGGATAATAGTAGTAAATACATAATATATCTTGTTTTCAGGCATGATAGTAACATACCCAGGCAAGAAGCCGTGTTCAGTCCGAGTGGATCAAATAGATCGCAGTCCGCCGTCTAGTGTAGCAGACTCAAAGGATTCTGAGAAAAATAAAAAATATTATCCTGAAATTGTGCACTTTGGAATCCGGCCACCACAGCTTAGTTATGCTGGCAATCCTGAGTAAGAAATTAAATTATAATGCAAGTTCAATAGAAGTAGTGGTAGTCCAGTTGGTGATGTGCGAGCTCCCTGAAATGTGATTAATTGAAATGTGATAAATGATAGACTGGTCAGCTCCAACTTAAATAGTTTTTTTTCATATAAAACCTAATTAGATGTCTACTTACTAATTATATAGTTTAGATCCTGGGGTTTATTTCGGCTATTCTTCTCAGGGCTAGTTAAAAGAAATGCCGTCACCATCATCAGCTTTAAAGAACAAATGAACATGTAAAAGGGTCTTAAAATTATTTATTTTGCACTCTTTATTATCTAACATTAATATATTAAATTTTAGATACCAGAAAGCTTGGCGTTATTACGTAAAATACAGACATTTAATAGCTAATATGGCTAAGCCATCGTTTAAGGAGCGCCAGAAGTTAGCCGCCAAAGAAGCGACGCTCCAAGAGATGCGAACTCAGAGTAAAATGAAAAGAGACGTGACCGTCGCCATATCGTCTGAAGGTTTTCATACCACGGGTCTCATGTGTGATATTGTCCAGGTACTTTTAAATAGTCATTTATTCCATAGTTAATCGTATCATTATAACAATAATAATAATAAAAGTTTATTTCTCCTTTCAATATAAACAGAGTAGTACAATGTAGCCATAACACAATAGTGGGAGACTGGTTTCCAAACTAAGTAAAATACTTGTGATATGGATAACCAGGCTTCCATCCACGAAAAAAATATGTTTTAAACTGTACAAAATTGGAATTGATACCTAAAATTGCGTGCGTGTGTGTATTGTGTTTGTGCGCGCATAAGTGTACGGTAGATGTGTATTACTATTTCTCTATTTTTAGCAAGTTTGCCGTTTGTTGGTAGTCCAGGGTAAGTAAAAATTTAGACACAATCACTTTACAACATGTTTTAGTTTCAGGATATACATCTAGAGATTTATTTAATTTATTATATAAAAATCCGCCTAAAAAGGAATAGGATCTGTTTGAGAAATGGGAACAGGATGAGGTCGGACACACTTTATGTTGCCGCCGTTTTGATAGTTATACTTACTTCATCCAGAAGTTTTATTTCATCGCAGTTTCTGTAGTGTTTTTGCATTATTTTTAATAATGAAAGCATTTTTAGAATTTTCAGAAGTTAGTTCATCATCAACACAGTAACATACAAATTTAGTGACTTAAATATTGGTGTAGACTTTTTCCTACCGACTTGTAGCAATTCCGAAATATCACCTCATTCATTTTAATCAAATATAATAGAAATATATTTGGCCACAGTCAAAATTCAGATTTAGAATGGATTGGTAAAGATTTACTGTCAAAGATGATATTATGCAGGGGAGAAAAAATGTTTTTGTATAAAAATCTTATAAATATTCGTTTCATTTTCAGCATGCTATGCTTATCCCAGTTCTAGTCCGACATCTTCGCTTCCATAAATCTTTGGATAGCCTCGAAGAGAAGATGGATTACGTATTTAAGCAGCGAGCTTTACTACAAACTGCACTGACTCATCCTTCGTATAGGGAAAACTTTGGCACGAACCCTGATCATGCAAGAAATAGTCTAACCAACTGTGGAATTCGTCAGCCCGAATATGGTGACCGGAGAATACATTATACAAGAAAGAAAGGTAGTTGAGGTATTAAGCTTGTAATATAAAGACTTACCCGTAGTGACATAATAATAATAACTTTACACATCTCACACACGGCTATCTGATTCCAAACTAGGCAGAGCCTGTGCTATGGTAACTAGACTGCTGATAAACATACTTATAAATTTCTAAATACATACATATTATAGATAAATTACACCCAGATACAGAACAAATGATCGTGCTCATTGCACAAATATTTGTCCTGGGTGGGAATCGAATCTACGACCTCCGGTTTAGCATTCAGGGTTAATAACGAATAGACCAACAGGCCCGTCAATCTAAGGTCAGGTACCTTAGATGCGAGGGAAGCGTATGCCTACCTACCATGAGAAGACTTGGATTGGGCAAAGTATTCAGTTAGAGATAATTCTAGTCTTTAAAATAAATCTGTAAAATATAAAGTGTACATTTTTGCATGCAACGTCGTTTCTATGACTACCACTAGTCTATATATATTTTTTAAAATATTTTATTGTGTTTATATTCTTAACTCTTCAACAATCTGCCAATAAAAAAACGTTTTGTTAATATTTTAAAATAAAATACAGGTATAGTGACACTTATCAACATAATGTCACGGTTCGGCAAACACAGCGAGACTGAGTCCGAAATAAAACACAATGAACGGCTGGAGTTCCTCGGTGACGCCGTAGTGGAGTTCCTCTCCTCCATACATCTGTTCAGAATGTTCCCCGGCCTGGCAGAAGGTGGCTTAGCCACGTACAGAGCATCTATCGTTCAAAATCAACATTTAGCTCTACTCGCTAAGGTAAGTCGTAAATACTAAATCTTGAACTGTTAAAAACTTAATTAATATTTCTGAGATTATCTAACAAAAAATATTAAATAAAAATTAATTCCTTATTCGAAACTAACAAATTGCTTAGAACGCAGATAACTATTCGGGACTTATATAGATGTTTTCATAAAAGTGTAGTCGAGAGAGAGTATAATCCGCTGACCACAAAGCGGATTCGCCTGTGCATCGTACTATTTTGTTTGTAGATAAATTGCAATTGTTAATTAGTTTGTAAAACATTGTTCTAAAATAATATGTTTTTTAAATTAAAACTCGTTCGTCGCAACTTAACTGGAGCAATATTTTTATAATGTCTGATTCTAAATTGTCAGAATTTATAATTATCTGCTCGTTATAAATTACAAATGGATCGATCGAAGTCAATTGTATTGTTATTTTCTGTAGAACATAGGTCTAGAACAGTTCATGCTGTTCGCGCACGGCTCCGACCTGTGCCGCGAGGTGGTGATGCGGCACGCCATGGCCAACTGCTTCGAGGCTCTCATGGGCGCCTTGTTCCTCGATGCTGGGCTGGAGGTCAGTGTAAGTCAAACGAAAAAAAAAAACAGCTAAAGGTAGTTGTCACAGCCAAAGAGGCTCGTTTGTACACGAAATCGCAACGCGTTTAGAAACTGGAGTGAATGTTTTTCAAATTCAAATTACTTTATTAAAATGGGTAGGTACAATGATTATTGTGATATAATAATGTGGCATAGCTTCTCCATTATCAGGATTCGGTTAGTATTTGGAAGTATTCTCTTGAAATACGGTTAACAGGTGTCAATTCGTTGGAGGTTGCACATTGCCCTGACACACCTCTTCTGAGCTATAAATACCTCAAGATCGCATCCACGTATCTGTGATATGCAGTCAATACAGCGCTATGGTTCAATTTTTTTTGTGAGCATGTATAAGGCATACGACTGGGTATTTAATTTTGCACAGACGCATTCCACGTGTACCTTCAAATTCAGGTTGCTATCTATATTTATACCTATAAATTTTGTTGTTTCTACTTCGTGAAGTTTTTCGCCCTTTATGTCCGTTACTAGGGTTATTCTATTTTAAATGTAATTAAAAGTGTTTTGTTTAGATTGACTTTTGAGTTATTTAATGTCAACCATTTTATTACATTATTGAGAGTATTGAATACGTAAGGAATTTAAGGAGCGACTTGATAATTGTACTGTCATCTGTAAATAGAATAGTGGGATGTTTTGTAATCTTTGGCAGGTCATTAATATATATATTAAATAAATGCAAAACAAAAAATGTTACGAAACAAATTGCTTTCCATGCCTACCGATTAAAACATTGTTCTTAAATATTTAGCGTAGTAGACGGTTATAAATAATGCAATCATTAACGATTAATAATGTTGTAATAATGAATTGATTAAAATGCCGGTTAGCGTTTAATGGTGGTTAAAATTCATTGCTAATCACCCCTTTACCAGTGAGCGAACGCTCGTGTACGGGCCATATAAATAAAATACAGGGTTGCAAAAAATAAAACCAGTCGACAGCAACAAAGGTTGGATAAGAAACTTATTTTGTATTCAGATTCTGATGTCAGCCTCGCCTCGTTAATTGAACTGTAAACTGACAAGGCACTCAAGGATCTATTAGACAGAAAACCATTGACAGATTTTTGTTATCTTGTCCTCAAAAATACACAAAATTAGTTCATCAAACAAGAACTTTTTTAATGCCAGCAACTTACAAATGTGAAGCTTGGTTTTAAACACTGGTTTACTTTACAAAAATATATAGGGATAGACTTGAAGTGGAACAAGACTTCAGGATAAGACTTGCCCCTTGGATTCTTTGGTAAAAATAAGCAACAGCCACAAACGTTTTTAATAGTAATACATATGTCGTAATATAAACGTACTTCTAATAACAATAAAAGTGTATTATTTTACATAATGTAACCGAGGGCAGGTGGGGGGATAAAAGTATTGAGTGTGCTATGAAGGGGCAGTGTGAAAATGAATGGGCCACCACTGCTTTAAGATATCAAAAAGGTCCTTATTTAGTTAAATATCCTTTTGTTTAGTTAAAACTATAGGATTAACCATAATTTCCTAATGAAGTCTTAGATTTAGTTACCAATGTTGAAAGATTGATTACTACTGTGCTTTATCCTGAATGATTTTCATTGTGAATTTAAATGTTATAAATAGATAAAATAATGTTCTTTTTATATACTTAAGGTGGTTGATCGAGTGTTCGCTTTGGCTCTGTGGCACAACGAGCCCGATATGTTAGAAGTGTGGACGAAAGAACGAGCGCATCCTTTGCAAGAGCAGGAGCCACTGGGAGACAGACAGTATATAAAGAGCTTTAACTTTCTAAAGAAACTTACGAAGTTTGAGGACTCTATAGGTACTTTGATTTATATTTTAATAAAATTACATATAGTTTAGTTAGTAAAAAAGGATTTATAGGCAAGATACTTACCTTTACGCCTATGGGTATGCCTAGTTACCTGTGTCTATCGCTCGTCAGTCGAATTTCGTCTGTTTTTAATGCCTTGTTTCACTTAATGACTATAACTTGATCCGTCATTTAATACACTTTTGTCCCATGGCAGTTAAGAACATAAATTGTTACATAATTTTTATCTTTCTAGCACATATTACTTAATTTTTTTGCGTATTGCGTTTCTTCTTCATTGAAACCTTAAGTATACCTAATAAATTTGATATGACGGACGACATTTTTGTATGATCTGCAAATATTTGTTTCGGACTTTGGGTGTTTTCTATGTATAATATGTATGTATTTAAAAAAAAAGTATATAAGTATTCTATCAGTCAATCTAGCTTTCATTGTACAAGCTCTGGTTAGTTGGAGGCTAGATGGCGTTGTGTGTCAGATGTTCGAAATATTGTTATTATTATAAAGTCCAAAAAAATGTTTTTGTACATGTTGTGATGTATATCAAAATAATATATCAAAAGCATATTTTCGTTGCATATGTCCAGCTTAATACCCTCAGGAAGGATAAAAAAGAATAGTACATAAACACGGCTGCGACAGATTGTACGTCGGTCGTGACATTACTGAATGTGGCTGGGACTTATGAAATGGATTTCCTTTGTCTCGGATTTAGATAAAATCCAATACATATTGTCTCAATACCTATAGGAATAGCGTTGTAAAAAAAGTTTGTTATTATTGTGATGCCAAATTATTTTTTTATTGTTACAATAGGTCTACAATTCAAACACATTCGTCTACTGGCTCGAGCATTCACAGATCGATCGGTTGGGTTCACACATCTGACGTTAGGGTCCAACCAGCGCTTGGAGTTCCTGGGGGACACGGTGTTGCAGCTTGTTGTGTCCGATAGACTGTACCGACACTTCCCCGATCATCATGAAGGACACCTCTCGGTGAGTTGACTTACTTCATCATTTAAAATTTAAACTATACATTTTCTTACTAATATAAAATTAATATAAACAGTACACGAAGTAATAGTAAACTATTTATACGTAATAAACTAACTTGACCGAAGGGCTAGCAGTGGATGGCAATAGGCTAATGATGATGATGCTGAAACTAACTTAGTTAATTTAACTCGAATTAGACATAAACCAAGTATATTTTAAAATCCAATATCGATTGCAGATTAGTATCGAATCAGCTCTATGATTCACAAGTATCATGTTAATCACTACTTTGTTCCTCAAAGTAAATAATATGTGACACTTCTCCTTTTTTTTTACTGTAATCAAATTTTCAGCAATATTTAACCTTTTTATTATTTCATACAAAATAAATTTGTATGAAATAATAAATTATGAGATGCCATACTTAACTATTGCTAAATCAATTTTTAGTATTTAAAAGTACCTTATAGTGTATATGTTTTGCAAAGGGGAGAGTTTATTGCTGGACTTAAAATCGATAAGTCTCTAAGTGCAAGTGGAGTAATAATATCTGTATATTTCAGCTCCTCCGGTCTTCCCTCGTGAACAACCGCACTCAAGCAATGGTGTGCGATGATCTGAACATGGCCGAATATGCAACGTACAATAATCCTAAAGCAAAGCCCACAGCTAAGAAACACAAAGCCGATTTGCTTGAAGCTTTCCTTGGAGCGCTGTACATCGATAAAGTGAGTTTGTTTTGTGTCCTTTTGGGATTGAACTTTTTTTAGTTGTTTATACATTAAGTTAAAACTAATGTGCACGATCACATCAATTTCACCATCACAAAATGTTTATTATTACTGTTTTTTTATTTGAAACTAGTTTCCCCGATTGACTTCGTTCTGTCAAAATTTATTGTTATGTCGCATTCTAATAGTAAAGAACTCCAAAAGTAACTTTGTCTGTCTGTTATGCTTTCACGGCTAAACCGCTTAACTGATTTTAATGAAATTTGCCATGGCGATACTTTGATTCTTGAGGAAATCAGATAGGCTACTTTTTAACCAACAAGACGCGGGAGGAGCTACGGGCAAAAGCTAGTAAATAAATTAAGTGAATTTCAAAGTGATCCTTATATTTTGGGCAGGCATAGATTAATACCGTAGGCATAGTTTGAAATTGAATTTTATAGTTTTTTTTGTGTAAGTATGTAAATGTGAGTATAGTGTAGGCTTGTAATGTTAGTTCATATTTTAGTAATTTGCTGGTGGTTTTTGAGTGTTTCTACAACCCACTCAAGTGAATATATATATATATATAATATATATATTATATAATATATATATATTTCCTGAATATATCGGTTAGGCTATACAATGGCTGGGGCTCGTATACCGTCTGTATGGACGGGCCGACTCAATACTATGGTCTTTTCTTTAAAAGGTCGACCCAGATCCAATACTGCACTCACATAGTTCTCTTTAACATTAAACACGGACTTTTAAAAAAAGGCACCTCTGTGATTTGTTTCGGCGTTTCTTCCCAAAGTGAGTCTTAGGAAATGCCGGCTCCATCTAGCTGTAAAGTCCGATTTGTAAAAATATCTGAGAAGATTTACTTGCAGAAATAAATATCATTTCATTTCATATCCATATGTCCTAATCAACTTGAAGGCAGGCATAATTAAGGCCTTTACATTGCTCAAATCGTAAAAAACGCCCAGGTTTAAAAAAAAATTTAGCCGAATCCTTTGGTTTATTTGCTACAAAAAAAATATGTTTTAGAGCTAAGCTCGTCACAATTTATTTGTATTGTTTAAAATTTTTATATATTTGACCATTATTACAAAAGAAAATCAAATACAAAGGCTGTTTTAAATCTATTTGGTATTATTTCTCAAGAACGGCTCAACAGTTTAAGATTAAATTTATATTATAATATTTGTTAAGTTATACTAAAAAAAATGTATTGTTTTTATTGTATTTTTGTTAAATATATTTCTTAAAATATAGTAAAACATAATTCGGCCCCTTTTCGCCCCTCGAAGCTCCCTCGCTATGGCCAGTTACGGATATTCACCAGTGTCGGTTCGACTCTTGCGACAGGTGGACTACGCGCGCGTTATTTTCGGAAAAAAATATTAAAAAGTTCGCAATATTTAAAATTTATAAAATCAGATTTGTTGTAAATGAAACGTACATTAATAATAGTTGATAAAAAATTAGGAATTAAGTTGATTTATGTAAATAAATTTGTTTTTAGTTTTAGTATTGAATATAATCGTATCATAGAATAGAAAGCTTGACAATGCCGAAACACAAAAGCAAGTCAAAAGTGAAGCGTGTCCAAGCTCTTCAAAATTATTGGTATTTTTTTTTTTCTTTGGCGTAAATAAATACATTTATACAGGGTATGGCAGCGTTCCTAAAACTGTCGTGTTCACTTCTATTGTATAGGCGGGGAATTTCTTGAGCCGCAAATAAGCTTGGTACTACAAAAACGTCTATTGAAAAAATATAAAGTATTATGAACATGACCATTTTTGGCTGGTCTGATGCTACAGTTTTGCACTCCGAAGGTGGGTACGGGATCTTAGTGACGGAACCACGTAGAACTATCGTGTTTGTACTCATTTGAAAGGGCTCGCAGTTATCTAGCTGTTCGTGATGATTTCACTTACCTGATGCTGCACTCCGAAGTAGTCCGAGGGTGGGTACGGGATCTTAGTGACGGAACCACGTAGAACCATCGTGTTTGTACTCATTTGAAAGGGCTCGCAGTCATCTAGCTGTCCGTGATGATTTCATTTACCTGATTCTGCACTCCGAAGTAGTCCGAAGGTGGGTACGGGATCTCAGTAACGGAACCTCGTAGAACCATCGTGTTTGTACTCATTTGAAAGGGCTCGCAGTTATTTGGCTGTCCGTGATGATTTCACTTACCTGATGCTGCACTCCGAAGTAGTTCAAATGTGGGTATGGGATCTCAGTGACGGAACCACGTAGAACCATCGTGTTTGTACTCATTTGAAAGGGCTCGCAGTCATCTAGCTGTCCGTGATGATTTCATTTACCTGATTCTGCACTCCGAAGTAGTCCGAAGGTGGGTACGGGATCTCAGTGACGGAACCTCGTAGAACCATCGTGTTTGTACTCATTTGAAAGGGCTCGCAGTTATTTGGCTGTCCGTGATGATTTCACTTACCTGATGCTGCACTCCGAAATGAATGCACTGAAATTTTAGACCCAAGACATACCAGAAATATGGAAATACGTAATCCAACCTATATAATGGAAGCTATAAAGAAAAAAGAAGAGAAAAAGAAACTTGAAATCTCCAAGAGGAAAATACAACGCATAATTCCAATTGCTGAGCAAGAAGAAAATACAACGCTTTCCTTATATCAAGAATCGATACGGTCGTCAACACCAGTAATTCCAGAAGCGGAACAACCAACCTGTTCACGATACTTAAATTATAATGAATTTTAACTTGCACAAAATATTCAACGGTTGATTTAATCTTGACAGATTTATGGTGTGTCTAAAATGTTAAGATAACATAATTAAAAAAGTACGCAAAGTTTATTTCCTCTTTTACTTAATTTAGCACTTACACATATGAACCAGATCATCATTAGACCTTCAGAATATTTATCGTAGCACCATCCGTGATAAATATGACAGTAACTGAAAACTAAATCTTTCTCACTATGTCCATGGCCGAGAACTCCTTATAGCTTACCTAGTAATCCACATACCTTCACAAAGTTTCACGCAGCAGCGTCAGTGCTGAATATGAGAGTTTCTGAAAACTAAATCTTCCTAACCATTTCCATTGCTGAGAACCACTTGACACTTACCTGGTCATCCACATACCTGCACAAAGTGTCACGCAGCAGCGTCTGTGCTGAATATGAGAGTTTCTGAAAACTAAATCTTCCTAACCATTTCCATTGCTGACAACCACTTGATACTTACCTGGTCATCCACATACCTTCACAAAGTATTACGCAGCAGCGTCAGTGCTGAATATGAGAGTTTCTGAAAACTAAATCTTCCTAACCATTTCCATTGCTGAGAACCACTTGATACTTACCTGGTCATCCACATACCTTCACAAAGCGTCACGTAGAAGCGTCCGTGCTGAATATGGGAATGAATATTGTTACAAGGTCTAAAGTAAAAAATAAGGTAATTCACTAGGTACTACGTCTCTCAGAGGTCGAATAAAATTATGCAAATAAGTTCTCATGTCATGTCTAATCGTTAATCTTTGTCTACTATTTACGTAGTGGCATTGTAGTACGTCTGTCTTTTGGTAGGTGTCGCTAAATTTAAACAGTCTAAATCGTCAAGGTCACTGATCATTGTAGAAGCCTTAAAAGACAATCCTAACGCGCTTTTGTTTAGTTTTGATTGACGTCAAATATTTGATAGCTAGAGACAGGTGGTTGTGGTAGTCTGTGGTTTGTATGGGAAAATAAAGTGTTGTTTTTATATTTTTCTCGTAATGTTTACGTTTTTTCTCCATAAGAAAATTCCTTGTGAACGAAAATATGAAAAAAAATTGCCGCATTGTTCAAGCCGTTCTGGAGTTAATCTGGAGCAAAATATATTTGGCGATAAATTTTTATGTATCGACCTAGGTACTTTAGGGGGTTGTAGCTGTCAAAGAATAAGTATTTTTACAATTTTATTTATTTTTGCTATTAACAATCGTCTACACCATCATTTGTAATTTGTAATAGGCAAAATTGCGGCAATTTCTATAAAAATCTTAAGAGTTTTTAAATTTGGAATATTATATTTCATGGTAAAATCTATCAGAAATAATGGCAGCTACAACCCTTTCACTAAGGTATCTAGGTCGACTTAATCAGTAACCCTGGAAAGATGGATATTGTTACAAGCCAAAGTTCGTGATTATAGTATAATAGTAAACTTGGGTACTATTAACTGCGTTCATATCAAATCACATGAGTAAAGTGCTGTTCTCTGGTTCATTTTGTTGTGATAGGATGTACCCGAAAATAGTAAAATCTTTACATTAACGTTAACAGGGTATGTAGAGGACCTACATATTTTATCCCTTCGACTTTTGTGAATTTATTTGTTTTTTTTTTATAAAAGACGGGGCAAACGAGCAGATAAGCACCTGATGGAAAGTGACTAACCACCCGAATGCACTGCAGACGATAACTTGTTACACTATTGGTTGTGCGACGCATAAAGTGTCTTAAAAGCGCACAGTGTTGGACTGCCAATAAATCCAAGTAATGGAGATGAAAATTTTGGAACGATGGCGGAAAGTTGCGGCCGGTAGTAGTCCGAGCAATCCCTCGGAAAACTCTCCACTATATTTACGATAGAGAATGCAGAGTGAAACTACATCTCTACGTAACGCCAAGGGTTCGGGCCGATCGGAGATCTTTAGGCTATCGACGACTCGAGTCGTTTTTCGTTAGATGCGATCCAAAGGGAGAAGCTGGTACTGGGGTGCCCCTGCATAGAGATGAGAACAGTATTCCATATGCGACCGGACTTGCGCCTTATAGAGCTGAAGGCAGTGAGCTGGAGTGAAATGCTGCCACAATCTGTTTAGCACACCGAGCTTCTTCGAGGCTCATTTGACTTTACCTCTAAGTGATCCCGAAACTGGACTTCGCTCGATATGTCGATGCCTAGGATTCCGATGCTGGCTGAGGCAGTTAGGGAGGTGCTCTCAAACCGAGGTGATACGACAAATGGTATCTTCTTTGCGGTAAACGCATAGACCTGTGTCTTTTTATGGTTGAACTGGACTAGATTTAGTGGCCCCAATTTGAAACCTCCGCTTAGGAAGTTTCAATTTCAGACACAAGTTTGTTTCTACTCTCGATGACTAGTTTGCAACATGTCATTGATTTGCAGAAGAAACAGTGTGGGTGCTAGCACACAACCTTGTGGGACACCAGCATTTACGAATTTCAGGTCGGAACATGCACCGTCGATAACGACCTTAATACTTCTGTCCGCAAGGAAACTGGTGACCCAATTACACAATTTCTCGGGAACCCAAAGGAAAGGAGCTCCGAGAGAAGCGCCTTATGCCAGACCCGATCGAAGGCCTTCGCTATGTCCAAACTAACCGATCAAGCCTCTCCTTTGGTCTCAATCACCTGATCCCTAAAACGTCCTTCTTTTTCTTCTTTTTTCTCTTCCTTCCTTCTTTTTCTTCCGAGAAGAAGAAGAGAGCGCAGTGGCTGCAGCAGCCGCCTGCCGCGCCATTGGAGTCCGTCCTTGGCCTAGAGGGGGTCTGGCACCTCTCTCTGGGAAGAACCTAGCTAAAAGCCCGAACTGGAATCGGGCAAACTCACGGTTCATGATTTCCGCAATTTCTTCCCAGTCCGGGTGGTCCTCCCTTGCCGGGCGGGCCAGTGGCACCGGCGAGCCCATTTTCGGCCCCAGTTCCGGCATCGTAGAAGGCAGCGGGATCGTTCCCGCCACCTTTGTGGCCGACGTTTTCGCGGCACCGCCGGAGACGGTGCCACTGCCTTTGTCTGGGTAAGAGGTTCGTTCTTCTTCACCCGGTCCGCCAGCGACGATGCTGACGCCTGGTTCTACACGGACGCCTCCTCGTACTCGCGTCTCCCCGCTCTCTTGCAGAGCTCCTTAACGCCGTCCCGCAGAGTCTGCAGGGCCTGACGAATGGAGCTTATTACCTCCGCTTTCGTGCTGCGGGGTCTGTCCAATGTCTCCTCGACATTATCCAGACATAGCAGAATTTGAGCCCCAACCTCTGCTCAGCTCGGCTGGTTTGCGTAACTGACACTGTGTGCCCGCTTCGCTAAAACAGTTCCGTCCTCATCATCGTGTCGACTATTCCCACGCTTCCGCGACTGCCTGCGTGTCTCCCTCTCCGACCCTATCGAGGCTGAGCTATCGCTCTCTCCGCCTCGATCACCTCCATCAAGCGGCAGCGGAGTGGAGGGTCTTGTCTCCAGACTCTGGAGAATTCTTCGTTTTTCTCGCTCGGTTCAAGAGATCCGAGGACGAAGGACCATTAATCGGAACGTTAGCAGGCGTCCGATTTGCTTTGCTGTATTTCCGTAGGTTTGTTTCGTTAAATAAAAGGCTTGTTTGCGTAGAAATTGCTGCGATGTGAAGCAGTGCAGAGTGGCGTCCGGCGGAGAGTGCGTGTCGTAGCCGCGGGCGCGCTCATCTTATACCTTTGCCGCGGACGTGTCGCAGGCGCACGCATGCGCAGTGTTATAGTGTTCGAAGAAGCAGCGTATTTATTTATTGTAATTTTATTACAGTGAAGCTTACTTATCCAGTATAAACATTAATACACAAGCAACATATAAAAATAATCTTATCACAACATAGTCTTATTAGAATAGAAGCTAAGTACAAACAATAGACGCATAATCTTATTAGATTCTAAACTGTAAAACAAAAGGACTTAAACTTTATAAATAACTAAGGTATTTTTCACGGCTAACTTAAATACCTAAAGCTGTTATTTACAGAGTACGTAGGGGGGCGGTCTCGAATGCCTTTTGACTAAGATCTAAAAATATTGTCAGGACCATGCCATTAACATTCAAGTTTTGTACTATGTTCTGAGCAAGGTTCCGAAAAGCATCCCGGGTTGATTTCTTTCTACGACAACCAAATTGATGTGGTTATAATAGTTGGTAATGTTCTAGGTGGTATATAAGTATTTTATTGATAACACATTTGAGTACAACATTCGATAAGGCACTCAGAACAGCTACACACCGACAATTATTCGTAAGTGCCCGTGGCTTCTCTTGAAAATGGAATGAATAATTACTATTTTAAATGAAGAGGGATAAACAGCCGTCGCAAACAGATTACATAATTGGCATAAGATGGGTGCCAGAATAGTAGAATATCTCTTAAGAAAGCAGGCCATCCAGGCAAGTAGCATCATCAGAGCGCAATGAATTTTGGGCTGTAGTATTGTAGTATTGTCGAGTCAAGGACTAACGGTGATAGCGGTGTCGCATTTTTAAGACTAAACGAAGTCACAATTTATTTTAAATCATTTGTTCACTAGAATGTGTTTTTGAATGTATTTCTCTACTTGAAACCGAGACTGCTCGTGCGAACTCAACAGTATTATTCATTATGTTTTACTTCCTAATTATTTTGTTTTAATATTATTTTACCACATTCCAGAATTTGGAATATTGTCAAGCGTTTTGCAACGCGTGCTTGTTCCCGCGCCTGCAAGAGTTCATCATGAACCAAGACTGGAACGACCCTAAGTCGAAGTTGCAACAGTGTTGTCTCACTTTAAGGTCGATGGAAGGTGGTGAACCGGACATACCGGTGTATAAGTAGGTACAATATTAATTATAAGGATTTCTATCCTCACAAAAAAAGGTATTTTCGTTGTATTGTTGTTTTGTACACTTAGAGACTATTACACGCTCAGGGGCTCAATTAACTGTCAACTTACATACTTTGTCACCCTGTATGTTAGGTGCTCAAGTGTGCCTTATCGCAGTCATTGTTTAATATTGAGTAAGTTGTTAGGAAACAAAAATAAACATTAAGGCCCAATGTTTAAAACGTGCCACAGTCGTGAATCTGGTTTGGTGAAAGTAATTTGAAGCAGAGATTTTATTACCGATCCATACTCAAATGCGTGATAGCTTATTTTAGAACGATGTTTATGTCGAAATTTTAACTCGAATATAGATTTTGACAGATGTAATCTTTGTTTACCTGAGACAAGCTGAAACTAGTCTCAAGCATTGATTTCTAGGGCATTTTAGGGGAAATGAACGTGTTTTACGATGATTTAATTCTGAATAATTACGAAAGAATTACTTGTCATAAATAAATCAATTCACTTAAATTTACCTTAATTGCTATTTACTGAAATTCACATTACTACTTTATATACACAATACTTGTTAAATTAAAATCACCACAACCTTTTCTTTGTTTTGGGTAATTTAATTTGAATATAAAAGTAAAAACATTGTTTGACATTCAACATGAGAAGTGTTGAAAAATAACTTGAATGTTCCGTTATAGATTATAACTAGTCATTTTAATATTTATTATCTATATTTAATTTTGGACGAACAACAAGCTTGTTAATGTGTTTACATTGCTACACTAGCTAATAGTATCCAAATTCACAGAAATGTTTGTAAAATATATTTTTTTGAAAAATTAGTTGCTTAATACGGAATAAAATGTCGATGAAATGTATTTACTGTGAGTTGACTACAGAGCAATGGCAGAACGTGCCAATAAAGGCAGGTAGATATCTTCCTAAATCATCATTGATCCGCTCTTAGACCCGTACCGAACTCTTATGAGATACGTGGATAAAGTTCTCCGAGATCACGTCGTGCCATTTGCTAAAATATTCGGCTAATATATGATTATGCACGTTGCCACGTCGCTAGAACCGTATATCGTACCGTAAAATACCTTAACGAGGTCGGTATTCAAACTTTGCCTTAGCCAGTGCGTAATCCAGTAGGCCAATTCTCGTAAAAAAATTTAGATCAAAATTCAGTTCCGCTCAACTCTCGATCTCACAACACAACCTTTGTGTGTGTTTGTGACCGAACTTTTATTACGCGAATTGGCCTTCTGATCTTAGTCCTATCAAACACGTTTGGAATAACCTTAAAAAACGTGTTCGGGCAAGAGTACAAGTGCCTACTCTACCACAGCAGTCTTGAGCTTTCCTAGGGTAGGAAAGCTCAAGACTGCTGTGGTAGAGTAGTGGCTCAATAGCTCTCAGTTAGATGTTCAGGACATCATTGATGGTCTTACAAACAGGCTACAAGAAGCCATTAGAGCTCTCAGTAGGAACACAAGTTGAAATGTGTTGTTGTTAAGTAAATGATGAAAATGTTTTTTCATTTGATCAAACAAAATTCATAATCATCAAATCACAACATATTCAAAAACTCGTTTTCTTTGAATGCAATAAAGCGCTTCTTTTAGAACATTTTTATTTGTTTTTTAACCGATTTCAAAAACACAAAAGAGGAGGTTATCAATTCATCTGTATTTTTTATTAAAGATTGCTTTCAACATACAAACTATAAGAATTACACGGTAGACGGTTAATTGTGTCTGTGAGTGTAGTTAAAACATGATACTAGTAAATTTTGTAGCGGTTTTGATGGATAACCATTGTAATTTTCGTGCAGGGTGATCGAATGCCTGGGTCCTACAAACACGCGCGTGTATACGGTAGGCGTGTACTTCCGCGGGCAGCGGCTCGCTGCGGCGCGCGGTCACTCCATCCAAGAGGCCGAGATGAACGCCGCCGAGCACGCGCTCACCACTGCGCACGGTCAGTATCCCCACTCGCACACACTGATATAGGAGGCCGAGATGAACGCCGCCGAGCACGCGCTCACCACTGCGCACGGTCAGTATCCCCACTCGCACACACTGATATAGGAGGCCGAGATGAACGCCGCCGAGCACGCGCTCACCACTGCGCACGGTCAGTATCCCCACTCGCACACACTGATATAGGAGGCCGAGATGAACGCCGCCGAGCACGCGCTCACCACTGCGCACGGTCAGTATCCCCACTCGCACACACTGATATAGGAGGCCGAGATGAACGCCGCCGAGCACGCGCTCACCACTGCGCACGGTCAGTATCCCCACTCGCACACACTGATATAGGAGGCCGAGATGAACGCCGCCGAGCACGCGCTCACCACTGCGCACGGTCAGTATCCCCACTCGCACACACTGATATAGGAGGCCGAGATGAACGCCGCCGAGCACGCGCTCACCACTGCGCACGGTCAGTATCCCCACTCGCACACACTGATATAGGAGGCCGAGATGAACGCCGCCGAGCACGCGCTCACCACTGCGCACGGTCAGTATCCCCACTCGCACACACTGATATAGGAGGCCGAGATGAACGCCGCCGAGCACGCGCTCACCACTGCGCACGGTCAGTATCCCCACTCGCACACACTGATATAGGAGGCCGAGATGAACGCCGCCGAGCACGCGCTCACCACTGCGCACGGTCAGTATCCCCACTCGCACACACTGATATAGGAGGCCGAGATGAACGCCGCCGAGCACGCGCTCATCACTGCGCACGGTCAGTATCCCCACTCGCACACACTGATATAGGAGGCCGAGATGAACGCCGCCGAGCACGCGCTCACCACTGCGCACGGTCAGTATCCCCACTCGCACACACTGATATAGGAGGCCGAGATGAACGCCGCCGAGCACGCGCTCACCACTGCGCACGGTCAGTATCCCCACTCGCACACACTGATATAGGAGGCCGAGATGAACGCCGCCGAGCACGCGCTCACCACTGCGCACGGTCAGTATCCCCACTCGCACACACTGATATAGGAGGCCGAGATGAACGCCGCCGAGCACGCGCTCACCACTGCGCACGGTCAGTATCCCCACTCGCACACACTGATATAGGAGGCCGAGATGAACGCCGCCGAGCACGCGCTCACCACTGCGCACGGTCAGTATCCCCACTCGCACACACTGATATAGGAGGCCGAGATGAACGCCGCCGAGCACGCGCTCACCACTGCGCACGGTCAGTATCCCCACTCGCACACACTGATATAGGAGGCCGAGATGAACGCCGCCGAGCACGCGCTCACCACTGCGCACGGTCAGTATCCCCACTCGCACACACTGATATAGGAGGCCGAGATGAACGCCGCCGAGCACGCGCTCACCACTGCGCACGGTCAGTATCCCCACTCGCACACACTGATATAGGAGGCCGAGATGAACGCCGCCGAGCACGCGCTCACCACTGCGCACGGTCAGTATCCCCACTCGCACACACTGATATAGGAGGCCGAGATGAACGCCGCCGAGCACGCGCTCACCACTGCGCACGGTCAGTATCCCCACTCGCACACACTGATATAGGAGGCCGAGATGAACGCCGCCGAGCACGCGCTCACCACTGCGCACGGTCAGTATCCCCACTCGCACACACTGATATGTCTGTATCGCCACTTGCACACACTGATATGTCTGTATCGCCACTTGCACACACTGATATGTCTGTATCGCCACTTGCACACACTGATATGTCAGTATCCCCACTCGCACACACTTATATAGGAGGCCGAGATGAACGCCGCCGAGCACGCGCTCACCACTGCGCACGGTCAGTATCCCCACTCGCACACACTGATATGTCTGTATCGCCACTTGCACACACTGATATGTCTGTATCGCCACTTGCACACACTGATATGTCTGTATCGCCACTTGCACACACTGATATGTCAGTATCCCCACTCGCACACACTTATATAGGAGGCCGAGATGAACGCCGCCGAGCACGCGCTCACCACTGCGCACGGTCAGTATCCCCACTCGCACACACTGATATAGGAGGCCGAGATGAACGCCGCCGAGCACGCGCTCACCACTGCGCACGGTCAGTATCCCCACTCGCACACACTGATATGTCTGTATCGCCACTTGCACACACTGATATGTCTGTATCGCCACTTGCACACATTGATATGTCAGTATCCCCACTCGCACACACTGATATGTCTGTATCGCCACTTGCACACACTGATATGTCTGTATCGCCACTTGCACACATTGATATGTCAGTATCCCCACTCGCACACACTGATATGTCTGTATCGCCACTTGCACACACTGATATGTCTGTATCGCCACTTGCACACACTGATATGTCAGTATCCCCACTTGCACACACTGATATGTCAGTATCCCCACTCGCACACACTGATATAGGAGGCCGAGATGAACGCCGCCGAGCACGCGCTCACCACTGCGCACGGTCAGTATCCCCACTCGCACACACTGATATAGGAGGCCGAGATGAACGCCGCCGAGCACGCGTTCACCACTGCGCACGGTCAGTATCCCCACTCGCACACACTGATATGTCTGTATCGCCACTTGCACACACTGATATGTCTGTATCGCCACTTGCACACATTGCACTGTGTTCTAGTGTTTCCCCGCGAACCTATGGACCGGTATCTGAACCGATTACTGCACGTTATATAAAAATCGTGACACCGAATAGCCTGATATTCACATGTTTCTATAAAAAGACCGACCGAACCTATAAATGTATATTTGTTTCGGGTTCGCCGAAGAACCTCGGTGAAGCGTATTCTACCGTTACCTTTTCTCTATTGTAGAGTTTTTATTTCTGTCGCAGAATTGTTTCCACAACTCGACCACCAGAAGCGAGTCATAGCCAAGAGCATGAAAAAGAAGAAGAACAAAAAGAGTGGACGTGGAAGTCCTGGCCGAGATAGAGAAGGAGCGTTAAGACGCAAACGTTTAGAGGAAAACGTTCCCAAAGCGTATAAAATGAATGACAGAGCCCGTTCCGATTCGGAATCGGACGAGAGTGTAGTTCGAGTGCCTTCTGAAGACGAAAACGTCCCGAGTCCTAAAGGAAGGTCCGCTGAAGATTCCGGACTAGACAGTGACGACGAATCGGTAGATAAATTTGATAATGTACAGGTTAGCTCTCTTCTTAGTGATATGGAGAAACTGCGAGAGGAGATGATAAAGAAAAATGAGTATGAGAAATTGAAAGAAAAGTGCAGGAGATTGGCAGACGAAGACGACGAGTAGTGAGATTTAACATTTAGTATCAAGTTTTTGGATACGTGATACATTAAGCTATAAGTATTATTTATGAGCGGTAGGTGCTGAATGAGGCTGTCGTTTACGTTTTATAGTTAGATGATAAGCTTAAATAATCCATTAATGTAGTCGAATTAGTCCCTTACTAGTCTGTTTGAGCAGTCGTTAAAATAATATAGAAATAAGTATTAACTGACAGGAGACGATAAATGACATATGTCATAAGTCAAAAACTATAATGTATGTGGTTTTTTCTTTAAGTGTGAGTCTTGTTTGATGCAATAATATTTCTCTTCATTAGGTATGGATTATCTTAGATATTATTATTTAGTACAGTAACTTGGTGAAAATAGAGCTGAGACATAATGGAGAAGCTACTCACTAATATTTGTCTATAGGATAATTGTTTAGTTATATCTCAAAGTCGCTTTTATTAGCTTTTCTTTAATTAAGCATACTGGTAACGGAGGTCGCACGTTTTTAAAGTTATGCGTTATATTAAATGGCGCTAAGTAATTTTTAATCAATGAGCTTGAAGTCACCGGTTTATCTTTTTTTATAGGACAATTATATTACATTTGTTTTCCTGTATTACATAAAGGAGAAAGATCTGTGTGTAGAAGTTGATAGTAAATGTGTTTTTATAATAATGAATATGTTTTAATACCAATCAAATATTATATATAGGGTTTTACTGTAAATATACTATTTAACTTTACCTTATACATATAAGAAATAGTGTTTAAAGTCAACTTTTCGATTACAGTCGAGTTTAAGATTTAATGTTATGACTTAAGGAATAAGCGATTATGCTACTAAACAGTAATACTATAGTCCATCTAATTTAAGAGGTACGGTTTGACAGTTCTGACAGATTGAAGAATTTCGATGGGCTCAAAGAAATCGATAACTACAATATCCGATTCTTAAGAGATATTGAATTTTTTTCTTAATATTTACTAATCAATGACAGTTTTACAGACTGTAAAAGCCTGTGTAATGGCATATCTTACGTTTTACTAGTAAATCTTAGTATACACTAGACTTGGACACAAGCAATTTTGCCTACAAAGATTTATTTAAAGTTACGCCAATATAAAGTTGTTTCGGCTTGAAAAGTATGAAACGTCAAACTTCTTAGTTTAAATGGACTGTATTATATAAAAATACTATGGCAAGGTTCCTTAAAGTTAAAACCTTAATTATTTTTACTAAATATTTACTTACCCTGTATTGTAAACTACAGTCAAATTATGAAATTAACAGTGCCCTGACAATTTTATTTTAGTCCTAAAAATTTGCCCTTGACATTAACGCTGATTTCAAATTTATTTAGGTTATATACCTTTTGACAATAAACCCTTTACCTACAAGATATTAAGTAGATGATTTTACGATTTATGACAAGTGATGTGAAGACTAAGCTTGACAATAATATCCCAGTTCATATTAATTTAAATGTGGCTTTTTTAAATTACTTATATATTGCCTGTTTAATGTAGCTGAAACCTGCAATTCAGAAACTAAGTTATTTAAAAAATGAACTGTGCACCGCTGACAATTTGGATCATTTGAGTCGTTAGGGAGCTCTGAGTTTCGTTTTGTTAAGTTACCAAGTTTGAAATAATATTTTGTGAGGTTTATTGCCTTTTTGGTTTTTCGTGGTTAATTAGTTTACTGTAGTTTTCGTAGTTCATCTGTTTATTTGAATTTATATCGTTTTCAAGTCCTACAACAAACATCTCATGCCCAATGATATTATATACATACAAGAGGTAGATACGCCACCAACGCGCAAAACCTGAGGGTCATAATTAGGACCACAAATAGCGCGCGCACGTACTAATTAATTGGAAAAAAAAGATAATATGTCTTCAGTCGCTGTACTGATTACAAATAGCTGTCTATTTCACTCTTATGCTTTCCCTATTTCCTATCGCACCTGTAGAGTATGTTTTGTTCTAAAATGCATTAAAAGATGTACATAGATTGTTACGAAACAAATATTTTTTGCGTTCAGTATGAATATAGCGTAACTTGCTTACAATATTATTGCTCATGCCCACATACATAAGTAGATACATGGTATATGAACAAGCATACTTTGCAGACAATTTGTTACAAATGAATGTTCACATAAGATCATTACCTCAATTGTTTTTAATCCCTATAAGTGGTATGGTTGTTTTTACTCGGCACCGATATTTACAAATATATTTACTAAACAACAATGAAATCAGACATTTTACAGTTTTTTATCTGACGAATCTGATGAAATTGACGATGTTGGATATTAAATTTGATCTTTTGTCTATATAATGAAGTAGTTAAATAAATTTTAAATCACGAACTGATGTCAGGGATAAAAATAAACGAAATTAAAAAGTAGGTATTTTTATTTCTGTATATTGGTAAGACATATATTTTGCTTCACAGCGTACATCAACATAGCACGATGCAGCATAGTGTAAATGCAATTGGTCCTTTTAACTTTTTAGAGCGTAATGTGAGCCATTGCTTTTGATTCGGCACGTACATTTCCGCTGGCATTAGCTGTTCGGGAGTATCATTGTCTGAAATAGAAATATAAAAAACACTAGTAAATTAACATACATACAATCACGTCTTTATTCTGATGGGATGGCCAAGAACGTATAAAACGCCCATAATTTGCCGACTATAATTGTTGTCACACTCACCTAATAGGGGCCAAGGCTTTTGGGCATATGTATATTTATTACCTATTATAGATAAATTACACAGAGACACAAAAAATGATCGTGCTCATCACACAATGTTTGTCCTCGACGGAAATCGAACCCACGACCTATGCCGTAAATTTACATTGACACGATGAAAAATCACAATGCTATAGTCAATGTCTGTCTTAGAAATTATCATTTTACTTTAAGGGTAAAGAAGAATGTATATAAACCTACCAAGCAAGCTTGAATATTTTCTATTATTTTCTTGAAGGTTTTGAAATCGTAGAAATGATGACCTAACAACTCTTTTAAAAACTGAGATGAGTCACATGATTAGTGATGAAAGTGCTGATATTGGTTGGTGATTCTGTTAAAAAAACTTTTAATACGTACCGTCCTTACGTACAAGCTGAGCTGATTGCATTGTCGAATCTTGCATTGATATGAGATCCCCAGGAGCATGCAGTAGAAGTCTACCAACGCCTTCGCACCTCCTGATCAAGATTTATGTAGGTACAGAAAGAAGCATATTAGAAGCGATTTATCTCACCTTTCGATGGATCAAATTTATAATAAATAACACTAAAACACTATATATAAATGTGAGATTGTGTAGGTAGGTATATATTCATAATCCATAGAAAACGAGACTCCAATAGAAACATTTCTTGTTTCTTGTTATAATAAGGTCCATTGGAGAAGCCAACCTTAACCTCTCATGATTACTTCCCTTCATAAAAAATAAAATGTGTTCAAAATATATCCGTATTTTAATTTTAACTTAGTATCATGTGAGTATTAAACGATTCGCAAACATCTCAGACCGCCTGATGAAGGAGTGTATACTTCTTCAGAAATTGATCAGGATATGGATACGCACCTCAAAACTTCATTCTGTAGCATCTGTTTCCTTGCGGCAGTGGCAAGCAATTTGCATTCGTTTAACCAAATTTTTACTTCATTGAAATCTGCTAGAAGCTGCATCGCCGCATCTTTCCTAGAAATTTAAATTAAGTGTAGGACCAGATATGCGTAAACTGTTATTACAGAAAAAGCGGCTTCTCCAATTCTTGTCGTGAAAACTATAACTACGGCGGTAGAAAACGTGAAAATCCCTCCGTATGGACAGAGTTTAGATTAAGTGAAGCCTATCTGTAGCTCTAGTATTCGTCGAAATACCACAGTAGATACAAGGACCCTCGGTATAAGGCTCTTCCTAAGTCCTTTGCACTCGGGCGATTGGCTAGTGAATTCTATACTATATTGAGACCAGAAAACTGTCTAAATTACTATTTTGTTTGGTGCTGTATCATAGATAATGTTGTTTATGTATGCTTACGTAAATTTGACTTTGGCTACATATATATGGTGGAGCCAAGACTCGCACATAAGCCTGAGCACCATGTTCAAAGTCGTTACGTCTTGAGTCGCTTTTATTGCTGGCAGTAACATTTTATCTGTAAGTCAGAAAAATAATCATTAATTAAAACTAAATTCTAACATTAACAACAATGAAAGTCCCGTTACAATCGGCCCACCCGTTTCGAAGTACAACTGGACCACATCGACAAAATAATAATAATTCTCATTTAGATACACTTAGTAAAAAACTGTTTTTATGATACGAGTATTACAAATGGGTACTTTAATGTTATTTAAATAAATATAAAACAAGTAAATATTCGCAACATTAAAAGTCTCAACTGAATGTGTTTTTTTATTTGTGATATAGAGGGTATATTATTTAATGACAATTACCTAGGAACGCATGTACATATAGAGAGTTACTTGACTGAGGCGGTCGAGTCACTCCCCGCCACTCCGCATTACTCGGGAATATCATGGTCAAATGTGCCAAGCTAATGGTCACACACACTGATGACAATACATGGGTTATCTCTTCTGTTGCATCCTTAACAATATTATAAATAGAAATCGGTAAATACAGAAATGATTAGCTACAATTAGCAAGCAACTAATACAAAGCGGTTCCAAGCTTCTAGTTTCTAATTTTTTTAACTTACTTTTAATTTTTGCGTGTTTACTTTCACCTCGGATACTAACGTCTCCCTCATTTTAGCGCAAACAGTTTCATGAACACCGATTTTACCTGTCAGAAAACGTAAACAATCGAGAGTAACATGATTTTATTTTGACTTATAATAGTAATAATGAAAGATGATATTATTTTTATCCCTACATTTTTAGTGACTATTATACATTTTATGGTGTAGGAAGTAAATGACCAGCCGGGTCACCTGATAGTAAGTGACCATCTAAACCCATGGACACCCACACTCAAGACACACAATTGCGTTGACAACCTTAAAATGAAACTTATTATGAATTAATGAAACCCCACACATGATGACGCTGTGGCGACTCTCACGTCTCATGAAGACTGAAGTAACCCCTCCAAACACAACTGACTCGACAAAACCAAGCCCACGACCTGCCCCTATTTAGGGGTAGCGGTAGAAACCGCTGGCCGAAGCCCCGAACCAGCCACCGCACGTCCCCTACGGGACGGTGTGAAGACCAGATCGATCGAACCGTTGGGCCGCGGCCCGCCAGGCATGATCACCTCGCCTGGTCCGAGGATCCTCCCTTTGTGTTGGAGGGACATGACACCTGTTCCTCCACGGGGCCTCCGACCTGAATTACTCGGAGAAAAATAAAAGTAACATTTTAAGGTTAAACAATAACTCCTAATTTCCCCGCCCTAAACAAAAAATCCTTACCAACCTGACTCGATCGCTGTGGTGTGATCTGCAAACCTTAAGTTAATCAACTGCTCCATGCAAGCTTGCATATCGTTGTGTGCTATGCGGCAGAAGTCTTTCATTTCCCAAACATTAGCCAACCTTCGTGTTTCAGCTAAGCACCACAGTCTGTACGTGTGAATAGAGTGGTCTGAAACACGCATCAAATATTATTATTATTATTATAAATTTTGGTTAGTACCAAAATTTCATTACGCAATGAAACAAATATTTGAATAAATCATTTTATCTCTTACTAGCGGACCCGACAGATGTCCTATGGTCCGTAACGAACGATCTTTTCTTTCAAAACTAAATGCTTAAAACAGCAAGCTTAAAAGTTTACAAAACCATATAAGAACATTTTTCATTAAACAAGTGACATTAATCGAATGGTTGTCTGCGGGCTTGCAAAAAAAATATTAGGAAAGGGAGAGCTCAAAATGATGTTTCTAAATGTTAATCAGAGTGATGTTGGACTGGACCGCCTGCTGGACTGCCCGCTACCAAATCATCTTATAGGTGCTAGACGTGCGTTTACAGAGGCAGTCAAGGCTAGCAAGTATGTGTGGTTTAAAGCATTTTTATTCCTGCATTCCACTTTACCAGTGAGGTGTGCTACAGTCCAAAAGCAAAGTACATATCTATAGTTTTAAGCGAAGACGACATCCTTCTTGAATAACGAAACTACCTTCTCTAACCATTCTTACCAAGTCTATGCAAAATAGGTATCTGTTCAACTATAGGTAAATCTTCTAGAGGTGCTCCTAGTATGTAGTCCCAAGTTACTTCACACTGATTGTTTAACATGACCAGCTCTTGTAGCATCAACGCAAAACTGGCTCCTGATTCTGTACTCTGAAAATTATTTGTAGTAGGTACATTAGAATAACTGAATAAATTAATCACCATTTATTTTAGACTAATTAATTATCAGTTTACTATTGTTAGTAACATCGAATCAAACAAACATAATTATGGAACTGAAAGAACTAGCAACCGTACACTACGCACTTTTTTACCTTTCGCTTTAACTAAGTAGTAAATAGGTACACTCTAGAAAATACTTTCATTACCGTGTTGGTTATTGGTACTGCACGTTAGGTACAGTGAAGAAAAAAAACTCACCTCAGTGATATACAACGATAGTTCAGGGTTTATTTTCAGCGAAGTTGGAGTTAAGTTTGTTGTTAAAGTAGCACTGGTAAAAGATAAGAAAATATTAAACACATTCAAACTTAAAAAAAATTACATAAGTAGTTAAGTATTGTTGAATTACCCAAAATTTTTATCCCAAGAAGTAGACGTTACATGACACCCTAATGCATCTGCTAATATTCTTAAAGCTGCCAAAATCAGTTCTGGCGTATCTGAAGTAAAAATGTTTATTATTATCAATATCGATTGAATGATAGAAAGTGGCATGCGTGATCCATTGAGTTTTAAAAAGTGATGAAAAGCAAAACTCTGATATCAGGCAGATTTTCTATTTTGAAAAGACAAAATCTTACTGTTCAATCTTATTTTCATATCTTGGAGAATAGAGAAATGGACGTAATTAGAAATGAGCCTGGTATTATTGGTTAAATAATTGAAAACTTTTTTATGGTACGAGTCTTGCCTGCATAGTTCTGTGATTGTATATGACGTAGGTTGGTACTTACTATTAACATTGAATGTAGCAAATAGCCATTCTCGAAGCTTTTGGCTGGTGTTAGGAGACCTTAATTTAAAAAATTGTAGTCATATAATGCAGTGAAATCATGGAATAAACAAACGTACAAGAAGAAAATGAAAGAATCTTTAAGATCCTACCTCATCGCCAAAGGGTATGAAGACCACCACAATATAATATGTTCAAGGCAACTGCCTACATCACCCCACAATATATTCTGGTAATACTCTGTTACTTTGTGAGCAGCCTTTTTACTGGTTTGAATGCGACCTATGAAAATATTTATGAAGTGCATAAATTTTCTAAAAGTAATGAATGGCAAGTAAAATAGGAAACTTTGGAGGAGTCAGGGGACAGGAGTTTGTTACTTTTAAACAAAGGACACTCATATGTTACATCTAGGCCAATGAGACATGTGGTCTCTTTCTGTGAAGCTGTAATGCTCCAGAAAGAGACCGCTGAACGGGATCGGGAGAGGGCCGATCCTGAGCGTAGAGGACGTCGGCGACCATACCAGCCGCCGACGGGGCCGCGGGCCGCCAGAGAGTGGGGACCTCTGGTCGCTGATTGAATGTTGCGGTAGGGGATAGGATGGCGGCCTGATTGCATTAAGACGAAATTGGGCCGCCACGTCGCGATTGAGGGGGGAAGTGATATTCCCCTGGGATAGGGCCTGACTAGGCATGGTGTCAATTCGGGGAGGACCTGACATAACATGGTCCGGGTCCTCCCAGAGTAGGGCACCTGAGGCCGGCCGTCGGGGTGGTTTTTAGTGGAATCACCACATACTCCTAGCTCCTAGCCCCGAGGAGCAGGAGATCCGAAGGGATTTTCCACCCCGTCAACAAAAAAAAAAAAAAAAAAAAAAAAAAAAAGGCCAATGAGACATGTGTGTCAAATCTACTTTAGTGAGTTTGGTTAGAGAGAGAGAGATTATCGTATTTAATGGCAAATAACGAAGTTGTAATATTTACTTATTTCTATAAAACCGTAAAAGGTCGTGTGGCATTATGGTTTGCAAGTATAGCATACCATAGCGAGCAATTAGACTGCACGTATGGCGCAGTGGTTTAAGCGGTCGCCACGCCCCTTCCTACTGCGCCTAGTGTTGTGGGTTCAAACCCCACATGGGACGACACTTTGTGTGATCCACAAAATGTTGTCCTAAGTCTGGGTGTTTTTTGTGTCCGTTTCATATATGTTTGTAAAGTCCTCCGCGACACAGGATATATTCGTCATGCGGGAGTTGCCTTTAAAAAAAAAAACAGGGACAACTCCAAATGTTCACGTTTGCTGATGATACGGCATTAATTTTGTACGGATCTACATAGGACGAGGTTTAATATTACACTGAATTAGGTGTCCAGAAGGTTGCAAAGTGGCTGAGTCAAAATTTACTAACTCTTAATACGAGGGGTGATCAATAAGTAATGATAATCAATATGAAACAGAACTATTAGATTAAAAAAAGTATTTTATTTTTCAACATAGTCTCCTTGCAAGTTAATACATTTAGTGTATCTTTTTTCTAAGCCCATGATTCCCTTAGAAAAAAATTATTTGTCTTGACCCTCCCAAAATGCCTCTACTGCGGCCATCACTTCACTATTGTCCTCAAATTTGTTGCCCCGGAGGTGTTCTTTGAGCCGAGGAAAGAGGTAGAAGTCACTGGGAGCTAGATCTGGCGAATAGGGAGGGTGTTCGAGCAGTTCGAACCCCGTTTCTTCAATGGCAGCCATCGCAACTGCGGCTTTGTGAGCCGGGGCGTTGTCTTGGTGAAACAGCACTCCAGCGCGCAGTTTACCGCGTCTTTTTGACTTCATAGCTTCTCGCAATCTTCTTATTTGGCCTGCGTAGTAAGAGCCTGTTATAGTGGCCCCCTTTTTCAAATATTCCACCATAATAATTCCTTCTGCATCCCAGAAAACAGACGCCATAACCTTTCCCGCTGAACTTGACACTTTGAATTTCTTCGGCGTTGGTGAGGAAGCTCGTTTCCAAGTCATTGATTGTTGTTTGGTTTCGGGATCAAAGTGGTGGATCCAGGTCTCGTCCATGGTCACAAAACGCGACAAAAAAAATTCTTTATCGGCCTGGAACTTTTGAAGATTCACCCTCGAAATGTTGACTCGTTTCTTTTTTTGCTCGTCGGTTAACATTCTCGGTACCCAACGCGCAGAGACCTTTTTCATATGCATTTTGTTGACAATGATTTTTTGAACGCTGCCATAGGAGATCCCTGTGACCTCAGCTACATGCCTTACGGTCACCCTTCGATCGGCCAACACGATATCTTCCACTTTTTTGACGTTTTCTCCAGTAAGGGACGTGGAAGGGCGTCCCTCGCGATGTTCATCTTCAGTGGAGGTTCTGCCCAGCTTAAATTCCTTTGCCCAGCGTGCGACTGTGGAATATGGAGGAGCAGACTCCCCCAATGTTTCCTCTAAGTCGCTGTGTATGTCTTTGGTAGACATTTTTTTTCAGGCAGAGGTACTTGATGACAGCTCTTATTTCATTTTTCTCCATTTTGATGTTTTCTCTTCGACAGTTCGTATTCAAATGAATGTATACATTTTTTGAAGCTGAAGTAGTGGATATATAAGCAAGCAGAAAAAAAATAATTTGGGTTTTTGTGCGTTCTAGAAATACTCGATTATCATTACTTATTGATCACCCCTCAAACAAAATTAATCACTTTTGGTAATACGGAGGTTTCACTGAGAGTAACACAAAACTTAAAGATAAAAACAATATAAACTGCAATTGTAATTACTTAGATCGAGTTAATACAATCAAATATCTTTGCATATTCCTTGACGATAAGCTAACATGGTGTCCATATATTAATTATCTAGCTGGAAGAACACGTAGGTTAATATACGTTTTAAAAAATTTAAGACACGAGGTCGATAATACTCTTCTAAAAACCGTGTATTTTGCACTAGCTCAATCTATTCTAACATATGGAATTATTGCTTAGGGAGGAGCTCGAAAAACCCATTTCATAAATCAACGAAGTGTACTAAAGGTCATACTATTTAAACCCTTCTGGTACCCTACAGTCGACCTATATTCAGAATGTGATGTGCTCAGGCAGGCAGGAATGTGATCAGGCAGTTATTTATTAAAACCATTATTATGGCACAACATCAAAAAGTCAAATATGACAGTTGTATGTCCGTTCGACGAAAGGATAGCGTGTGTCCTACGGTATTGTATTTGTGTGTATATACATATGTATATGCGTATTTATATGTATTTGTGTGTGTGTGTGTGTGTGTGTGTGTGTGTGTGTGTGTGTGTGTGTGTGTGTGTGTGTGTGTGTGTGTGTGTGTGTATGTATATGAATATTTATGTATGCCTATTGCTAGGTAAAAAGGTAATAATCCATTTTAACCAATAAATCGAGCCTTGTTTACACTTAACATTGCTTTCACAAACATACTTACTCAATAATAAATAAAAATGTTCAACTTCAAAAATGTTTTCGACTGAATGTTTACATCTCTTACGCATTAGGAATATATCATGTGTCGCGGGGGACTTTACAAACGTACATGAAACGGACACAAAGAACACCCAGACTTAGAACAACAATTTGTGGATTACACAAAGTGTCGTCCCATGTGGGGATAGGACTCACAACACTCAGCGTAGTAGTAAGCGGCGTGGTCTTCTGGGAAGACACTAACGTCTAAGATACAGGCTCGGATATATAGATATATACAGGATATATAGATACCAATACCAACACCAAGATAATACATTTGATTTTTTAACATATAAATATAGTTATGATGTATTTATGAACTGGGTGTTTATAATAATCGATGAGATATAAAATAAACAATAATAAGAAATAATATATTAAATTATGACTCTAATATGATGTCATATCATGATGAAAATAAGAAAAAATATGTACGTAACAGTTAAATCATACAATATAAGGTCATAGCGTTGTCATGCAATATGACCTCAAATGAAAGTCATCAAACATAGTCACTATTATGTCATATACTATGACGTCATTTTAAAGTCATGTTTTCACTGGGACCCTGCCATTTAGATATAAAGTGCCACAAATATCTTACCATTCTTAAGCTTCTTGACACCATTCGTGCCTAACAGTAATGGTGACATATTTGCAACAGTGTCTAATAAAATTTCTATGTACATTTCCTCACTTTGAAGAATACTGTTTATATTATCTGCAAGACATTGAAAAATTTATTGCGTACAGAATCAAGTCAAAGATAACTAAGCAAAGTAACTTCTTTTGTAAAGTAGCGAAAATAAAAAGTTAAATCAATATTACCTTCGGTATTAAAAATATTTTCAAGAGCATATTCACTATTTAAAAGCGACAGGTAAGGCACTTCAGCGTCAGAATTCTGCGCAGTCACTAGTTCGTTAAGTTTCTTATTGTGTTCATTTTTCATCTGAATCAAGCTCTGAGCTTGTTTCATTTTCAATTTCCTATTTATGACGAAATGATCCCGACGCTTCTCCATTATTAAGTCTCTAGATTTCGTTGATGTTGGCGGTGTTATGTGTTTCGTGAGTGTACTGAAAGTCATTATATAAACTTAGGTAGGGATCATTTTATGTAAGGGTATAGTTTTCCTCCGAATAAGAATCATGTGACGGAATTGAATTGCTGCACACGCACATGCATTGTATAGAAATTATGTATATTGAATTTACATTGGAATGACTTAATTCCATATTTGGCTTTGAAACTATTTCTTCCTGTTTAGATTGCAATGGCAAACTAATACTACTGTTGTCTGCCCTATTTAATGAGCTTACACCAAAAAATAAAAAATCGGTCTCGATTGATATATTACTTGAACAGTAGGTACCGCAGCAGAAAATGCTTTTAAAAATACTTCAACTATATTTAGTACCTAGGTATAGTTGAATATTCTTTTACTTACTGAAATATTTCCAAACTTTCTGCGCTACTAGAACTTGAATCGTTGTCAGAAATGTTATCAGGGTTGTATACTTTTACCAAACAATTAATCAAACGTTGACAGTTGATTTCCCCACGGCTTTTAGCTAAAATCTGTAAAAACATGTCAATGTCTACTAATGTCAGTTCTCCGAGCCTTTTTCCAAACTATGTTTTGATCGACTTTCAGTCTACTCTAATACACTGCTAAGCTTCGATTTTTTACGTGGAGCGACTGCCAACAGACCTAGCTCCTCAACCAAAGTACTATTTTAATACACTGTTTTCAGGGCTCCAACTACCCGTAACTACTGCCACAGTCGTCGTATGGCAACCGTTACCGACTACCGTAATAGGCACGGAGGGGGTCTCAATGTGTTAAGGATGATCACCCATCCACAGAGTGACCTGGTTAGGATCGCTTAACTTCGCTAACTTACTCGGTAACCACTGAGCCACGAGCCCGTCTAATATCCACTAATGTAGTCATCATCAATCATCATCATCAACAGCCTATACTAGTCCACTGCTGGACAAAGGCCTCTCCTTAGAAAGGAGGTTTTGGCCTACTATACCACGCTGGCCAGACGGGTTGGTATAGGGTTTGTTTCAAGTTTTCCTTCTCTTTGCAGTGCTGTTGTCCTATGCAGTTTGTTCCCTTAGTCGGCTCTTACGACACCCACGGGATGAATAGGGGTGGTGACATTCCGTATTCTTAATCCGTCACCACACGGATTAGTACCTACTTTTAAACATAACTAATGTAGTACCTACTTTTAAACATTTCAATTATTTATCAAAAAAAATATGGAGAAAAGAAAGCTATAGAAGCTCAAGTAGTACTTAGTACTTTTACTAGCCTGAACGATCTTAGTTAAGGTAATGTTCTTGATTTCACTTATGATGATGGGATATGTATTACTTCCAATATTGAATTTAGCTGCGAACTTCTTATAGCTGAGACCAGTTAAATTGTTGTAAATGCCAACAAGACTGAAAAATAAAACAATGTTACTTTTAAAAAAACCTAAGAACCCTAGTTTACAACTAAAGATACTGTAAAAATAGGTGCGAAAATGATGAGTGAATATGCTAAAATGTAAAAATTATGAGCCATTACGAACGAAATAACAATACAATATATACCTACATTTAAATTTTAACTATTAGATTACATTTTTTCATCACGGTATGAGCCCCTACTGTTGATGTGATTTATCTTAAAGTAATTTTTAGGTAATTTAAGTATTCTTACCTTAAGCAGGATTCAATCATTTTTCTGGAGTCTTCTCTATACAGACACGTGTTCAATATAGTTGTTATAAGGCCATGTATAGTTTGCAACATCAGGAATCTGATGCTACATAATTTATCAAAAATATGAATGTTTTTACTCTGAAGCAACCCGTTGTCCTTTTTCAACCGAGCTAATTTTGGATTTAATTTGTAAAATGATTTCACTATTTTTTGTAAATAATCTATTATCTGATCTAGTACCTGTAAATGTAACAGAAAACACAATATTTACTATATTAGTGCATTATTGCATATTTAGTTAGTTCTTATCGACAGAGAGTAAACCAATCTAAATTTCTAGATCACAATCTGACTGCCGACCTCAAGGATAATAAATTCAATTCAAATTCACAATATCTTTATCACATTAAAAAAATTGTTTGAAATCGTATTTTATGTAGACTCTAAAGTCGTAGATCAACACAAACACAATAGCAACAATCTCTGTTTTGTCAAATAGTTAGGAAAAAAAAAGTCTAATAATAATGGAATTCGAAAAATAAAAACAAGATGTACGTTGTTGTCACTACTTCCTTTATTTTTACTTTGGGCTTATCTGTCAAATTAAGTTCATTATGCCTCTTGTTTTGCTATACTGCTGATAATATTTCTCACCTGTATATTAACCAGTTCCATGATGTATTTACGGTTAGATAATGAATATGTGTTATTCTTACTACCAATTGTATTAATAACATTCCCTTTCCATTTATTGTCAGAGTCTAGTATCATTTTCGTCACAGCGTAACAAACCATTTCCATTTCCCGACAATGACAGAAGAGCTCTTCTTCATCAGCAGTTTCTTCACTTATCCATTTTCCACTGGTGACTTTAGTAGGAATCATGATTAAATAATACGGTATGCCGAGAAATAAAAAAAAAATATTGTCTGCAAACTAACTCGTAGGAATCATTATTAACGACTGAACAAGTCAACTGCATATACTGTACACAAAATCAATGGTATAGAGACGTCGGTGCCAGCCCGCGAGGGGCTCGTCCTACTAGCGTTTAAAACCTTGCAGGACAACTTGCAAATCGCTATCGTTAAACTTTTTACCACTGTTCAACCTTGATATTATTGACCTTGACTAGCGAAATTGGTTGGCTCTTTGTGTAAATTTATGAAAAGGCTTTGTAGTCGGCATAAATCATTAAAATTTACTAAACTCACGTTCCAAGTTTACAACTTAATTATACTCGTACATTATTTTTTTATGGCACAGGAGGCAAAGAAGCAGTCGTGTCGCGTCATCTGATGATAAGTGACTAGCCTACCGCCGCCCATGAACATCTGCGACTCAAGGGGCACAAGTGCGTTACCGCACTTTGAGAACCCTTCCCTCAACCCAGAGTGGGGGGGGGGGGGAGGTGAATAAAGTATTTGGGCCTTGTCCTTGCCGGGAGGTGGCTCTTACTCGTGGAGCTGGTCAGTGCTGCGTCTTGCAGTTGGGCAACTTTGCCCAATTTAGGTGGACACAGCGTCGCGACAAGATATAGGAGGCTGTACACGGGGGTCGTCCGGTCAATGGCACTCGCCGAGACACTTTGGCTTGTTGGTCGTCCCGGCTGGAGATTTCATGTGCTGGCTTTGCCGCCGTGGAGGCGCTTCAGCCGGCTCATCGTCGAATGGGACGGGCGGCAGTCACCCGGCACGGCTGTTTCGGGAAGTACCTGCACTCGGTTACTAGGAGGCAATTGAGTCGATATTGTCACTACTGCGAAGTGAGGACTCGACTTAGCACACGCTGGCAATTAGCCCGGCTTGGGCGTCGCAATGTCGGGTTCTCGTTCCAGTCATCGGCGAGAATCTCTCGCTGCCGGCCGTCATACGCTCCATAGACAAAATTTTTACATCCTTCTGGGAAGACATCCTCGATCGTCGATCATCTCGCAGAAGGATGAGCCCAGGAGAGGGCTCAGGAGGACGAACTCCGCTCAAACCCAATTCGCTGCCCGCGAACCGGGCGGCCACACTTAGGGCGCCACGGAACCCTGAGCTCAACATCTGCGAGATGAAAGGCCGTTTGTCCGTCTGTAAGGGAATGCAACACTCCGTTCGAGCCTGCCCATTTGTGTTGAAGCATGGCTCTCCCACGATAGAAAGTTGCCTTATGAATCTTTTATTTTCTGTGATATCAAAACGCCTGCGTGGTCACCATTACAGCGGGGCGCACGGTAAAGTGGTATGTCAAAATCGAATCGACTAAAACCGTGTATGTTAGTTTATTGCAATTCATATCACCATCAAGATGATGATGATATGAAATCGTGTCATGATAGGCCTCGAGAATTATAAAGTTTAGTTCACAAAAATAAAACAGTCAATTATATCCAGTTGATAAGTATTTTAATAGTCATTAAGAATGTAACGAAAAATTATTATCAACTAACGATATTGCGTATTGCGACATCAAGGTAGAGTATATCACAGTAAACATGAATTTATTTTTTCGTTTCTATGTATTTTTTTTATATCTATGTATCAGTTGTCTAGTGCCCATAGTACAAGCTCTGCTTAGTTTGGGACTAGATGGCGACGTGTAAATGTGGTAGCATATTATTATTAATATTTTTAAAAATATAAACTTAGAACTGGCCATTAACTTACAAACAAATTCAAATAAGGCGAATAACCATTTAAATAATTATTTAAAATTACATTTCACAAAACTCTAAATTAGTACCTAGGTATGTTTATGTAAGATAGTAGAATCAAAATTATACAAAGAAACCATTTCATCAATGTCATTATATCTACTATTAAGATATATCATAGATAGATAAAAATAGATAAACAGCTGCGACTAACCGCAAGACAGTTTTCTGAAAGCAGTTCATAGCTGTATAATCACAATAAATAACATCTCATACGGGGGGGAAGTTGAAAAATTGTCCAGCTATATACTGAAAATATAGGTCGCTGGCGTACAAAAAACTACGATATGACAATAGCTGTTGTACACGGAGTGAAGTGTGCTAAGTTAAAATATTATAATACTTTTATTATCTGAAAGTTATTACTCGTTAATTTATTGTCTGTAAAACTCACCGACTATTTTCGTGGTCTAGTATAGTGTCTAATTATTTTAGCCAATATAAATTTATCCTAGGCTACCGCAGCGCCGCCCTTACGTCTCGCGTCTATAACTTTTTACGCACACTTCATACACAGAGACGGTTCTTCTTGCCTCTACCCTCCATAGAACAGTTTTTGTTTTGGTTGAGACCATTGAGTAATAAAAAAAGTAATTCATTAGACTTCTTTATTAAAAATGAGGTTAATGTGTTAAGACAAATATATGCTTGATCGTTCTCGTATCACAGTTTATAATCCTGGTAAGATAGTTATGAACTGCTTTCATTTAACTATCCTATAGTATATATTTATATCTATAGGGATTTATAGGTATATAATAGCTATAACCATCATTCTACGTCGTATTTCAAGCACCTCTAGTCAGCACATCTACTGAGAGTTGATTCAGAAAAGATAGACCGAGAGGCTACAGCATATAGGTAGCTTATTGCTTGACCCCAAATTAATCTATAACACCCCATAATGGTTTGCTTTTGCTCCTATCATTAGAGGAGTGCCTGTAAGTATTAATGTTGTTAATTAAACAAGTTCAGTTTATTCCTATATTTTAAGGTACATTCTGTAAATCGATACACGAATCACTGACAAGAATCTCGTAAGATTTGGATTAGGTACATTTGTTAGTGTAATTGCATTTGCAACTCCTAAATATGCTAATTAGTGTATTAGCTAAATAAAAGCTGTAAGTTCCTTAAAAAGACACTATGTTTATTACAAACTAGTCAACTTGTCACACATATATTTAGGTACTCTACAAGAAATAATAAATCTACAAAAAATAAAATAAAATAAAATCAAGAAATAAATACGACGATTTGACGAATAATTTTACAAAACAATAAGCGAAGTTAGAAATACCAGATATCAAGATTTACAGAAGTGTTATATTTAAGGATATTTTAATTTACACTTTCTTATTTGCTTTTTAAACCTTGTCTTAAGTACTTGATTCTACAAAAACACTACAAGAATATTTTATCATATCAATATTTTTAAATGATACAAGAAAAAAAGGTTTGCATAAGTGTTGGAAATTTTATTCTCAAGTGTATTTTTAGGCCTGGCAAGAATAAAGACAGTCCTTTACAGATCAATAAACATCGGTCACTGTGGAACAGTGGTTAGTGTTCTTCTCGCCATTGATTGTTCTTGTGTCCCATTTTGTTGCAACGCAAATGTAAAAAATAATTTCTAGTGCGAGCTCTTTTTTTAATTTAGTAAGTTTTATTTATGCCCTGACTACATTCTAACAGCATCACAACACCACTATCCTGAATAATACTACTTAAAGATATTTTATATACTCGGCTATGTATTGAATCATAAAGGCAAGTGCGTAAGCTCATTTTCTCAATACAACATTCACCAAAGTACTATTTGACAGTCATCATTTAAGAATTATGCTTTTTATTTTATTTAATGGTTTAAGTCACACGCAACAACGGGTTGGGTTTATAAGTAGTTTGATGCCGTGATAAAAAAAATATCATAGTTAAATAATGTTGTATATGATAGATTAGTCTATATATTATTCATGTGAGATCGATTGTTACAACTGTGATGTGTTTGAGCAGTAAGTGCCGGTAAAAGCTATTTAATAAAAAGTATGTTTACTAAAAGGCAATACATATACTATTTGAAACGTTGATGTGTACCAACAATAACAATATTGCTAATTCATTGTATTACATAATACTACAAAAGTGTACAGTCCTATGCAAACAAGCATACAAGAAAGAGCCACGAATACTAACAATTATTTTATTTAATATAGTTAATCGCAACCTTGAAATTTTAAGATTAATCATACTACATGTATTGTATTGTCAATAGGACATAAAATATTCTTGCTTGTGTGCATGTATGCAAGATAATCACGCACAATATTAAATAGCGTATAGGCACTCCCGCCATGATTCAATTGTCAGACTTCATGCTGAGATCACAGATGACTTTGAAATTGATGGCGATTCAGTTCTTAGATTTTAGGAGTTTTAAACATATTTCTATTTGATTTAGAAACAAATTTAATTACAAAAGATATAAATTCTACCAATAGATGATATCTCATAAAAAAAAACAATACAGATTGTCAAATAAACTAGAAGAAAATTTAGAACATAGCAAGATTGCAAAGCATGCTTTCATATAAGGCTGACAGTAACAATATACATCAACTACACGGCAAGATTGCTTTATTTGATATGATTATCTTTTATCACCCATCACCTGGCAGACTAATACTAAGCCATTTTATTTATATACATATAACAATTTCGTTTACAGGTACTACCATAAAATACTTTAAAACTTTATCACTTTTCATTTTAAATGTTGCAATATCGTTCATTATTCGACTAAAAAAAACAGATTAACAAAAAAGTATTTGAAATCTGGATATTATGAACAGACGAAAACACTACGATACGATATTATGAACAGGAGAAAACAATGTGATATGCAGAAATATAGTATAATTATTTCAACGACAGAATAAAACTTAATAGGGTCGGTTCTAACATAGCAACAATGAAAATGGACTAAATCATATGGATTAGTCTACCTACAAGTAACAAATAAAATTAATGTACACAATGTAATATCTTCACTAATTTTACCTAAACACGGAACGTGTCGCTTACTTAGCCCTAATATCAAACTTAACAATCGTTTAATATTGCTTCAATAAATTAGTAGAAGGCCAACGAATATAAAGGTCAGTCCCCAGTTAGCCGCCCGCGGTCGCACGTCCGCTCTAACTATAGTCCGCTATCACAGTTTCACGACGGTACCTAAGGGCGCGGCCTCGTCACAAGCGTGTGCGGCTAAGTGGAATGTGAGCCTACACAGATATCTACCGAGTGAACACACATTTCAGCACTTAACAAGCTGCCTAAACACATCAATCTGGCATATCTATACTCGTTATAGGCACTACCGGTTTCATGGCTTCGTTCTTTTTATGATTCTTCTGCGACTTTTTACTTTCCTTCACTTTCTTTTGAGCTTCTTCGTCTCTATAGGGTTCCTGGATAGGAGGTGGTTCGGTGGGTATTACGTTCGAGCCTCTATTTACATTGTTGTTATATGCAATGTTGGCATATTCTTGAAGTAATGGAAAGACTGATAGTAGAAATTGACAGAAATCTTTCCTTATGCCAAACCACCCTGAAAACGAATAAAATTTATTCGTATGTTGTATAAATAACATTATTTTTTACTTGAACAATATTGGCCAAACTAGATATTATGTTTATTTTTAAATACTGATAAATAATGAGTAGGTCATTACATTTGGGTTAATTTTGGTAGAAGGAACGGAGCAATATTTTATTAGTAGATTTGATTCCGAGGTAAAAACGTACGGACGGAAACCACGTCCGCAGTTTACGTGTCCTGTATAATAAATATGTGCATAGTAAGTGACTTACATTTATTGCCACCTTTAGAACTGAAGGACATGATGATTAGCGTTGCATAACTAACGAACAGCGGGCTTACTACCACCGTGTACAATAGCGGAAGACCATCGTCTAATTTGTTTGATAATAGCACCTGAAAGGAAAAGGTGTGTGAGATTTCTAAATAAATTATACCTAATTAAAAAAACAATATATACCTATATCCATAGCTTGCTTTATATATATATATATATATATATATATAAATATAAATTAAATGTTGGGTATACGCTTCAAATACTCAAAAAGAACTGCACCAATTGAGCTAAAATTTGATATAGATAAAACCCCCCCTAAAAGACGGGTTATATCAACCCGTCTGGCCAAGGCCTGAAATGGTAAATCACAAACAACTATATGCGGTACGGTTTGTAAACAAAGATAGAAAGAATACAATATAAAGTTTCTATATAGCAGTATCTAGTCTAACATACATTACTACATTCTAAAAGTCTAGTGTGTTTTTTTATTATTAAGATGCACAATAACGCTTTTTCTGCTTTTAAAATAGATAACTTTTGCATTAGGAATATATCCTATGTTGCGGGGAACTTTACAAACAAACATGAAACGGATACAAAGAACACCACACGCTTTACTAGCTTTTACCCGCGGCTCCGCGCGCGTGTGCTCTTTTGTGATGTGTTATTTTTAAGACTAATAAGTAAAAACAGGTAAAACCTATTTAAAACTCTTGATAACGTTTAAATTAAGATAAATATTAGGTCTAGGTAATACTATTTAAATATTATTGATTTAATAAAGAATGGGCATACAAACCAGAAACACCAAAATAGGTATGACCGTGAACGTGTAGGCCAGCGCAGAATTGAAGCTTGTGCGACGCTGCTGTATGTTGGCATCAGGGGTTCGGAGCAGAATCCCTGCGAATATTATGCTGTATACCACCCCTGGGAATAAATATTTTCCTGCTATTTAAAAGTGCACAAAAATCAATAGATGGTACAAATCTATCGATTTTAACTTACTTATTGTTTTTTATTTAGCTGTTATAAACGCAATTACATAGTTCTAAATATTTGAAATATTAGTTTTAACAATAAAACTATGTAATTAAAAATTTTTATGTATAGTCAGTTATAGTCCATATGTTGATAACGAATTTGAGGAAGGTAATTTACACTATTTATTTGTCTCTGTCTCTTTGTATTGTTTGTGTTTGTAAAGTAGCCAGCAATTATTTAAAAAAAATGCACTAATATGAGTTGACAATAATGATATATAAATAAAAAGTGACTCCGAAGTTGCAAGCGTTCATGGGCAGCAGTAGTCACTTTCTATCAGGTGACCTCTTCAATAAGAAAAAACATACTCACCTACTAAACTGAGACACATTAATATCCACAGTGGAACAAACACTACCTCCCAACTCCAACTGATAAATTCATCCAACTTCAAGGCAAGAAATATAAACTGGAGTATGTTAACAGCACAAAATAACTCCAACTGTGAACAAGGATACACATTAAATCAATATCTTGCAATAGTTAAAAAAATATATATTGATTATTTAAAGATTTTAAATTATATAAGACCTTATAATTAGAGACCTTGGCACTATGTGAAATATTATTAGCATTGTCATGACAACAGGTCTACTGATTTAACTGGTAATTGACAGGTTGCCAAAGAAATGATTACGTAATTTAAAGCTCTTTGGTTTACTGTTAAAATAAGGACAAGCGATGCAATTGTTAACTTATATTATATATATAGTTATATGGCCCTGCCCAGTTTGAGCTACTGTAGTCTCAGACCCATTTCTCCATCTGCAACTTACTAAACCCCTTATCCTAATTCCTTTTCTTTATTCCTTGTTCTAACCCAAAATTACTGGTCCCATGTGAAGACAAAAGCATTCCCAAGGAATGTTTTTGTTTTGTTTCCAGTGTGCACAGCACACTGGAAAATGATAACTATATTAACAATCATAAGAGTTTGATGATAGTGGTGAATTTCAAGTAAAACCAATACTTTGATTTTGTCATAAAACACCAGTAGGCTTATATTTTTAACTCAATAATAACTTGGCTCAGCTTGCAGGTATAATTACAAGAAGTTATTTAAAATAAATTTATTCTTATCAATTCATACCAGGTTAATTTATTTTCAATTTTTAATAATTTGATTAAAAAACATATTGACATACCTCATAACTGCGATCATGTTTCACAGACCATATGCAGATAGCAATAGACACTATACTTATAAAAATAAGTGGTATAAAGACCAGTATCCAAACATGACGGCCTGTAGTCAACTGGTCGCAGACAAGCAGCTCAAACATAAGAAGGATTAGATGTATGGCAAGACTTATTAACATAGCTTTATAGTGGATGTATGCTTCACCCTCCAACCTGAAATTTAAGAAAAAGCTTGTAATAGATGTACATTGTTTAAAAGTAAAAGTGTTGATGTATAAAGTTTTCATGTGCTTGGGCACAAATAATCTTCAACCTCAATTTTTTAGATACATAACAACACCACATATGTACTTTATAAACAAAACAAAATGCTACATGCAACCTATTTCTACAAGAAAATAATAAACAGTCTAAACTATTGATTTAATTTGTGATTAATGACTTATTATACAAGTTGCTTCTCAACTTTATAGTAATCATGCTTATGAAATAAAGAAAAGCAGAACATTTATTTTGTATTTTAAATTTAAATCAGAATAATTTTATTATGCCAAATCCAGCACTTAAAAACTAAGTAAAAACATGTCTTGAAACACTTAGCCATCTGTTATGATCAATGACAATAATATTTAGGGATTTTTATATTCAACTTTGCTAAGTATTAACAAAATTATTAAATACTTATCTAATACATTGTAAAAAGTACAGCTGTGATACATAATAAGATCAAAAAAACATACCTGAAGTGAGGGTACTGCCACCAAACATATGTGCCAACTGTAGCACCAATTACCACAAGAAACTTCCACACCCATATTGGTGTAAACACGGCCCAGTAAGACCATGTTATAGAATTATCTAACTTTAAAGCTATTAATGCCGTAAAAATAAGCATACAACTGTGAACCACGAATTTGCTGAAAAGTAAAAAGTTTAATAGAATCATCACAAATATATCAATAACAAAAGACAACTATAAAAAATCACCTAGGATTAAAATCCTGAAATAAAGTTTGTAAATTCATTTCCATGCACATTCGTCTCTAAAATAGTTTAATCATTTCACATTAAATATGATCTTGAAGATTTATTTTAACTACAATGATAGCCATTTTTATAAATCACAACACAAAAGCAATAATTCCACAGATCACACATATAAGTGTATTATCTATTAGAGTTGTGTAGCTCCTGAATGAGTGATATAAAAGATATATATCATTCACGACGATAAAATGTATCACTCACTCACACTAGCTCCGAATATATCAGTAACTCAATACTAGCTCACTAGATCATTAGATCACTAGCTCAACGACGCCGATCATTGTTTCATGAGCGAGTGAGACTAAAGATAAATGAGTGAGATAGGTGATGGTTGAGTTCACGCAAGTTTCTTTATGCAAAATGTACATTATTTCTATAGGATCAAAGTTTAATATTACTTAAGAATTAAGCCTGCCAAGTATAAGGAAAATCAAATTATGTACGATGTTTATTATACAACCTAAAAAAAGTACAAGAAATAATTTCTTTTTTTAAATATTAAATAAAAGGGTGTTAATAATTATGTAATCTTATCAAAATGAATTAATTTAATCTAAAATAAAAGGTTAAGAATGTAGTTTCAAAAACTGAATTTAGGTTAATATGAAAATAAAGAAAGGTTTGTATGGCGAGAGAGGCTTAAAGTGGCTTAAAGGCTTAGATGAAGAAATGAATTAATTGAGAGACCAATCAATTGAATCGGATCAATGAGCTAGTGAGCTAAATGAGTTGGTGAGCTAAATGAGTTAGTGAGCTAAATGAGTTAGTGAGCTAAATGAGTTAGTGAGCTAAATGAGCTAGTGAGCTAGATGAGTGATATATATCTTTAGAGCGAAATGATATGTATCAATCTTTTCAGCTCAGTGATACATTTTGCGCATCACTATTATCTATGGATCACACTTTATTTATGACAGATGCAGCAGCACAGAATTGCCAATTCATAACTTTTCTTTCACGACCATAATTTTTTGGTAAATTTTTTAACCAACAAATGTTTTTTTTGTTGAAAACATTAAAGATATTACAAAGATATACATTCCACAAATTATGCAAGTGTTTTTTTAACAAAGATTGGTATTTTTGTAGTCAAACCCGTGGAATACAATACTATAATAATGTATGTATAGCAAGCTAGTATTTTATGTAGCTTGATTTGAAAGCATTTTTAATACCAGCGCTATTAGTCGACTACGATATTTTAAAAAAATTGACCATCTATGTCAGTCAATAGACAGATATGGAATTCTCTGCGACACGATCTCCTTTCCTTTAATACTAACAGTATTAAGGAGACGATAGAGCGAAACAAAGGCTCGAAAGTGTTAGCAAGAGAGGCGTCTATTGAGTAAAGCCAGTTGACGAAGCTGAAGACAGAAGAGGGGAGTGTAACGTCGAGTAGGCAAGAGGTACTTACGGAGATAGAGAGTTTCTATCGACACTTGTATACCTCGACCGCAAAGCCTGCTAGTAGCTAAAGACCCTAGAGCAAGGCTAACCCGACATTATACCGATGATATCCCGGACATCAGCCAGTACGAGATTGGGATGGCTCTGAAACAGCTGTAATAACAAGGCACCGGGCGATGACGGAATCACATCTGAGCTTCTGAGAGCGGGTGGCAAACCGGTACTCAAGGTCCTCCAGAAGCTCTTCAATTCCGTCTTGCTCGAGGGACACACGCCAGAGTCATGGAACAGGGGTGTGGTGGTACTTTTCTTCAAGAAGTAATACCTTATTGAAGAACTACAGGCCCATCACACTGCTGAGCCATGTCTACAAGCTGTTTTCAAGAGTCATCACGAATCGTCTCGAAAGTCGGTTTGATGACTTCCAGCCTCCCGAACAAACCGGTTTCCGAAAAGGCTTTAGCACCATAGACCACATACATACGCTGCGGCAGATTATAACAGAGTTGACAAGACGAAGATCATGTCGAATGTCCATGTCGCACCGACTCCCATAGTCGTGGGAAACTCTGTCCTCGAAGTTGTTGACGAATATGTATACCTAGGACAAACGGTCCAATTTAGTAAGTCCAACTTCGAGAAAGAGGCCAATCGTCGAATCCGAGTCGGCTGGGCAGCGTTCGGGAAATTACGAAACGTCTTCACGTCCAAATAGCTCAGTGCCTAAAGACGAAAGGCTTCAACCAGTGTGTGTTCTTACTATGGGCCTAATCAGAAAGCTCAGAGTCGCTCAGCGTGCTATGGAAAGGGCTATGCTTGGCGTTTCCCTGCGTGATCGAATCCGCAACGAGGAGATCCGCAGGAGAACAAAGGTGGTCGACATAGCCCAACGGATTAGCGCGCTGAAGTGGCAATGGGCATGGCAGTGTGGGACGACCGCTTACCCGATGGACGGACGACCTGGTAAAGGTTGCCGGAAACCGTTGGATGCAGAAATCATTAGGAGAGGCCTGTGTCCAGCAGTGGACAAGCATAGGCTGAGGTGATGATAGTAAGAGTAAGAGTTATTCTGTTACTCCACAAGTCTACAACATACAGAAATAAGCATTGAGAAAACCCGGGGTACAGGTGAAAAAATTGCTGTTTTCAGACGCTATTTAACAGTAAATCTATTTTTTTTTAATTATTATGTAGGGAATGGTAGCTATATATAAAAAAATAATTACTAGATTTACTGTTAAATAGGCGAAATATCGTCTCTATACATCGTCTGAAAACAGCTTATTGGCAACAAAGCGTAAGTAAGTAGCAACCCTAAGCTATTTACGATAAACGTAAATCACAGTTCATTCATATTTCACTGTGATTTTGTCCTCTCATGTCTACTATTTTATATATATATCTATTAATTATCCATCTCTTCGTCTATATTGCAAGATTGGAGCTCTTGTTCTCTTTAGGTTAAATCTCTATGGACTACAATGTCAATGTTGTCAATCAATATGCAATATGCTTGTGTCATGTCCGTCAAATGAACAAGCCTACTGCCGTTAAGTGCTGTTAGGATCTTACTTTTTGCTGGTAATGATAACTTGCCAGGCTATTTACAGTAAAACTATTTTATGTCTTGAAGTCATCGGCAAGTAATCGCGGACAAATTAGCTTAGGATAATGGCATCTCCGTCACCAAAGTCTCCAGAACAAAGTGAAAAAACGAAGCAATATGACCGGCAACTTCGTTTGTGGGGAGATCACGGTCAGACTGCTTTGGAACATGGCCATATATGTCTGATAAATGCTAATGCATTAGGAACTGAAATATTAAAGTCCATAGTCCTACCTGGTGTTGGCGCCATCACTATAGTCGACGATAAAATTGTAAGCGATGAAGATATTGGCAGCAACTTCTTTTTGGAGTGCTCTAGCAAGAGCTTAAATAGAGGTGCTGAGGCATTGCGGCTTTTACTGGAATTAAATCCTGCTGTTCGAGGACATGCTGTACAAGAACCTCCAGATCAAATCCTTAAAGAAAATCCTGAGTTTTTTAAGAGTTTTAGTGTCGTTATTGCTACTGCACTGGGAGAAAAAACAATACAAGAACTTGCACAGCACTTGTGGGACATAAATGTACCATTAATTTTATGCCGCTCAGTAGGGTTCTTAGGTTCATTCAGGATTCAGATGAGAGAACATGCTGTTATTGAAACCCATCCTGACAATGAACAAACTGATTTACGTCTAGATGTCCCATTTCAAGCTTTGTCTGACTACTTAAATTGTTTTGACATTGATGCAGTGGATTTAAAAGATCATGGACATATACCATGGATTGTTATTATTTATAAAGCTGTACAAAAATGGCAGTCTCAGAATGCAAATGGGTGGCCAATGAGTAGGAAGGAGAAAAATGAGATAAAAAATATTATACTAGAGTTTGTAAGGAAGGATGAAAATGATGTTCCTATAAGTGAGGAAAATTTTGAAGAAGCTATTAGAGCAGTAAATACTGCTCTAGTACCTACATTTTTACCAGTAAAGATTCAAGAACTTTTGTACTGCACTTCTGCAACTAATCTGTCAAAGGATAGTGCACCATTTTGGGTAATGTGTGCTGCTTTAAGAGGATTTGTTGAAGGTGAAGGCAAAGGAAAGCTACCTGTAAAGGGTGTCTTACCAGATATGACTGCCTCTACAGATCACTACATAAAATTGCAAAACTTATACAGAACCCAAGCTGCAATGGATGCAGAAATAGTTTACAGAAAAGTGCTACAAATTGTGGCCCAATTACATTGTGAGAATATCAGTGAAGCTGATGTGAAACTCTTTTGTAGACATGCCCATGATTTGTATCTTTTGTGTGGATCAAATATAGTCACAGAGTATCAACTAAATAGTTCTGTAGCTACATTTATTAGTAGACATCTGGAGGAGCCGGATGTTATGATGGTTCATTACATTATGTTAAGAGCAGCAGAAATGTTTCAGTCAGAGCACTGTAGAGCTCCAGGAGATTGGGATCCTGAAGGTGATATTAGCAAATTAAAAGCTTGTGTCACAAAGGTTTTGAGTGATGTATCATGTTCTCCATTTCCTAAAGATGATCACATACATGAAATGTGCCGATATGGAGGAGCTGAAATTCATAGTGTATCAGCATTTCTTGGTGGATGTACAGCACAGGAAGCTATAAAACTTATTACTAAACAATACAAACCAGTAAACAACACATTCATATTTGATGCTGCCTCAACCAACAGTGCAACTTTTGCATTCTAAATGTTTATAAATAAGCAATAATTTTATAATTAAACTCGAAAAGTAATGAATGTCTGATTTTATATTATTTCTCCTAAAGACTGGTCAAGGAAATCATTATATTTGCTTAAGGGATGGACAAAAATAAAATTGTATAATTTTATGATTTGTATACTTTACTATGAATTCAAAAATTCCATAAGTTATTTAACATTACATAAAAATCAAGTAGATGTAATAATCTACTCAGTCAAGTTAGTAAAAAAAAAATATAATTGTCAGATTTATTTCATAAAAAGCAACATTTCAGGGTGTTAAAGATAAATAAACAGTGACTACAATGTAATTCTTCAAAGTTGTGTATTTAGTTTGGATATTAACCACTTTAAATTCTTACAGTCAAGATATAAAAGAATTGGTGAAAATATTTTCATTAACAATTTTTAACACATAAATTAGATAAACATATTATCACATGACTAAAAAATAATTGAAACAAACTATACATTTGGCTAAATCCTCATGGGTGGCATTAGAATGTTACACCATATCAACAACAGCTTTCTGCTGGTATATACACCTGAAACAGCATAGCCTCCAAAAGAATGCAACACAACATTGAGAATACTCTTTAGATACCTACATATTTCACCTAAGCCACAGCTTCAATCGCAATGCATCTACACCATTAAGATAATATCGAAATAAGCGTTTGTCTCGCACAAAACCAAGGTTTTCATAAAGCTTCAGTGCTGGTTTATTTGTGATTTCTGTTTCTAATACTACTTCATCAGCATTATCATTAATCATTGCCTGAAACAAAAGTTATTTTAAATTATAACATTACTGATATGTGGGTAACACATAACTAGATTTTTAAATTCCTAAAATCAATTAAGAATAACACTATCACTCAGCCATTTTACTACATATATACATATTTTTGGTAAGTAATTTATTAAATATGATAAACTGTAACATGTATTTTACAGATTTCATTAAGTTAGTTGGCTTGTGAGATTAACAATTAAACAAGCTCATTTTCATATTTATAATATTGGTAAAGATGAAATGACTGTAAAATATACCTGTATTGCTTTCCGAACGAGCCTAGAACCAATCTTTCTCTTCCTATATTTTTCATCAACTGCTAACATAGCAATGTAGCCCCTTTTGACTACATTGCGATGCATATCTAACTTACAAACAATGGCACCAATATACTTCCCTTCATGGGTTGCCAAGAAGCAAAGCTTAGGCCAATTGTGAATAAAATATCTATATGTATAGATGGAGTAGGGTTCTGACAAATCTTTTTGTATAAGTCTCATAATCTCTGGCATCTGTAGCTCAGACTCGTACGAAATTATTTTTATTTCATCTTGAGGTTCATGATCCTCACTACTTATTGTATTTTCGAGATTTTGCAAAGCATCATCAATGATACATGTCTCACCATTCTGATCAGGCATATCTTTACTACACTCTCGTTTACTTGTTGCATCACTACACTGTACACTATTTACATCCTCAAGGATCTCGCTCGTTGTGTCATCTTGTGCTCCCGAACTATCCTTCAAGTCTTCGGGACTGCCGTTTGAATGATCACTTCTCCCATTGGTTAAGGTACTATTGACGTTATTAATATGAAGAGTTTTGGCTAAAGTGTCAGGTAAATTCTCTTGATTAGATATACTTATATCACCCGAACTCTCAGAAGGATCTTTGGCCTTTTTACTTTTGTTTCTCACATTCGTGCCTATCTGACTGCACTTTAAATTCTGGACTTTATCGTCCGACAGTTGATTCATTTTGACGTTAATCTAACTAAAATTATTTACACATTCAAACGATTATAAGCTCATATACTTTTCACTTCAGCTTCTATGATGATACATACATATTTTTCTTGTCAAAATTGTAAAAGAGTATCACCGACATCTTGGTAAGTATAAAAGCAACAGTTTCCATAAAAACCTGGATCTGACTGTATGGTGTGCGTTCTTACAATGAAATAGTTAAATACTATTACAATAACGAGATAATAAATAAGAATTCTGTAAATACTTCTTGAAAATATTAGAAATAGGTAATTTATGCCCAATGCCTTCCACAATCACATTGCAAAAAAAAATATTTGTTGCATTGCAGAACCGAACTATAATACAAAGCTGAGCTGCTTGCATTAATTTTACTCTTAGCGCTTGATCTTTAGGAAAAAAAGACAGAATGATGCTATTATGCTATAAATGCTATAAATAAAACCTGGAAATTGAACAGTAATACCAGAGTAATTTAAATTACTTACCATATACAAAAAATTTGCTCTTTTTATTTTAATGTTGAAAGTCCATATTTTTAGTGTTGAGAATTAAGACCTTTTACGAATCACGTGTTAGCCGTGCACCTAGACTATTTGATTAAGCTTAGTAGTTTATTAAATCCTCGTAGAATTGCCAACAGAATCTATTCTCATTTAAGTATGTGCAAATATTTCATAGAGCACAAAGTCAACTCAATTACGTATGTAAAACAACACTGCTTACGTCGAAAATATGCGGTTTTTACTTTTTAATGTCATTGTATAAAACTTCTCATATTCACACGGTCTACTTATTGAAAATTACTTGCCTAAGTCATGGCGTAGTTTTTTTGTAAAATCAGGTTGTTCAGGTTATAGCCTGCTATTGTGAAGTGTATCGTGCCACAATGTTTTAGCCTACCAGGTCCAAGTAGCTTACACGATATTGGCTCTTAAGTATTCGCCTATAAACAATCATTATATTTTTAACATCGGTGTAATAAATTCCTCATATGAGCTACGAGTTCACAAAATTGGTAATAATTCCCTTCAATCTTCCCTTTAATTGTAGATGTTTATAGAATACGTAGATTATAGAATAGCACTTTTTATCATCGGCTTTTTTGTATGTACTTATCTACCTAATAGTTTAAATCTCGCTTTCCTGCAATCTGTAGGAGCGATTTCTTTAAAAGGGATGGAAGTGTGTAACGAGAAGAAGAGGAAACCTCTCTAGGAGGCTCTATTTGAATAGATCAATGAGCGCACGGTGCTAAAGTTGGCAGTCAGTTAGCGGGTGAGATGTCAGATGTTTCACGTCATAATATATTCTGCATGTGAATACTCTAGGGCTCGTTCTTTTTTTTTCTAAAAGAATGTTATTTTTTTCAGGTTTCTCTAGGATGTTATTGTCTCAATCTGATGGTTTTATTAAAATTTTAAGCCGATTCAACTTATAATTTCTTCCTAGCCTATCAAGATTGAAGAAGAATAGAAAGCCAAACTTTGTATTAAGACAAGAAGTGTTAAAAGTCTTATAACTCAAGTATGTCTATTACTGTTTATACATGCACCTATAGTCCATCTAATCTGAGAGGTACCGTTTGACGTTTCATACTTTTCAAGACGAAACAACTTTGTATAGGCGTAACTCACACAATTTCAATAACCTTTTCCGTAAAACCATGCAATTTTGAAACAATTTTTACGAAAAATCGAATTTATTAATAACGAGCCATTTTAATCCAGGCGTCTTAAAGTGTTTGATAATACTTAAAATTAATCTGACATCCAACTTTCAATGACAACGCATAATTAAAATTAGAAGTATGTAAGTAAATGTAATTTTAAATAAATCTTTGTAGGCAAAAATCGCTCTTTTCCAAGTCTAGTGTATACTAATATTTACTAGTGCAACCTATGATGTACCATTACACGAGCTTTTATAGTAACATACAAAAATACGGAAACTGTAATCGATTGGTACATGCTAAGAAAATTTATGGAAGTCTCTTAAGAATCGAATTTTGTAGAAATCGATTTCTTTGACCCCATCGCTATGCTTCAATCTGTCAGAATTGTCAGACGGTACCTCTTAGATTAGATGGACTATAGTTAAATGTACTCGTATGTGTAATTGTGTATAGCAGCGAACGCCTTGTTGACGTCATGAAGAGAAGCAACATGGCTGGCGGGAGACTGAAAGCGCGCGCGTGTGCTGTCGCGGTAGGTGGCAAGTAGATGGTGTTGTGTGCTTCGGTCGTTCTACGAGTACTCGACTCGATCGACTTGAGTTCAGTATCCGGTTGACAGCCGGTGAGGCGGCGGCGTGACGTGGTGCCCAAAGCAAGTAATACGCGCACGCCGCCTCTGCGCGATTTTCTAACGTTGTTAATAAATTTTATACACAATATAAATATATAACGTGTTAATTACCAGCCTGAACTAATTAAGTGTGTGTTGGACCTGTTTATAAAGCAATCTGAAAAATAATAGTTGTGTGTTTATTTATACGGAACACGTACCAACATTACTCCTGTCTTTGATACTTTATACTCAACATGACAGTAATAAACTCATAATATTCAAAATCAAAAAGTGTTATTTATTTATCGAATGACTTGATACTAAATGCGTTCAAATTGTAAGCTTGATAACTCGCTCTCCTTTAAGTGTGCATCAATGACTTATCGCTAATGGATATAAACAAAAAAGTGTTATGGTTGATTATGTATAAATCCTCGAATTACGAAGTGTTAGAAGAAAGTCCAATTGAAATTTGATGGTATTAATATAATCAACAATGGCCGACCGTGAACGTCCTGCGAAAACCCCCATTAGGGTGGGATTTTATGACATCGAGAGGACTATTGGCAAGGGAAATTTTGCCGTCGTTAAGTTAGCACGACATCGAATAACGAAGACTGAGGTGAGCATAAAAATATGGATATTATTTTCTAATAAACACATAACTCTAAAATTAAGTGCAATACTATATTGACACATTAAAATATGCAGGCAAGACAGGTCAGTTAACAAAAATGTAGAGTTTTAAACCACCTACTTCAAACAGGAGGTTTTTCCTACACGCGAATTTTGTTGTCCGGTGAAGCATTTTTTGCTAGAGGTAGACTTTGCCTTAACATAACTTGAAACTTCTCCAAAGAGAAATCAAATCCATGGATTTTTAAGATAAATACGTATATAATTGTTAACCGACTTTAAAAAGTGGTCTATTCGACTTTTGCAATTTATAAGTTATGTAGGCACCAACCTATGCGAAATTTTCGTCATTCGCGGTTTCTATAATTCTTTATCTAATTGAATTGTTAGCAAATATTTAAAGTTGGTTCTATTTAAAATTTAAGAAAATATTAAGGGGTGGAAAACATAGGATACTACAATTTATTAAGATTTAGGGTTAGATTTTTTTAAGTCGATGATTTTCATTTTAATAGTGTATACTTTTTATTATTAGAATAACAATCTCCTTATGTAGTTTTAATGTTAATACATCAGTATTCTACTTCTAATCTGCAAATATATCAATCAGATTTCTTGTTCTCTTGCACCTACAGCATAATTTTTCTACATCACCCGAAGGGCGACTGGCAGAGAATGCCCTGGGCATTAAGTGTACAACGCCTGTGTTCAACTTGTGCATTAAGTTATTATAAATAAATAAAACATTTAATTTCAACTACGAAACGGCTTTGGTGGCCCACTTCCTACTTTTATGGGCGTGCGAGATTTTGTGAATATTTCCATAGATCGAGTACTAGTAGAGTACCTATTTGCTTACAGGAAGTAAAACGTTTTAAATTCAAAGGCCTTCAACCTTCTTCGGTCAAAGGCGAAACTTGCCATTCAGTTGAATGACGTTTCAGTACCTTCTTTGGTCAAAGGCGAAACTTGTCATTCAGTGGAATGACGTTTCAGTCGATATTTCACTTTAAGAAAAATTTCAATAAGTGGGGTGCTAGATCTAGAAAAATATTTCACTGACCGATATTGCTAAAATTAAAGTTATTATATTGTAAAATATCTTAAAAAGCACTCCAAGCTTTTTGACGATAAAATGATTTTTCTTATTGAACTTATAGAAAATTATTTTTCTACTTTTTAGTTCGGCTAGTTACAAAAGCGTGTTTTTTTTCTGTTTTTTAAACTTATTTATTTTTGCTTTTTTAGTCATTATTGATGATTATTTTTTCAATAAGATTATAAAAGTAAGAAGTAAGTAAGGCACATGATTCAGCACACGCCTCTTAGTACGTAGCAAAAGACACTACGTATTTTATGTATGGAAAAAGCCGTCTATCCTGAAGATCCCGATCAGGATAATCGACCAAATTAATTAAATTATTGTGTTGTCATCGGTCGTTGATAAGTGTGCGAAGTTTTAATTTAATTCGACGTTTTGAAGTGGGTCAATATCACCTTCGAAGATTTCGTTCCATACACAAATACATAGATATATACATATACAATGTACACGCCTTAATGTTAAATATAATTACAAAGTTAGCGACGACGACAGTCATATAAGAAGAAAGAAGAAAATGCTCTGAGAGCATTTTTAAGAAAATTTAGGAACATACTTACGTCATGAACGAACTAAAATTAAATGTCAAGTTTGGAATAATATTCCATCACATCACGTGTGTATGGTAGAAGTGCAGAAACATTTTGTTTGTTACAAAAAATCACTTAAAAACAGCTCTATCAAGCTGCACGAGTCCAGTACATGTATATGCAATAATAGTTCCAACTTATGTCGGTCAATGAACAACAAAAAAAACTTAATAAAAACGTCGAAATTTGACCTCCAATTCAAGCATTAATAAAGCGCTTAGAGCGATAACATTAAGTATTTTTTGTTGTGAAATAATTTGTTTATGAAATAAATATGTATGTTTAAAATAAATATGTTCACAAATCAAAATAAATTGTATGTTGTTAGTTACTAATAAGGTAACAAATAAATCGCCACAGTCAACTTACAGTTTCGAGACATGTATTTTTACATTATCATGTTTTTGAAACGATCTTATTTCTTTTTTGTAGGTACCAAGGAAATATCTTTATGATTTACTAGCGACTCTCCCCGGCTTGGCACGGGTGCAATGTAGATACTTAGTAATTTGGTGTCAGTGTAGAGTAATTATTATTATTTTTTTTAATTTATTTAACACTTGAACGATGTAGGTACATAACATTTTTAGGTTTTGGTACTGTAAAACCACTAAGGTTTATAGAATAAATATATTATTATTTTTAACAGACACCAGAATAAATCCTGTGTCGCGGGGGACTTTACAAACATACATGGAAGCGGACTCAAAGAACACCCAGACTCAGAACAACAGTTTCTAGATCACACAAAGTGTTGTCTCGTGTGGGGATCGGACCCACAACAATCAGCGTAGTAGGAAGCGGCGAGGTGACCGCTTAAATCACTACGCGATCCGTGCAGTCGTATTGCATGTCGTCTTATTTTGTATAGACTTATGTATATAAAAATGAATTCCGGTTCGTTACTCGTCTTACTATAACAATTTGGCTAATTTTGGTCTTGGAATATTTGTGAAAGTTCAGGAAAAGTTTAAAGGTGAGAAAATATTAAAAAAAATGTTAGGCAAATAGTAAAAATAATAGTTTTATGTTCCCCAACAAAATGTAGCTTCATGTGAAACATTTGACGCCGTCATCGGTACGATAAACTCGAATCTCTTCAAATTAAAGAACTTTATTAAATAAAGGTTTCAAATATGCAACATACATATTTACACACAATTATCGAGTATTAAGATTTGAAATTTGGTTTTTAAACGTTTATGGGTGCGTTCAGAAATTAATTTTTAGACTCGTCCCAGGTGCCAGCGGCTTGGAGGCGGCCCGACGCGACGGCCGCTATGCCCCCGCTTTTAAATCTCAACTATCTTATAAAATATTCATTTTAATGACTTGCTTTAGATTGCAATTTATCTACATTAAATGCACAACGTATCTAACGTATTTAACTGGATAAGGAATAATACTGTCTTGTTCGAAATAGCTTCGTAAATAACCCATTACGTTTTTGGCAGATGTAAAATATAAAAATAGTTACCGTTGGTTATCTTTAAGATAGTTATATACTAAATGTGACTTTTTTGTACATCTTTTTAAGACATACAATTCCTTAGTACATTTTTTGATCTATCTCGCAAGGTTTAGCCAGCGTTTGCAATGTAAGCGCACAAAAACATGGTTTTTACGACAAAAAATTACAAATCTTTGAAGTTCTCGGGTTTTCTCTACTATAATACTATACTATATTATGCATGTATTTATACCTTCCTCTTGATTCACTCGCTCTGTTGATGAAAACCGCATTAAATTCCTTTGTGTAGTTAAAAAAATCTAAGCGTAAAACACGTAAAGAAGACACTCGTAACATGCATTGTGCCGTAACGGTTTGTACGTCAATTATTTCTTTGTTAGTAATAAAATCAAAACGAATTGACTGATTTGAACAATTCAAAAAGTGATTGGCTCCTGAAGATATAACCTAAATTACTAATTGATTTTTTTAGATAAGGAGGAAGGATTTTGTTTTGATCCGTAGTTTAGTTGGCAAATTTTAACAAAAAATGGTTATTATAAGTAAATTATAATATTTAGATACACCTCATACTATTAAGATACACGTGTGTGATGCAACATACGATTCGATGTTGATTTAACATATTCTATGTCGTACCGATACCCCGACAGCGATATAGCCCAGCGTATAAGGGCGGCCGTCGTCGGGTCGAAAATGGTCAGCCATGGTTGATAGTCGGTACGAAGAGTAAACCGTAGACGGTATAGGTAACAATGAAACTTTTTAACTCCAAAAACGATAGCGAGCGCTTCGTGTTGTATCTGGTTATAATTAGTCTCCGCGTGCGAAAGGCTGCTCGACACCGCTCCTACTCCCCGTGCGCTCCTCAATCTGAGAGGCAGGCTTTCGTCACGGGGCATGTAGTTAATGCCTTTTTACATGCTTTATATTAGCTTCACTTGTATGTTTGTTTGTAACCGACTCCTTTGAGCGTGATTTTGACAGACTTTAAACGGTCAGAATTCGTTCAAACTTTGTAGATATATTGAGGACCGATGACAATACACAAATTTAAAAAAAAAATAGTTTTAAAAAACTAAAAAACACGCTTTTTATAGAAAACCAAAACTAAAAAATTGAAAATAAATTTTAATAAATTTGAATAAAAGCGTGGGGTGCTTTTTACTATTGACAGCAGGCACCCAAGGCTTAGTTTGGTTTTCTATAAAAAGCGTGTTTTTTAGTTTTTTAAAACTATATTTTTTTTAAACTGATGATGGTTGCTCCTCATTCCACAATTGCCAAGAGACATCCTTTTTAAGTAGTAGTAGTAAGAGGCGATAAGATTTCTGTCAATTTTTTAATAAAATAGCATAAAAGCTCACCATAGCAATGATAGCTTTGTAAGTTCCGAAGCATTCAGTACGGCTTCAACTTTTTTCTTGTCCGTACGAATACCCTGCTCTGATTTGACGAATCCTAAATAACTGACCTCTTTAGCTAAAAAAACAGAATATCATCAAGCGGATTGGTAACATGTGGAATATCAGCAATTACACTTTCCATTTTTCTTTTTGGAAAATAAACGGCGCCGACGCCAATCCGTGTACTAATCGGTTATAAACATATAATCCGCGAAGAGTGTTAACTACAGTGTATTTTTTTGATTCATCTAAACAAATCTGGCTGTACCTATGCTTCAGAGAAATCTATTTTAGTAAATCGCTTCCCCCCATTTAAATTATTAAAAAAACGTTCGGCTCGGGGAAGCGGGTATTTGTCTACTTCCAAGACGGGATTGACCGTACTTTTATAATCCCCGCAAATTCCTAGTTTTTTTT